TTGAATTATTGATTACTTATTAACCCGTTAGAGTAAAATATGTATTGTGGTTTTTCATAACTTGAGAATTCATCGTACGCAAGTAACTTTGGATGAAATATGGGCGACAGATTAAGCGATATTTTTATTGAAATGTTGTTCAATTTACCGTTAGTCAGTAATATAAACTTTTTAAACTGAAAAACGGTATACCCAGAAGATCAATTATTATAAATATAATAATGAGTGATAAGCAATTTGTATAGACTACGAATCTATTTATGTCTATCAGGTTGATATGTTTAGGTCGATAGCTACAATTTATGGAAATGTGAAATATCTTACTAACAAACCCTGCTTCGGTCTGGGCACCCGGGTAGTATCACAGCCTACACACAAATAAAATTTTGTGTGGCGCATATACATTTGGTGCCCCATTGTACCAATATTTATGTGTTCAAATAAATAAATAATAAATACTAACAAACATTGTCAAGAATTAGTTGTCATGCAGAAAAACCCTGATTTTCTACCAAGAAAACCCACCAAAAGCTTTCGCATCTGAAAAAGGATAAGTTGTAACCTACATTCCGAACTCCACTGCTTCCTACTACAATCATCGAGTTCTTATCTGTTACTGGATTACTTAGTCAGTGTTCTTATTTTTTCCGGTTCGCTACTTAGAACTTATGTAATAAACAAGCTCAAAAATGTTTGACACAATTATCCATACCCAGTTCCTCAAATTTCTTTGGTATGTTGCTTTTAAGTATTAACGTTTCTAAAGTACCCTTAATTGCATCTATACCATACTATTTAAAGATAGACGGTATTACGTCCCATAGTGAGCCCTTCATCTCATTCAAATTAAATGACTGAACTTGGATCTCAGTGTGCTAGTGTGTTCACCTGAATCTTTACATAACATTCACTTTTTGCTCTGAGACCTCATCGAGAGAATATGCATACATCCCATTAAAACCGAAGTAGCAACAGTAATTATGGAGTTTAACAAGAATGAAATTTTTAAACCTCCAAACTACTTTTGAATCGTTCGATAGAAATATTTCAGATTTATGTAGTAAGTTACCTTACATTAAGTTTATCTAAGTAGTTTCCTGATAAATGTTGCAAACTAAAGTCTTTGTCCTTATAAACAAACAATCATGAAATTATGCGGTTTTCAAAATTTTAATTCCTCAGGTCAGTAGCGCTACCAGTTCAAACAAGAGACAGTGGATGAATATCATGTAGAAAGTGTTGTAGAAATAAACACATTATGAATATCTCGCAAAACTTACTAGGTCAACCTAAGGACACAATGAACGTTTGTATCGATATAGTTGACAAATGTCAATATAAAAGTTTGAAATCATTACATGAGTTACAATTAGTTCGTTCCAATTGATGGCAAAGCATTTAAGTAGAGGATATATATAAACATTCTGTGATTGTAGTCTATGGGAATTCTATATTTCGACTTGGATAGCGATTATTATTCTCAGTTTGTCCTGTTCTCTTTGTTGTAAAACCTAGCGGAAAGTAAACAGTTTGTGAACTTTAATCATTTTGTTTCCAACTCGTTATACCAATCTATTTAACCAAACCGAATATGTTAATCTACGGGTCACTGTTCTAAAGTATGTCGGTAATCAAATAACAAATTCCTCGTAGTCATCTATACCTTGTATCTGAACTTCGCCTAAAGAATAAAAGCCAATAAAATCGAAAAAGCAATTGTTTGTTGTAGTTCACATTACTAATGCATTTCATCTTATGCAAGATACGTTCAAACGATGACATTTGTTGCTATGTCTATTTATGTGTGGTGTTCCAGTGACCATTGAAGTTTTAGGTTACAGTCAGGTTTATAATAGTCTTTTTGGTTGCCACAACACTGAGTGTAGGTAAAAATAAAACGGGCTTGCCACATTATGTGCCGATTTAAAAAAATCGATCATTATTATATTATGTTTTTAATCCAGTCGAGAATATATCAAATGATAATGACCGCTTTTGAATCTTTCGAAGGTTTCCACAAAACACCATAGACAGTTATGTTAATAATAAATGAATAGAAATTTGTATTTTTGACGTTACTAATTGTTTTAAATGCTTTTGTTTATTTTTATTGGTCCGAAATTTCCAAGGTGTAACCAATTGCACCTGCTTATCCAGGTTATTTGGATTCCATCAGATGTATAACGCTTCAACTGTCAATCATCCTTTTTCTAATGACATTATTAATCTATTCTCGATCGTTTTGAATTCATAAAGATTTAGAAATGTGCGTTTGTTCACCCGTACATTCAGTTGTCTCGATGTTACTTATGCATATCCAGAATTACTCTCATAATGTCTTATCTTGCGAGTATAATTTTATGTTTTCTGCTTTGTCATTGCCTCTCCACTGCCTTAGACCTCTCGGTTAAAGGCTCGGGGAGTGACTCTCTAACAAAATCACCTGCTTCAGTTTGTGCACTCAGGCAGAATTCCAGCCCTCACACAAATCGAATGAAGTGTGGTGCATACATATTGGGTGCCTCCGTGTACCAATGTTTATTTGTTTACATTAATAAATATAAAACCTGACTCATTAATTTTTAACTGAGTGTACCATTCATAGTATTTTTAGCTTGCATTTTTATAATTTCTCAGGCTTTCGTATGATGAAAGTTCACTTTGTTTGTCAATAGAGATTTTGAAATCATTCGATCTTCATTTTTCCTCATCCTGTAGAAATATTCTAGGCTAACTGGCTGACCTAAACTTACATACTTAACTTAATCTACTTACCTCATATCTCTTTAAGAAAGTCATCAGCTCTGTTTATTTAATTTCTAACAACTGTACTACTAGGAAATACTAATTATAACATACCCCTATATACATAGCTTCATGTACTACCATTTAAATATATTCGTATGCTAAACCACACCAACATGATTGGATAATAGTTTAGTATGTAACTGTTTTTGATCTTACTTATTTTTGACTTTTTCCCTGAAAAAGTTGGTTACAGACCTCCAGATAATGTGATGTTAGTTATGTGGCTTCAGTTACTGAGATTTATACAAATATGGTTTTTTATTTCATATTCTTGATTAATGTTTTATGCTTTTAAAAATTGTGTGTTAATCATTTTTGATATATTCACTTTATGTCCAACAAACTCTCATATGCAAATAATCATATTTTGTCTTGAAGCTCCGTAGTTGTGAGGAAATATACTGGCTACCAGTGTCAAATTTACTTAATTATTCAGTAAATTAATTATTGAAAGTCATCAAGAAAATAAGTAAGAAATATGTACAGAATTTTTTAATGATAGAGGAAGTAATTCTTGATTATATTCTTTGTGTGCCAATATACATAATTTGTAATCTATCACTACTGCTAATGTTAATACCACCCTCCACAAAACTAAATTAATAATAATCTATTCCTTAATAACTTTTCTTATTCACTTATGCTTCTAGCATAACACACTCCCATGGTGTATGGATCTAATACTTATGTTAAATTTAATCGCACTGACCACATTGATAAATATAGCTTAATTTTTTAACGCCCCAAACATTTTCTAATGTTTCCTAAGTCATATTGTGGTGAACGAAAACTTGGTGGAGATGTCTGATTTGTCATTTAATGCCAAATTACAGTGCTTTCGTAAAATATGAAAATCATACATTAAATGCATTATTTGCACATCTTCCATCAGTTGTCCTTTACATGCTTCATGATTCTTTAGATTCGCTTGTTATTCCAGTTCTCTTTCCCTTTCTATTCTCTTCAATTCACTCCTCTCAATCGTCTGCTTGCATGCATTCCACTTATGACTGATGCTACATATTACTTATATCTTCCAACTTAAGTAACATACACCACAATGTTACTGACGCCGAGGCATGTTTATGGATGTATGTAGACTAGAGCCTTACGAATTTATCTAGTGGGAATAACTGTTTAATTTCCTTGAGCATCTTTTTTGAAAATGAAATAAGTTTGAGAGAAAGTTCAGAGGAATGAGACTACAGAATAATTAACATTAAAAGTGTAACTTTGGCATATAAAATATGATATAATATTCATATCGATACGATGATGGAGTTAAACAAAGAAAGGGAAAACATTTAACGGCGGTCACAAAACTCTATATCCTTTTGTAAAATTTCTTTAAATAAATTTGACCAAAATTTAACTATACTGATCAGCTCAATATCTCATGTGCTCTCAATATTTTGGTATAGAAATATATGAAAAGATGTCAATTCTGTATTATTACGGATTGTGACTTTCATCAGAACTACATTTGTCATTTTTTAAAATAAATAATTTCTAGTATTCTTTGATGTGATAAAATCTCAATAAATACAAAATCTTATCTATAATCATCTAATTGCCTTTATTTCCTTTCCCTTATATCTTTCGTCTTTCTCTCAGTCCACCTTGATCATAGTATAATCCTGCTTGAATTCAGAATACGGTCAAGAAGTCATACATGGTTGTTGTATATAACAATTATGTCATCCTGGCTTTCCAAAATTTCATGTCAAACTTTCTATCCCGCCGGGAGACACAATGCTCTTTGACTTATAATAATTACTACCATTATTGTACAAAAGTTTTGGTACTTGTTTATTTTTTTATTATTGAGTCACTACTTGTTATTATTACTGTCATATAGACCCTAAAACTTGCTTAATCCTGCATCTACCTTCTCATTCTCGTCATCACATAACCTAGACAGGAAATCTGCAGTTGAAAAACGATTATTTAAAAATTTCCTAGTTTGTCTTTTTGCTAGTTTTGGTAGTTATTTTAGATAAGATCTAGTTCATATTGTTTATAATAACTGGAAAAATGTTTTATTTTCCCCTGGCTTTTCACATCATTCTGACAATTATCGCTCCTTAAAATATATACATATTTTTTGTCAAAAAAATTATTCTCCACATTTTTTTACATGGTTTTCTTCTCTGTAAACATACTTTACAATTCCTCTACTTTTGTCTTCTTAGACTTTTGACAAACAGTGTTCTGCCTGACTCATCTCTATGTCAACCCGGTTTACAATCATTTATTTCTACTAATGGATCAAATCCGAATGATGCAATTTATATAGGGAATTCACAAAATGTATCAATCATGAATGGTACGATCGGGCATGATAATAATACAGCTCCTCCACTGGTCCAAACATTTATATCTTCTGTACAACAATCACAGCAACAACAGGGTCGTTCAAATAATCCCGGGCTAATTGACTCTACTAGAAATATTGAACCAACTTATTCCACTACAAATGATGCTTTACGTGCCAAATCAAAGTCTCATTCAGATTCAGTGGTTGTTGTTGAAAGGAAATCTAAACACCATTGTCCATGGTATTACTGGATTATTAGCATATTGATATTAGCCTTCCTTCTCGCACTTGTACTGGCTGTATCCTTTTCAGGTAAGGATGATATATGTAATACAGGCAGTCGTTCTACTAAAACTTTTTAGTTTATGATATATATACGTGTTAATGACTGATTTTAGTGACCGTCTCAATCGTCTCAGTTTAGGAAGATGTACATACAAATCAATCAAAAACCTACAACTAACGTGTCTTCTATTTTCATAGACCATTTTTCACCTGTATAACGTCATACATATCACACTACTGTAAAAGATACACGCCCTTTGGTTTAAAGACAGGTATTTCATCTACTCCACAAGTAACACGAGTTAGCAAAAGCCAATTAAGCTATATTATTGCGTGATGAGATTTCGTCAGACACTAACTCACCACGACTGATTATATTTTTCAGATAAGTGAAATGGTTAATGTACTGATCCCTATCATTAGTTTAGGTGTTGATGCAGACCAGTTCTGAAATGGCATTTAGAAGTTTAGTTTAACTACTGAGCTTTAGTAAGTAATTGTGAACTCGATTTGATTTTTAGGGTAACTTTTTAACCAACTATTTCTCGTAATTATAAGGCGAAACATGTCTCTCGTTCGTATTGTCTAAGTATTAATATATATGAGTAATAGAAGACTATTCATTTTTCCGTATAAATTCCTGATTCTGCAGCCTTAATGTTTGTTATGAATAATGATATTCCTTAAACTAATACCAGCTTTGTACTTCTCATTTTGAATTTCGACATGAATTTCGACTTTAGTTCTTTAAAAAACGGCAAAGTTATTCAACAAACTTCAAGACATCGGAATAGACAACACGGATTTTTAAGTACTACAAACACCGATATTCATATTCAGTTAACCGAATTGCCATTGTCAAACACAGGACAGTCTTTTTTATTCTTTGTGATACACTTCTCGGTCCAGCTCCTTGAACTGTGTAATTTTCAGTCCTTATATATCAACAGTTCAGTAATTTGGTTTGCATCAATACGGGTGCACCTCTGATGAACTTAATGTCAACTTAGCAGTGCAACCACGTAATGTTTAAATGGTCTCATTCTAAAAACCAAGTACTGGTAGTTTATGTTTGGTTATTTTTAATATCTTTGTTTCTTTGCTGTCAGTACACCGTACTGTCGGCAATGTAAATCCGAGCAGTATTTGTGGTCCTAACTTCATTTTTGTAAGAAATATCTGTGATAGTGAATAGCCGTTTTTATTACCTAATTGGGTTGGTGGCGATCGGGGGTTGAACTTAAACCAAAGTCTCATCTTATTTGCCACTCACTAGCAAGATGTATCCTCAACCCTGTGGGGGCCCCCACTTATGCAATCAATATTTCTCACATCGACTGACTAACGAATAGGCTTGGTAAGTAATAGGGACATTGCAATGGTCGATTGAGTCAAATCTGCACTAAGGACTGGATAAACATTATATTTGTTATTGATGGAGTTTTGTTCTCTGAGCTGCAAATATTCTCCACCATTATATTTGTTACTTCTGAGCGAATGTCCGGCGCTTTAACCGGACTCCAAACCAATGGTGCACATGGGCTCCAGTATCCTGAAGGAACAAATGGCGTATGAACCAATCGTTGGTCACCGGCTACCATGGGACTGCATCTCCTCACGATGCTCCACTGCCTTGTGGGTCAGACGTTCAGGTCGAAGGCTCGGGGTGTGGCCCCCTAAGAAAACCACCTGCTTCGGTTTGGGCACCCGGGCAGTATCACAGCCCTCACACATATCAAATGAGATCTGTGTGGCGCATATGTATTTGGTGCCTCCTTGCACCAATATCTATGTGTTGAAATGAAATGAAATGACTTCTGAGTGATCATTCGGTGTGATTATGTTATATTTAGTCATTTTATTCCAGTCGTGGATTCTACGCTTTAAGTGGTAACTTTGATGCAACTTAGTTAGATTAAGAAATATAAAATATTTCCCTCGAGAATCAATTCTCTTGGTCTTTTGTATTAATAATTTCTAACAGATGAAAATCTTTGTTAATCTATTAAAACAGATTTCTGAATTCAACTACTCCACTGACTAACCCCCCCCCCCGATAATGTAGATGACTCACTATTTTTATTTTTCACCAATCTATTCCTTTGTGCTGGTTGACCTTACTATTCCATATGTTACTATGACCTTGTGTATAACGTTAACCTGTTTGCCAGGTCAACAAGTATTTTGTTTTATATTCTAAAGAATCTGTTTGCCAGCATCTTAGGCATATTTCATATTGACATCTGTCAATATAAAATACTGGATTGTTTTCTCTTAGTTGAATCATTCTTAATGGAGGTCAATGGTGACTTGGATAACTTAATAGTAACACCTGGACTATGACGCTGAGATACAATATAGTTGGTTACAAAGGGGAAATGACAAAATTTATCGGTAGTATAAAATTCTATTTAAAAAGCGTCGCAATTTATATACTAAATAGTCATTTAAGCCAACTATTTCAAGACAACTGAAAAAAATTAAATGTTAGTATAATTGTATTACTGAAAAATCTTGAAGAACCTATCTCAAATGTTCACTTATACCCTGACTGAGGATTTAATTTATTCATTCTTCAGCTCACTTGACAATTGCGAATTTGTGATTTCCTTTAATAGTTTTGTTATTCTATTCTTATGCTATGAATTCTTAAATAAATATTTATTTAATATTTTGTTCTTTAAAAATAACATTTTTCCAGAGGAGAAGAAACGTTTAGACCATCGGTTACAAGAACGATTTGCTCAAGATCCTGCGATTATAGGTAATGAGTTTTGAAACAATATTGCTAATATCAAATTATTTGGCAGTTTTTAGTCATTACATAGTAGTGTTTTATGATGAAGAACATTAATTGTTTAGACAGGAACTGTAGAAACTGTTAAATTGACTTTATGTAGACTGATAAATATGCTGTTTATTTTTCCGGTTTTATTCTTATCTCTCCCTTTCTCTTTTAGTCGATAATCTAACTGTTTTTGACATCTGTGTGTCGTGTATTCATGGTATTGTTATTATTATTACAACTTACTTTCAGTACATGTGTTACAATAGCTTATTACTCATTAGTTTGTCATGTTTTTGCAAGGACATTTGAAGGGTTGAAGGAAAAACAATGTGTAAAGTTAATGAGTCATTCACGAATGGAGTTTCATTCCCTTCTAGATAAAGCTTACTGTTAGTTTTACAAAAAAATGTGTTAAATATTGTGCTACGTAGTTCATAAATTTACTTCAGAATTCGATGAGAGCTGTCAACCTATAAATGTTTATTTATTTATTTATTTGAACACATAAATATTGATACACCAAATATATATGCGCCACACAAAACAATGAGAATTCAGAGAGAAGGGAAAAACAAAAAAAGGAGGGTAAGGAGCGTAAAAGAAGAAAGAAGAACAATAACGAACACATTAGTGTAAGGCAGTGTAATAATAATAACATAAATGAGGGAAACGAAAAGGTACACTCAGAAGAAATCTTATATTTAGGGAGGATACAGCCACTTTTTATGAAGAAAGTAAAAGAACGTTACAGCAGGATCGCCACTGGCTTCTATTCTGAGCCATATCTGATAACGTCCTGAACCACTTTGTCGCACCATCTCTATGACTCCAACCAAGGAGTCGCGAAGGACCAACACAAGCCAGTCCTGTACAGCTCTCTTTCATACCACGACACCGTGTCATACACTGACCACATCTCCGCTTTTTCCAACCAGTCCCAGCGTTGGCAAATAATGCACGACGTGGAATTCTCTGGGACGACATTCGTAGAACATGTCCAAGCCACCGAAGTCGGTGTTTCAAGATGGTGACACCAATTGCATTATCGTCTCTGTGCCCGAACACACGATGCCGAACATCTGCATTACTAACATGGTGTTGCCACTGGATGTCAGCAATCCTTCGGAGACAGCGATGATCGAACACAGAGAGTCGTCTAACATCCTCAACTCGGAGAGGCCAGGTTTCACAAGCATAGAGCAAAACTGCTCTCACCGACGCGTTGTAGATCCGACCTTTTACAGCCAGATTAACATCATAAAGGCGCCAAACATGGCCCAGATTGGCATAAGCCGCTCTGGCTTTCACTATACGTGCATTGATCTCATCACTCACACCACCACCAGCACTTTTGCAGCTACCCAAATACACGAACTTCTCGACTACTTCTATCTGCTCACCATCCAGAGTGAGTACAAAATTAGAATTCTGCCAGTCTTGTAGAAATACTTTGCACTTCGAAGGTGCAAGCACATACCATACCTACGGACACTGATTGCCAACTGATTAAGTGTGGATTGCATGGCCTGGGTATCGTCGCACAGTAAGACAATATCATCCGCACACTCAAGGTCGAGAAGTCTTTCTCCAGGCAACAGTTACACACCGCCACTACTTACATCCATCAGAGCTGTTTCCAGAATGTCATCGTTGGCAAAGTTGAAGAGGAATGGTGAGATTGGGCAACCCATTATAATCCCTAGGGCTTGAATGGAACAATCGAGAGGGGTGGTTGTATGCCCTCACTCTACCTGAGGTGTTTGTATATAGAGCCCTCAGGATGTTAATAAACTTCTCAGGCACACCCTTCTTCAATAGACAATCCCAGAGAACAGTCCTGTCCAACGAATCGAAGGCAGACCTGACGTCAAGAAACACTACGATTGTTGGCCTTTGATAAGTATGACGGTGTTCTAACATTTGGCGGAGGGTGAAGATATGATCAATACATCCTCGACCGGAACGAAACCCAGCCTGCTCTTCGCGAGTCAATCTTTCTCGGGTTTTGAACAACCTACGAAACATGACGGAAGCCAACAGCTTGGACGCAATCGGAAGTAGACTTATGTCTTCATAGTTGTTGCAGAAGCGACGTGAACCCTTTTTAAAGATAGGGACAACTATCGACTCAGTCCATGGCGTTGGTACACTCTCCAGTTCCCAGACCTTTGTTAACAACGTCGTCAGCTCCTTAGCCAGAAAGTCACCACCATCTTTACATAGAGCCGGAGGTTAGTCATCTGGGCCCGGTGATTTGTAACGTTTCAAGAGTTGGAGTTCCTTGCGGACTTCCGCCTCATTTGGTGGATCAGTCGTCACCGGCCATGGAGGGCAGGACAGTCTGACCGATGTTGCTGGAGCAGCAGGCCAGTTGAACTGCCCTTCGAAGAATCCGGCCCATCATCCAAGACGTCGATGGATGTTAGTGATTGGCATCCCGTTATCCTTGCAGATTGTTTCGCTCACACCAGACTTCTTACTGCCAGTGTCTCGGATGAGTTGGAAGAGCTTCCGGTAATTACCAGATGCAGCTGCTGCTTCCAGCTCGTTAGCACGCTCCGACCACCAGGCTTCTCGGTCCTCACGCGAGCTTTGTCCAATTTCAGTACGTAACGTCCTTCGTTTGTGGTCAAACTCACGGTCACCCGGAGTAGACTGACGGGCTTCATTGAGTTGTAAGGAACCAGAAGAAACCCAGTGCTTATAAGCGGGACGTTTCGCGAACCCACAACAGACTGTACCCGCCATTTTCATGGCGTCATGCAATTGCAACCAATGCTCATCTATACTTTTCGGTGGAATGGTAGCTAGCCTACAAGCTAGCTCGGTTCGGTACTTACTAGCCACAGAAGTTGCAACCAACTTGCTGATATCAATCCTTTGATGGCGGTCACTTCGTTGTCCACTGAAAAGTAAGGTAAGATTGGCGCAGACCAGGACATGATCAGAGTCTAGATAGGTACTCCAAAAAGATCGGCAGTCTTGTACGCAACCACGCCAGCTATAGTTGATCGCGATGTGATCAATCTGAGTCCAGGCTGGAGATGCAGAGGGAGGATGCCAGGTGGCACATCGGCGATGACTATGCAGAAAGTTAGTGCTAGACAGAAATAGGTTGTGGTCTGTGCACAGCTGCAGTAGACGTTCCCCGTTATCTGTCCTGCGACCAAAATGTCCCCATCGGCCACCTAAACGACTTTCTTCTGTGCCTAGACGCTGACCTGAGCATTGAAGTCTCCGGCTAGCACTACAATATCTGTCGAATGCACTTTCTGGAGAAGAACAGTTAACTGGTGGTAGAACTCATCCTTGATTGCATCCGGGCTGCAATCTATCGGGGCATAGGCGGAGATAACGAAAAGACATCGTTTCTCACGCCGATTTCTTCTCACTTTGATGGAACTTTCTAATCTAACACCACATAACCGACCGTTAATGGGGATCCAGTCGACTAGTGCTGCCTCAGCTCTTGCGCTTAGCGCGACACCAACGCCAGCAAGACCAGACGAAGATGCCACAGGGTCCCCGGATAAACGCACGTAGAACAAGCTTTTCGAAGTGAAAGATGGAGAGCGAATTTGTAGTACGTCACCAGAGTCTTAAATACGGGTCTCGGATAGACAACAAACATCGATATTAAGACTTTCCAAAGACATAGCCAGCCCTATCTGTTGTCCGACCTGCATAAGTGTGCGAACGCTGAAAGCAGCCAGTTTTAAACGGTACACGTGGCTTCAGAAAAACTGCTTCAGTTTTCGTATTCGGTGATAGCATACAGTTTTCAACCAGACAGTGACTCGAGAACGTTTAGATAGAGACGAATTTCCACCATAGTCGAGCTGTTGTATAAGTCGAAGAATAAGGATATATAAAGTGGGAATAAAGGAGAGTGAATAAATGACGTGGTAAATAATAATAATAATAATAATAATAATAATAATAATAATAATAATAATCATAATAATAATCATAATAATAATAATAACAATAATAATAGTAACAGTAATAATATTAATAGTCATAATGTAAATCGTTCGATTGTTAATTGGAGCAAGAAAGTATCTTCCGTATATGTCAACATTTCGTCATATTGTTATGTGGGCTGTGATAGTGCCTGGGTGCCCAAACCGAAGCAGGTGGTTTTCTTAGGGGGCCACATCTCGAGGCTTTGACCTAAAGTTCTTACTCACAAGGCAGTGGAGCATCTTGAGGAGATGCCATCCCATGGTAGCCGGTGACCGAAAATTGGTTCATACGCCATTTGTTCCCGCAGGATACTGGAGCTCATGTGCACCATTGGTTTGTGATCCGATTAAAGCGCCGGCATTCGCTTTTCGTCCTCTTATTTTCGTTAACAACACCCTCTCGACGAGAAGGTAGTGAGTAGGACTTCCCTGGCAGAGACTGTATCCTCGTGGCCGTATTAGAGCATTTCGAGGGGGAGGGAGGGCCTATTCCGCTCTCGGCCATACCAGGGCATTTGGGGGCCCTCCGATAGTTGTTGCATAGATGACGTGAACCTTATTTTTATTAAAAATAGGAACAACTATCGACTGATTCCACGATGTTTGAACACTAACTACCATGCCTTTGTAAATAGCTCTGTCACTTCCTTAACGAGAAGGTCACCACTGTCTTTAAAAAGGGTCAGAGGTAAGTCATCTGAACCTGGTGATTTGTTGTGCTTCATGAGTTGGATCTCCATGCGTGCTTCCACCTCGTTGAGTGGATCAGTCATAGGCCATGGAGGTCAATGGAGATCAATGTTGCTGGACCAGCAGATCAGCTCAACTGTTGCTCGAAAAATGTTAAAATACTTTGTTTTGATGTTTAAAAATTGTTGATATTACAGTGTTTATAAAATGTTGATCAGCAGCAATATCATGCTTCAGATGCTTATCGTTATTTATTGATCGACCTTTAATTGTATGCACTGTACTGACTCAAGTTCACAGTATAGTTTATTTTTACTTGAAGTGGGGATTTAAGGAAACATGTCAGCAACATTAATAAAACTGACGTTTTTCAGAAATTCGAATCCCCATTCAGTTCCCTTAAAACGATTCGAGTTGCGGCGTCATCATTTTCAATTGGATTTTACATACGGACAAACTGATCAGTCAGTCAGCTGCAACGTAGGACCAGGCACGTATATGCATCGGTCCAAGTTGCCATACCGCATTAGCACAACAATTTGAACACCGGATTCATAGAAGTAGTTAATTCAGTGGTGGTAATATATAGAAGAAAGATTGTGTATAAGGAAATAGTAAAGGAAGAAAGAATTAGTTCCTAGACAGATATGAAGCGATTTTAATCTTTTAATTTAAAGGAAGACAGAGAGTGTATACACCGACGCCATTGTGATCGATTCTGAGCCATGTCACCAAGAGTCTCCAACCATTGGTTACGATAGTCACGCGGACCCCAACCAGGCAGTCTGAATCTCCCAACATGGCTCAGCCCAGAAGTTAGAGACTTCAAGCACTGATGCCACGTTTTGGTTTGGCCGCCCCTAACTTTCTTCCAATTATCCCCTGCACTAGTCTGCATTGCGCGTCGTGGTAATCGGTGTTCAGGCATACGCAACACGTGGCCCAACCATCTCAGTCGATCAAGATTCATAACCTCATCAACTGATTTACCATCATTCCCTAATACCCTACGTCTAACCTCACTATTACTTACCCGGTGATCCCAGCAGATACCCGCAATGTTTCTAAGGCACCTGTGATCAAATACCAGTAACTTACGAATATCTTCCACTCTTAAAGGCCATGTTTCGCAGCCGTATAGAAGGACGGAACGATCTGCCGCGCAGTATACTCGTCCCTTAATTGATAGACGGATATCTCGCCTTCGCCATAGATGACGTAAGTTGGCAAAGGCCAAACGAGCTTTTCGAATCCGTGCTGAGATTTCGTCAGGCACCAACCCATTAGGGCTGATCAGACTTCCAAGATAAGTGAAGTTGTCTACACGTTCGACTACCTCACTCCCTATCCTTAGTTCAGGTGTTGATGCAGACCAGTCCTGAAGCAACAACTTGCATTTAGAGGGAGAAAAGCGCATCCCAAACATTCTAGCATTGTTGCTCAGTGCTACCAAAAGACTCTGCATTTCATCAGCGTCTTCACCAAACAGGACTATGTCATCTGAGTATTCTAAGTCAATAAGTGGACCTCCTGGTAGGAGATCAATACCCGAGAAGTCAGTCGATGAGAGCGTTATTTCCATCAGTAGGTCCATGATGAAGTTAAACAAAAAAGGAGAAAGTGGACAGCCTTGACGGACGCCACTTGAGGTTGCAAAAGCAGATGACAGTTCGCCATAGGCTCTGACTCGACTAGTAGTGTTCGAGTAAAGAGCCTTCACAAGGTTTATGTACTTCTGAGGTACGCCTTTCAATGACAGACACTGCCACAGAACCTCTCGGTCAACAGAGTCAAACGCTGCTTTTAAATCAAGGAATACCACCATTGTCGGACGCCGATAAGTATGCCTGTGTTCTAGAACCTGACGAATGGTGAATATGTGGTCGATGCAGCCACGACCAGGTCTGAAGCCAGCCTGATTTTCACGTGTTTGCAGTTCACGAGTCTTAGTTAGGCGTCCGAAAATTATCGAAGCTAGTATTTTAGATACTATATTAGTCAAACTAATCCCTCTGTGGTTGTCATAGGATGATTTTGACCCTTTCTTAAATATTGGGACGATAAGTGATTGTGACCAGTTAGATGGGATAACGTCTAACTCCCAGATTTTAGCTAAAATATTAGTCAACCTAATCGCTAAAACTAGACCACCATCCTTAAAGACCTCTGGGGCCAATCCATCTGGACCAGCTGCCCTTCCTCGTTTCAGATTAGCTATAGCCTTTTGAACTGATAGATGTAAATAATTTTGTTATGTGATGACTTTGTAGCTAAAGCATTCGGAGTTTGATGAATATGCCGAGTTCGAAGCCTTCACTTTTGGAGAAGCAGGCATTACTATGCTTCACACAAATATCGTACCTCAATCTCTCCTATATAAATATATCACATTAATCAGCTGACTAATATCGTACCCAGGAATTCGAATATAAAAGTTAAGTAATTTTACTCGTTAAAAATGAGTCTTTTAAGTGTTGAGCATAATTCAGTCCTACATTTGTTAATATAGGCTTCTCTAACGATTGACTTTTGGTGTTTTTGTTACACTCTGATATGAAAAGAGGGATTCAGCATTCAGTGTTTTCAGATTCAATAGCTTTATCATGCAAATGATGTAATTTTTGTGCAGGTATTTCGCGCTGCGTTACAAACGTGCAAATTTTCTTACTAATTAATTTTTACCTTTAAGAAATGTATACTTTATAATATTTATTACGTACGCTCTCCATTGTTAGTCTACACGAGAAATATTGTTTTATTGGCAGTAAAAATTAACAATCGTCGGTTGTTTAGATCACATTTATCGGTACTATTCTATTTCAACCTGTTCAGATAAGTTAATATAATTGCGTGATACAGCCGATAAATTATTGTAAATCTGCATTTTCGAGGTACACACATCCACATCACAAATGTTAGTACAGGTAAACAATAAACATATATAATGGAATATTTATCAAGGTGAATGTTGAATTGTTTTTGGATCTGAAAGAAACCAGTATCGTTTTATTAAGTGATAACAGATGTTTGTTGAAGTTCATTTTTAAGGATTGCTACTGATCGTCTGATGATCATTTTATCTCGTAGATGTGTTTTATGGAATTTGATGAGCACTAGATTGAATGACAGCCTCTTTTATTCCATGAGTGTAATCAACTCAGTTTTCCTGAACATCGACTAACATTCAAATTTATCTCTGGTAATTCTAGTTGTTGCAAAATGCAAATCCAGAGTCCTGAATCAATATTTCTTTAAGGCCATAGATGTGCCTTAATATTGAGTTCTTTGATTAACTGCATATGAACTATAAAGTTAGGAACCTTGTAAAGAACTTTTATCTCTTGTGTGGTTGGATTCCGTTCGATCACTAGGTGAAAATTCAACGGTGATATTCTTATTCCATTGAACCAAGTTACTGATTGTATCACATATTGTATGGGATTAGAAACATATTGCTTTTTTAGAGCAAGATATAGTTGTTTCGTTTTTTAAATATTTGGCATCTATGATAGCTGTATTTATTGCCTAATTACCGTAATAATGGTAATTTCCATTGCCTAATTGTAAGGAAAATTTTTTCTGAGGTTTATGAAAATTCACTCCTTTTTTATTCCGAATCTCCATTCTTCTCTTTCCCTTCACTTTCCTTCAGTTATTTTCGTGAAGTCTTTTTAGCACTTTTTCTTGCTAGAATTATGAAGATACACTCTTCAATATACATCGAATTCTACACCTACAATATAAACGCCATTGTATTCATTTATTGCAAACGAATATATATATATATATATATATATATATATATATATATATATATATATATATATATATATATATAGCTTAATTTTCTCGAACCATTGATAATTGTCTATCTTCTCGAAAACCCTGTTCACTGTTACCCTATATTATTGTTCAATCTGTTTAGCAGTCTATTTAGTTCACAAGTTGCTCAATTTCTATTTAGGGAATAATACTCGTGTTTATCATCTTAACTTACTAGTTAAATTTGAATTATTCGAAAAATTTGACTGCTTTAAACTTGTCTAATGTTAGGTATTTTGAGACAAATAGCTAAAGATTCTGAATGAAGGTTTGTGTGTTTGTCAGTCTCCAGTTACTGTGCAACATAACGCCAAGTTGCTTGGCTAGTTATGACGATTTCAGCATTAGATCGACTGTAGATCAATAAAGGTGAATTAATAATAAACGAATAAACTGACGGTATTCTTCTGCACAACTTTAAAGTATTAATAGCGATATAAGGACGATTATATATTTAAAGCAATTAGTCCCTTTTATAAATTTCGATAGAACAATGAGAAAATGGAGTTGATCTGAATAATGTGATGTATTTGCGCTACACATTTCGAACAATCTGGTCACACATATACTTGTCAGGGCATTTTATATAAAAATTAATAAAGATCAATTACATGAAAGTTCAAGTACAAACAATAGTGTTCAAGATGATATTGTGATGACTTATGAAGCAGAAAGTATGGCCAATTGGCCTTTTTAGACATGCTTTTAGGTTGAAGGGATGATGGTAATATTAGGCGGTCAGTGTATAGGAAACCTACCTGGACAGGACAATACTTAAATTTCCATAGTTTTTGTCCATTGCAATACAAGCGAGGCTTGGTTAAGTGTTTCTTTAAGAAGACTCAAAGACCTTGTTTATTCAGTTCCAAAGAAAAAAGTTTATATCAATCTACCATATAGAGGTAAATCCAACAGCATAGTTTTAAGACAGAGATTGAAAGCAGCGATCAAGAATACCTATTATGCTGCTCAATTGGATGTGATTGAAAGGTCTAAGGCCATGGTTCCTAATAGACTCGGACAATGCACTAATGATCACATCACATCCCATTGTATTTACCAATTTACACGTTTGTGTGGACACACATACATAGTGAGTAGTAATGGAACAATGCAATCAAGGGTCAATGATCATGTGCCTAAATGGCTTCAAAATCAATGTGTGTCAAACGATCCGGTCAACGTGGGAGCTAGAAAACCAGGTTCATCGATAGCGAAACATATAATTGAAACGGGTACAAAATTGACATTAATACAACTAATTGTTTGTCGTAAATATGTGAGTTAACGTCGTATTATAAGGGTTTTGTTGTTTTCGTATTTAATGATATTTGTTTATTTGTAAATCACGTTATTCATCTGTTATTTTTGTTTTTTCTTGCCTTTCTTCATCCCTTGTAGGTCTTTTCGATCCTAACTCACCTCCATATATTTTAGAAGCAAATAAGCCTATAAATATCGTTCTAGAGCCAATGAAATCATGGTCAGGTCAGTGGCATATGCCCACAGCGCGTTATATACGCTATAATATTACAGTATCTTCGTTAGCCTCATCAGTTGGTGTATTTATGCGTCACAACACAATGCCAACCATTATACATTATGATATATTTGATAGAATAACTGGGCACAATTTATTAGCAAATTCTGGTCGACAAGAATTAGGCAGTCGTACAAAACGTGCCACTCAATCAACTAACCGAAATTCAAAGTCTTTAATTCATATAGGTTCTAAAGTGAGTTTAGCCGTTCTTTTATTATTATTACACGTTTTCCAGACATTGAGGTGACTTTCTTTTTCTTATCAAAAAATAACTTTGGAAACTTTTATGTGAATGAACAAACATTAGTCGGACAATCGTAGAATAATTGGCAATCTGATAGCTTTTTACGCTTGTTTTGTACTATGTCCCTATTCTCAGGTTAATCAAGGATTGAACGAAGAATAATGAGTATGCTTTAAAAATACTTTGGATTTAGGTGATTGATCTTTGATCATAAAAAGAAATACTTTCCATGTTCACCTGATTAGTTGAACAAGTTCCATTTTTCATTAAAATTTTAAGGAATGTATCGCTATACGAAACCCCTATGCATATTTTTAAATTCACTTAAAGTTGTGGCTAACTATCACTTCTGTGGAAATTTTTCCTGATTGAAACCCTCCATCTTTGTGCAACCCTAACAAGTAGGCATCGACTTTAAAAATCCAATTTTATTTAACAAATTGGTTTTGTGGAAATGGAGTATGATTTTCATCATAAACTAACGTCAAATCTATATCCACGAAATAAATTCAGTAAATAGTAACCATGTAGTCCTTAGTGAATAGTTTGAAGATTTGCTTTTTAAAGTTCCGATGGTGATATGTGAAGTCATTCAAACAGATGGTTGAGTGAGATAGCTACCGATGAGTCAAATATGGTGGGGGGGGTCACGAATTGACTGAATTTAAAAATGTAAGCCGGTTCAGTGGCTTTCATTGGTGTTATGGTTGCTGCTTGACCTGGAAGTTTCAGGTTCACAAATTTGATTACATTTTAACTATGGTCAGATGCCTGTTTATTGTTCTTTAGTTTACAAAGGTTCTGCAAGTGACATCGGTTATTGCTCACTTTTTGCACGTGCAATAAATGTTTTATATGACTGTCTTTAGTTTTGTGATATTATGAAACGTTATTTTTTATTTTTTAAGTTATTATGCAATCGACTCGAAATTTCTATCCAGTTGTACCTTTAAGCGACATATTATTAATTCACTATTTAAAAAAGAAACTACTTTTGGTGGTGACATCTTTTTACATCCTCATTACATGTGTTAACGCCTTGAGTGTATTTCTTCTGTTTTATTTTCCTCTAATGGCGGCACCATTTACACGTTTTTAATCTTTTTTTTTTTACATTTTAAAATTTTGCACGTTTGTTAACTCATAGGCAAAAATTGCTGTTATATGATTTCTAACACACTACACAGTTGTAAAACCGAATAAATAAACTATGACTGAATAGAGTTTCACTGGTTGAAATCATGAATCCATTGAAGCCAGACCACCATGGAAAACCTGGTCTAGCTTCAATGGATTCATGATTTTAACCAGTGAAATTTCTAAAATCTCCACACAATCCCTTCTGTGAATAGAGTTTATCAATGTCGTTTTTCTAAACTAGGCTTCATAACAATCAATGTGTTTTCATAAACAAAATAAATAATCGATCATATATAACTGTTGATATTATACTGTTTCTTTGTACCTTAATTTAGAACAAACTTGATTGTTTGCAATCACTTGAGGTATTTGCAAAAAGTAAACGTTGTCTACTTTCAGGTTAGGTTAAATAATGGTTTTTTTCTTTTCTTGTTGTTTATTTTTGTCTCTAGTTATACTGTAAAATTTTTCAGAGATATTGTCGAATCTTTCAACTCTCAAACGAAATCAGTTGCTTTTTATGTAATGTTATTCAGTTGACTGACTAGAGTCTGACATTGATTTGTTTACGTCCAAATTTCTATGCACTTTGATCAATACAAATCCATAAAAAGGGAATAGATCGTAAAAAAAATGGCAAAATGAATATCATATCAAAGCACATAGTTTACGTTTGGCTTGCTAAGTTCTTTTTTACAAAGAATAAACATCAGTCAACCATTTTCCCCAACATAAACTTATTTCGATATTCGAAGAAAAGTTCATTTGATCTTTCCGTGACAAAGTAATTACTTGGAAGAAAAGTGTTCCTTTTTCGATTACATTAACCTTAACTGACATATTTCAAAGAATAATTAAGTTACAGTTCCATTCTATTTAGTTATAAACAAGATGCTAACTACAAATTCATTTATAGTATTATCTTAATGAAAAAATTCCCTCTTCACTTTAGTTAATTGTGATTATGTAATTATTCAGATAAATTTATTCTGAAAAAAAGAGTTCATGAAATAAATTTCTCGCTATTGTTGATCTGGAGATAAAACTTCGCCTCTGACTATTCGAGTGTTACTACCTCTCTCAAGCCCGGGTAAAGGAGGAGAGTTGGGCATGGAGTCAGCAACCCCATTTCGTAGAAAACAACGCTTAAGAATCTGGGTTTGCTTTGAGTACTTACGTTATTCATTACAAAGAAGATAAACATTAGCTTCAATTATCATGGTTCATTATTCCGTGGTCTAGGCTGACACAACTTCAATACCTGAGACATTCATCGTAATTTATTGAGTCCAAAGTTACTTAGTTGTCCCTTGATCAGTGATTATGCGTCCCATAATAAACTGCTAACTATCTGAGATACCGTTAATAACTTGAAAACAAAGTTATCTCAATAACACTTTAGCATTAAGAAGCATGTAGCCACATATAATTAAACACTTTAGTATAATTTATAAGCATACCTGTGGACAACTGATCAGGAGTATTTGTTGAATCACTTTTAGGTGTATTATCTTGATTCGAAACTTCATCCAAAGTATGAAATCTCATATTCACAGGGATTTGACTCCTGACAATACGAGTTACATCAATGGATTTAGCATTCGGATATGTAATTTGTAACAAACGACCTGATTCAGGAGCATAGTGAAATTGTGTATAACTTGAATCCTGTGGATTTTTTAAGTAAGTTAAGAGACCGTCGAATGAATAAAGAAATTTCCAAAGACCTCCGTTAACTGGATCAACAAGAGTACTAATGCGTTGTCCAGAACCAGGTTCCAGTGTTACATTGTACAGATGACCTGAAATTAGAAAAAAACTGTATTTAACGAGTAATATGAATTAAATCCTAACACTATCACATTACACCGAGTATAAAAATGTCATGGGACGACGTGGACTTGGAGAAAAGAACCAAAATGGTGAGTGACTTGCGAATCTATATCTTCTCAACAAAATCGTTATAAGTGGCACCATTTTCCCCCAACCGGTAGTGGCCAAGCTGAAACTATAGCTAAAGAAGAATTGGACACCTCGACAAACAACACTAGAAAGGTCTGATACAGATTTTTTTCGAGATACTGACAAATTCAACCAATTCAAGATATCTTGCAACAACAGGTTTCAGACCTTACAAGATCAACTTAAAGAAGAGGAAACCAATATGAAAACAACCGGGAAAGGATTGAATAAGCCGTAACTCCGATATTTCAGAAGGTTCTGGGCCGCAAGAAGCACCAACATGAAGAATAGATCTCCATCAACACCTTAAACACGATTCATAAAGGGAATGTGACAAGAGGACAGTAATCAACAACAGCCGCATAAGGGCAGAGAAAACCAAAGGATTAACCGAATACACAGGAGCAAAGAGACGAGTGAGAAAGAGCTAGTAATGACAGTAGAAAAAGCTGGAAGAGAAGGAAATATGGGACAATTATATGACAATAAAAAAACTAGCAGGAAAATATGATAGACCGCAGAGATCAGCCAAGAACAAATAAAGCAAAACTTTGAAGAGTTCTTGAGTAAACCAACGTTAATGAACCCTCTCCATATTGAAGCAGCACCTACAGACATTCCCATAGATGTCACTCACCAATGATCGAAGAAATCACGATGACCATCAAACAAATCTATAAAGACAAAGCATCAAGATCAGACATTATCCTAGCTGAAGCACTAAAGTCAGACATGAAAGTAAATTGAAAGATGCTCCACATCCTCTTCAGAAAGATTTAAGAAAAAAGAACAAGTACCAACAGACTGAAAAGAGGGATGTCTCATCAATACACCAAAGGAATATCATAGCAGGTATGAGAACCAGTGTAGCAGCAGTCCCTGCATTAGTATGCCTCAACATACACAAGGGAAAAAGTAAGATGCTCAAAAAGAACACGAAGAACGCCAACCCAATCACACTTGATGGAGAAACTCTGGAAGAGGATGAGATGTAGACGTAAATACAAGTATTGGCAAAGCAAGGGCAGCATTCCTACAGTTGAAGAACATATGGAACTCAAAACAACTGTCAACTAACATCTAAGTCATAATCTTCAATGCGAACGTCAAGACAGTTCTACTGTACGGAGCGGAAACTTCGGGGACTATTGCAAGCATCATTAAATAATTAAAGTATTTCTAAACAATTTTCTACGCAAGATACTTAATGTCCGTTGGTCGTAGAGGACAAACCAGCTTCCATCTGAAGAGGAGATTAGGAAAACACGCTGGAAGAGGATAGGGAACACATTAAGGAAATTATCAAACTGCATCACTAGACAAGCTGTAACTTGGAATAGTGAAGGGAAATAGCAATGATGAAAGCAGAAGAGCACACTGCGTCGAGAATTGGAAGCAGACATGATAAGGATGAATAGAAACTGGAAAGTATTTCACAGGACAGAGTTGGATCGAGACTGCTGGTGGAAACCCTATGCTACTCTACGAGGGGTAACAGGCGTAAGGAAGTAATCTTGAGACATAATTCTCTATTACTTCTTGGTTATTTCATTCTACAATTTGACTAAAATTATGCTTCACCTGTGAAAGATTTTTGCAAAGATAAGTTTCACGAGAGGCTACAATCGATCATACCAAAGTGCTCAGGAAAGAACCTGACCATCCTGATGAGAGACCTAAACGCCAAAGTCGGAATGGGCAACACTGGCTATGAAGATATTATTGGACAACATGCACTAGGGAAAAGGAATGAAAATGGTGAAAGATTTGCAACTTTATTTGCATTCAATAAATGGTTATAGGAGGCACGATATTCCCACACAAACACGTACACAAAGCTACAACGGTCTCACCGGATCACACCACACAGAACCAGGTCGATCATATTTGTATCATTGAAAACTTCAGAAACTCAGTGGAAGGTATGAGAACAAGGACAGGAGCTGACATAGCTTCAGATCACCACTAGCTGGTTGTGGCCAAAATAAAACTGAGGCTAAAGAAGCATTGGACAACTGGGGAAACAGCAGTACCAAGGTTTGATACAGGCTTTCTTCGAGATACTGACTAACCCAACGAACTCAAGATAGCTCTCAACTACAGGTTTCAAGTCTTACAAGATCTACTCAAAGAGGAGGAAACTACTGTGGAAGACAAATGGAAAGGGATCAAAGAAACACTGACTTCGACATGTCAGGAGGTATCCAACCACAACAAGCTTCATCATAAGGAACAGATTTCTATGGAAACCCTGAACAAGATTTAAGAAAGGAAGAGCAAGAAGACAACAATTAACGACAGCCAAACAAGAACAGAGGAGGTCGACACACTGGCTGGACACACAGAAGCAAACAAGGAAGTGAGGAAGAATATTAGAACTGACAAGCAGAAATATGTAGAAGACCTAGCAAGGACAGCGGATAAAGCTACAACAGAAATAAATATGAAACAACTATATGACAACGAAATTTTGTGCGGAAAATAATGGTTATGACTATCATGATCTAACTGACCTAGTGTTGTAGTTTGTCTTTGTGTTATACTGTCATATCTTTTACGTTTTGTTAAAAGTAATTTATACAGCTATGCCACGAAACATGTTAACTAAATTACGACCGTGAAGAAACCACGGAATGAGTAAATGTTGTCAATTTCGTATTGTTTACCCAGCTTCAAGATGTACGTTTCAGATGCTGTTGTGATGCAATACAACCAACAAATAAAAATAAAAGAACAACATTTTACCTGTTGGCGTTTGAAGGCGTAAAAGATTTCCATGTGTATCACGATGTATACTTAATTTAATACTATGATCATCACCACGAATTTGTGAAAGCCAACCGCTTATTTCATTATTACGATAATCCAGTCTATGCGATATCATTTGAGTAGAAGCACTCTCAGTGGAAATCAACTGGCCATAAGAACCGAATGAATCGATTTCATCTGTTTGTGAGTATAGTATACGATAAGTGTTGCCTGTTTCAGACTTTTCCGGCAATTGATAATGTACACGATATACCTGTTGCATAAATAAAGTGTGAAGTGAATCGTGAAGTAACAAGTAGATAAAATCAATTGCAGCAAGAAAATACAAACTGATACCAATAAAAGTGAGGATATCGAGATAAAAATGGTATTTTAAGAAAATTCCAACATATGATATCTGAAATAAACTCAAAAACCAATTGACAGTAGAATCTAATCGGTGAAGAGTTCCAGTCAGGATTTAAGACTCATACTCATGGTGATAAAGTTTGTTAATCATCATTGAGTCGGCAACTTAGTTTGTTTAGATATGGGTGAAACTTGAAAACAGAATGAACACCTGTGCTATAATGCCCGTCTTTCGTTCACCTGGCATCCAAGCTAAGATAGATACCAAGTCATTAAATTATAATTACCGGCCAAGTCTTAAGCAAAGACTAGCAGTGGAATACAGGTCGGGCTTTTCGCCCTATTTGGGACTCGTCAGATGGACAGACTTTGTACACTTCTCTTCAATGGTAGATGACTGCAGGTAATGGACGGGAAACTCTGGACTTACGTTCCGTCCTTGTTAAAACTTGTCAGCAAGAGAAATCTGCAATCTTTAAGAATACGATGCCTGCCATAGGGTTTAAATGCGTGTTACTCAGTGTAACATCTAGAGATGCAGTTGGCATCAAAATTAAGAAATGAAATATAGAATAGCATTTCCTTATTAATCTAGTGTATCTATCTATACATGAGAATCTATCTTCAGCATCAAAAATTAAAATTGGTCCTAATTTATTGATCTATCAAACAATTTGGTAGAATAAAATGTGGTTTAGGATTCAGAAATACAGGTATCGATAGGCTGAGCAAATAAATACTAAATCAGACAAACATATACGAATGTGTCCCCACCTGAGGTAAAACTCTCTAATGCCACGAAAGATTATTCAATCACAATAATTCTGCATGAATATTTGATATATATGAGTGCAGACATTACATTTTCAATGATAAATCAAATAAAATCGGTATGTGAAAACTATTCTTTAAATGATCATTTTCCAAGAACTGTTAGTCAAAACAATATTTCACTAACATACTTTAAACCAATAGGATTTATTAAGTATTATTATTATTTAAGTAGAGGATCCTAAGAATAAGTAAGCTTAAATAGATTAACTAGTTTGTCTAAATTCGAAAACTGTTTTCGAATGCGCGGTTTTATCAACCTCGTACAACCATAGTCTTCGATATTCGAGTCCCATGCGGTGATTTTTATTACTTTTTTCATATTTATAAAATTAAGTCAAAACTGTACTTTAAACTTTGGTGTATGAACGTTTAACTGACTGGTAATTGTATTTATAACTCCTTGTTTGTTTTTTCACTCACTAAGTTGACTTTACAGTTATCATTCATTCGTTGTTTGGGAATAATCTAGGAAATGCGGCTAAGTTGGGAACAGAATGCAATGACTATTTTCCTATAAATGATAGAAAGCCAGTAATACCAGTGACGAAAATCGATTAAAATCCGTTTGTGCTCTATTTAAAATAAATAAATGTATTGGCGCAAATACATCTTCCAATTATCACTTGCATTTAATTGGCCTTTCATTTAATTTACTTTCATTAGTCGTATAACCAAGTATAAGTTCTAAAGTCGTTTTTATCAGTGTACAGTTTTGTGGAGGTAGATTTTTGTAAATTCACTGTGCATACTTCTTATTTGACCATTATACTGCTTACGTATATTATGAATTTAAATACAATCTTGAACCGTTTTTTTTCATTAAAAAACATTTGAAGTAGTATAAATAACAAAATAGTCTGCGATAATAGTGTTTCACTAGTTATCTTGAAATGAATTAATCATTTCACTGTTATTGAGAGGCTCAGTAAACGATAAAATCATTACCCCTTATAAATGCTATGAAAATCGAGCTAGGTGAAATTTGTACACTCTCGGGATTCTTCATTGCACTAAGAAATGAGATTTCTTTTGAACAAACTGTTTATAGTTTCCACGTATATGACTGATTATAATGAACTTATATATCAAATTTTTTAAACTAATTTTCTCCATTTTTTTCTCCAATTTCGTAGGATGAATTACGTGAAACTGGGCGTTTGCATTATTTAGATGAAGGGATTTGGTTTCTGGCTTTGGTTAACGATCAACCTCGACGTGAACCAATCAAATTCGCTATCGGTGATGCAGGTAATTATTCTCTAACTGATTTATCTGTGAATGTATATCTTTTTGAAGCTTGCGATTATTTGAGCTATTTCTCTTTTACTGGGGTGTTTCGTTCAATTGTTTTTCTACAACAAATTGCCTAATAATATGTGTATTTTACTCCACTACTTATCAATTTGAAAATATTTCTCGTCACAGATTGCCACCAGCTAATCACTTTATCGAACCTAAGGTGCACTTGCCTAGTGTTTTGCTTTAATTTGGAATTTTCCAGAAATCTAAACGTATGTCAAATGGCTATCCGGATGCATTGGTTACATTCATTTACATGCCGTCATTTGGCCTATTCCGCACTGTAGTTACTGCTTTAAATCAATATAAATCTCACTCGTCAAATAATGGAAGTTTCATATAGATTAAATGATTTAAAAATACCTAATAGGATTTTTTGTATTTGGGTGCTTTCATTTTGAATCTGAGATGAAGTTATGCAAGACTTGTCTATTGTACAACTTATACTGCTCATTGTTATACACATATAACAGTCTACCAACTACGATTATCTTAAATAATCTGGTCATCATTTGGATAACTAAATCTACCTAATGATAGTTGATATCCAACAATGTATTGTGGGATCACCTTAAAAACACAACACAAACATATTGTACTCATTGATGAGATGCTGTTCGAACTGCTTTTAGCAGTTAAGTTTGTTAAATTAACTATGTGGTTATGCGTTGAACCAGCAATTCATAGATTTCATTTAGAATACAATTCTCCTTACAAACTCAAATTTTATTCTTTCACGAAGTTAACTATCCTTAGGCAGTCAATCAGCTTTCAAAAGACTGAATTCGTCTTATCTAAATGTATCGGATGTCTAACGAAGAATGCTGTGAATATTATTCGCCGTCAATCATCATTAGAAGTTCAACTACAGACAATCAAAATTTATTATTATTGTTATCATTATTATGAATCATTTGTATGTGGATAATTAATCTTCATCAAATTAAAACAAGAGAATAATGAAACCATCATTGATGATAAATAAACCAAACGTAAAATATTTGTTAATTAATGAGATGCGATGTATGTAGTTCCAACATATTGTTTAATAATTTATCTGAATCATCAAAAATAACAGTTGAATCATCATGATATGAAGTAATAATAATAATAATAATAATAATAATAATAATAATAATAATAATAATAATAATAATAATAATAATAGTAATAATAATAATAATGATAATAATAAATAGCGTGTGGATTGATGTACCCGTTCATTTACTAGACGAGGATAATGTGGGTTAACTTAGTTACCTTTGTCTGTAAGTTGGTACATTATAATGGTTTATCACTGATTGTATGTGTGAGTGTATGAATGGCAGAAACCGATTTTTTTGTGTGCATTTGTTTGCCTTATCAAATTATTTCATAGAACTAATACTTAGTATTCTGAATTTCGTTAGAAAAAACTGCGAGACTAAACGTATTTAGTAGATGGATTTCTGTATAATTCTTTCTCAACTTAGTGCTTTACTGATTCAATCAGATACCTTGGTTATTCAACTCGTTTCAAATTTTCTTCGATCAGTGAATGTTTCGCTCGTTTATTGTCTAGCTGAAAGATTCACAAGTATTTGTATTTCATCGAGAGTTCTCTCAGTCCAAGTAACACGTAATGAAATGACGTGGACATGGGATTACCTAATAATTCATCTATTAGGAAGCACTTTCACTGTATTGATTTCTTGAACATTCGAAGTCGAAGTACCCGTGATAAATCGATTAATTTTTGTATATGCACCGCCGTATTTGTATGTCGTACCTTTAATCTATAGTATGTCAACTAAGATGATTGAAGTTAAGTGATTAGGAAGACGTTTATATCACTTATCAAGTGTTTCCCATCACTTTCAGTTACGATTCAACAATAACTTTACTTGTAAGTATGAATACTTCTTCTGTAACCTTTTCCGTCTGTTAGTGAATTCTCTCTATAATTAAAAATCTGTATAAATGATGAGCATTACTAAGAAGCATTTTGCAAAATGGTGATAAGAATGTCGATATTTTCATATGGTAGTTAATTTGTTTGTTTGTTTTTTTAACTGTTGTTTCTTTCTGCGTCATCTTCTGACTCGATTTCAGTTAGCAAATATTTCAGCATTAACGTTTACATTATTATCATGGAGATAATCAGCTTAATACTGAAACGTTTCTTGTCCTAAATTCTGAAATCGTCTCGATCTGACCATCGCTACCATGCGGTACAATCACCTACAACTTCCGTCATTACACATGTTTTCATCTAATAATGATACTTTTCAAAGTTACTGAAACTACTTACTGTGCGTTCAAAAAATCGCTCTTCCACGTGGGATTCTAACATTTTGTGGGTTATATAATATTCCTAGTCATTGTGGCAACAAATATTCTTTTGCCAGCTTAAATAGTTTTCGAGATTTGGATGACGACTTCTTAGGAGTCTCATATGAAAATGAGGTAGTATTCTATTCCCTCTTGATTTTCACTATTTTTTAGTCCAGTTTGTGATGTGAAACGTAAAGTATTCATTTACTTATTACCATCGTTTAATGTAAACAAACAAACATCACTTTATTTAACTGAAGTCGTAATATCAAGTACAAAGTTTTGAATACACAGTTTTAAATTAAAAAAAAATTTATTTTATGAAATGTTTATTTTGTTAAACGGTTTAGGTTATAAGTTGTTTTCTATTAGTCTCTCATCATTCTTGTTAATAATACTGTTGTACACATGTAAATGATTACTAACTATTACAATCCATCTGTATATGCATGAAATAATAATATTGTTTTCCTTTCCTACATTCAAAATGATCTCCCTAAGACGGACTATCACAGTCCATAAACAAATTTGTGTGCACATAAAAGTGTTATGTAAATATAAAATATCGAGTTGTAAACTTTATACACTGAAAGCCAGTGTTATGGTTGTAGGTGGGAGTGGTGATCATGCAGCAGTAGAAGTAATAATAGTGGTAGTAGCTTTTATTGTGATTATTCATGCTGTAAACTGACCTTGTAGTCTTACAAAGATTGTTTATGTTTACGTTTTTATTTACTAATTACCAACTGAATCTATGTGCAAAAACACATTATTATTTGTTCTTTACTTTTTCTTCAATGTATAGCTATTGTAATTTTTGTGTAAGGAAATTCAATTCGTCCTTTCTTGATTGCTTATTGTCTTACCCTGGTTGATTTCCTTGAAGATCCTTTTTTAAAATTGAAGATCTGATTATTTGCCTCTTTTGTTTAAAATCAGCATTTTGTCTTCTCAATAAACACTAATATAGATAACAGAAAGAGGAGCTGTAGCATTATGGATTATGTTAACTGAACATGTTTTCATTCAGTATAAATATCAAATCTGACAACGATTCTTGGTGTATGTTTAGGCTAGAAAGGTTACGAGTCTTACTCATGTAGTCATTGATTGTATATTTTTTTCCTGTAGGATCCTGTCTATCTATTTGATTGGGTTCCTGTAATATTGGAACTTACTAGTTGAAAGTTGTGTACGACAATTTGAAATAGATCCCGAATAAACAGATGTGTTTTATTCTTACTAGATATATGCTTTGTTTTTGTTTTATTTTATTCTTATCCTATCTTGGCTCATTTGACAATCATTATATCCGCTTGTTGACCTCGTATTGTGGTGTTTGTCCGAACTATGACAAATTTTATGTTGTTGTTGTATCTACCTATGAATAATATTCTTGACATTTTCTATGACCTTCTTCTTGAATGTCGATCTTTCTCCAAGCATCTATCTTCCCTCTGTGTTCCAACGCGTTGGTGATAATTGTTGAATTATTGTGTTTGTCAGTTGACCAGTCTATCAACTTCGATTAGATCGCACTCCTATCAGAGAAATCACAATTGTTTGTAATTAAAAGTAACTATAAAACAAGCGCAAAATATAACATTATTACGTTAGTCTCGTTAGTGAATCAGTCGTCAATACGATTGTATTGTATTGTAATGCCTGTTACTCCTCGCGAAGGAGCATAGGCCGCTCACCGGCATTCTCCATCCAACCCTGTCCTGGGCAATCCTTTCCAGTTCTTATTCATCCCTTTCATATCCGCTTCTATTTCCCGACGTAATGTGTTCTTTGGCCTTCCTCTTTTCCGCTTTCCTTCAGGATTCCAAGTTAGCGCTTGCCTCGTAATGCAGTTTGATGACTTCCTCAATGTATGTCCTATCCATTTCCATCGTCTTTTTCTAACTTCCTCTTCAGCTGATAGATTCTCGCAAACTCATCCCATCAGGTTCTGAATACGATGAAGAGCGTAAAGAAATCAAATCTAGATTAAGCAAAAGTTTAAAGAATGATCGTGAGCAGTGGTGGGCAACGAAAGCAAAAGAGATGGAAAAGGCGGCGGCTATAGGGAACACAAGACAACTCTACAGACTAATAAAAGAAACTGGAATTAATAAATCAAGTGTAAGTCAGACCATTTCGGAAAAAGACGACACTCTCATCTGCTCCCAGTCCAGACGCTTAGAACGATGGGCGGAACACTTTAAGGAGCAGTTTAGCTGGCCTTCAGCTACTCTACAACTACCCTCTATTCCCAGACAGTATGAATGGAACATTGAAGTAGGTCCTCCAACTCTAGCTGAAGTTTGAAAGGCTATAGCTAATCTGAAACGAGGGAGGGCAGCTGGTCCAGACGGATTGGCCCCAGAGGTCTTTAAGGATGGTGGTCTAGTTTTAGCGATTAGGTTGACTAATATTTTAGCTAAAATCTGGGAGTTAGACGTTATCCCATCTAACTGGTCACAATCACTTATCGTCCCAATATTTAAGAAAGGGTCAAAATCATCCTATGACAACCACAGAGGGATTAGTTTGACTAATATAGTATCTAAAATACTAGCTTCGATAATTTTCGGACGCCTAACTAAGACTCGTGAACTGCAAACACGTGGAAATCAGGCTGGCTTCAGACCTGGTCGTGGCTGCATCGACCACATATTCACCATTCGTCAGGTTCTAGAACACAGGCATACTTATCGGCGTCCGACAATGGTGGTATTCCTTGATTTAAAAGCAGCGTTTGACTCTGTTGACCGAGAGGTTCTGTGGCAGTGTCTGTCATTGAAAGGCGTACCTCAGAAGTACATAAACCTTGTGAAGGCTCTTTACTCGAACACTACTAGTCGAGTCAGAGCCTATGGCGAACTGTCATCTGCTTTTGCAACCTCAAGTGGCGTCCGTCAAGGCTGTCCACTTTCTCCTTTTTTGTTTAACTTCATCATGGACCTACTGATGGAAATAACGCTCTCATCGACTGACTTCTCGGGTATTGATCTCCTACCAGGAGGTCCACTTATTGACTTAGAATACTCAGATGACATAGTCCTGTTTGGTGAAGACGCTGATGAAATGCAGAGTCTTTTGGTAGCACTGAGCAACAATGCTAGAATGTTTGGGATGCGCTTTTCTCCCTCTAAATGCAAGTTGTTGCTTCAGGACTGGTCTGCATCAACACCTGAACTAAGGATAGGGAGTGAGGTAGTCGAACGTGTAGACAACTTCACTTATCTTGGAAGTCTGATCAGCCCTAATGGGTTGGTGCCTGACGAAATCTCAGCACGGATTCGAAAAGCTCGTTTGGCCTTTGCCAACTTACGTCATCTATGGCGAAGGCGAGATATCCGTCTATCAATTAAGGGACGAGTATACTGCGCGGCAGTTCGTTCCGTCCTTCTATACGGCTGCGAAACATGGCCTTTAAGAGTGGAAGATATTCGTAAGTTACTAGTATTTGACCACAGGTGCCTTAGAAATATTGCGGGTATCTGCTGGGATCACCGGGTAAGTAATAGTGAGGTTAAACGCAGGGTATTAGGGAATGATGGTAAATCAGTTGATGAGGTTATGAATCTTGATCGACTGAGATGGTTGGGCCACGTGTTGCGTATGCCTGAACACCGATTACCACGACGCGCAATGCAGACTAGTGCAGGGGATAATTGGAAGAAAGTTAGGGGCGGCCAAACCAAAACGTGGCATCAGTGCTTGAAGTCTCTAACTTCTGGTCTGAGCCATTTTGGGAGATTCAGACTGCCTGGTTGGGGTCCGCGTGACTATCGTAACCAATGGTTGGAGACTCTTGGTGACATGGCTCAGAATCGATCACAATGGCGTCGGTGTATACACTCTCTTTCTTCCTTTAAACTAAGAGATTAAAATCACTTCAAATCTTTCTTTCTACGAACTAATTCTATCTTCCTGTACTATCTCCTTATACACACTCTTTCTTCTATATATTACCACCACTGAATTAACTACTTTTATGAATCCGGTGTTCATCTTGTTGTGCTAATGCGGTATGGCAACTTGGACCGATGCATATACGTGCCTGGTCCTACGTTGCAGCTGACTGACTGACTGAGCTGGAAGTTGATTTGTTCTCTCCCACAAAAGGCTGTTGCTGATGGTATCCGGCCAATGGATGTTGAGTATCTTGTGTAGACAGCTATTTATAAATACTTGTACCTTCTTGATGGTGGTTGTTGTAGTTCTGCACGTCTCAGCTCCGTACAGTAGAACTGCCTTGACGTTCGTATTGAAGATTCTGACTTTGATGTTGGTTGAAAGTTGTTTTGAGTTCCATATGCTCTTCAGTTGAACGAATGCTGCCCTTGCTTTGCCAATCCTTGCCTTTACATCTGCATCTGAACCTCCCTGTTTATCGACGATGCTTCCCAGGTATGTGAAGGATTCCATATCTTCCAGGGTTTCTCCATCAAGAGTGATTGGATTACTGTTCTCCGTGTTGTATTTGAGGACCTTGGTTTTTCCTTTGTGTATGTTGAGGCCTACTGATGCAGGGACTACTGCTATGCTGTCTGTCTTTGTCTGCATTTGTTCGTGTGTATGCGATAGGAGGGCTAGGTCATCTGCGAAGTCCAGATCGTCTAATTGGTTCTGAGCTGTCCATTGTATGCCGTGTTTTCCCTCAGATGTTGAGGTCTTCATAATCCAGTCGACCACTAGAAGAAAGAGGAAGGGAGAGAGTAGACAGCCTTGTCTGACTCCGGTCATTACTAGGAATGCATCTGTCAGCTGTCCTCCGTGCACTACTTTGCGCTGTAGTCTGTCGTATGAGTTCCGGATAATGTTGACAATTTTCTCAGGAACTTCGTAGTGTCGAAGAAGTTTCCATAACGTTCTCCTATCTACACTGTCAAATGCCTTCTCATAATCAATGAAGTCGATATACAGTGACGAGTTCCACTCAATTGATTGTTTGACGATGATCCGTAGTGTCGCAATTTGGTCTGTGCACGACCGGTCCTTACGGAATCCAGCCTGTTGATCTCGAAGTTGAGCGTCTACTGCGTCTTTCATCCTGTTCAGTAAAACTCTGTTAAGGGTTTTTCCCGGTATTGACAGCAGTGTAATGCCTCTGTAGTTTTCACACTTGCTCAGATCTCCTTTCTTTGGAATCTTGATGTTGTGTCCTTTCCAGTCCATCGGCACTTGTCCCTCCCAAATCTTCTTGAATAGAAGATGAAGCATGTTTGTAGTTACTTCGATATCTGACTTCAATGCTTCAGCTGGTATATTATCGGGTCCTACTGCTTTCGCGTTCTTGATTTGTCTGATGGCCATTCTGATTTCTTCCGTGGTTGGTGGATTGACATCTATAGGAAAATCTGTATGTGATGCTTCGATGTCCGGTGGATTCATTGGAGCCGGCCTATTCAGGAGTTCCTCGAAGTACTCTGCCCATCTGTTCCGCTGTTGTTGAATTCCAGTGATTGGCCTGCCTTCTTTGTCTTTGACTGGTCTCTCTGCTTTACTATATTTCCCTGCTAGTTTCTTCGTTGTATCGTAAAGCTGTCCCATATTTCCTTCCGTTGCAGCTTTTTCCGCCGTCGCTGCTAGTTCTTCCACGTATTTCTGCTTGTCGGCTCTAATGCTTTTCTTCACTTGTTTGTTTGTTTCTATATACTGGGCTTGTGCTTGGACTTTCCTTGCTCGTGTTCGACTATTGTTAATTGCTGTCTTCTTGTTCTTCCTTTCTTTGATCCTGTCCAGTGTTTCTATAGAGATCCATTCCTTGTGATGATGCTTCTTGGGGCCCAGAACCTCTTGACACGTTGAAGTTAATGCTTTTTTTATACCTTTCTAGTTGTCCTCCATAGTAGTTTCTTCTTCGTTCAGCAGATCCTGTAGGGCTTGGAACCTGTTGTTGAGAGCTATCTTGAATTCATTGAGTTTGTCAGTATCTCGAAGGAAGGCTGTATTGAACCGTTGTGGTTCTGTTTGTCCAGTTCTTCTTCAGCTTCAGTTTCAAATTGGCCACAACCAGGTGGTGATCTGAAGCAATATCCGCTCCTCTCCTGGTTTTAACATCTTCCATTGTCCTTCGGAACTTTTTATTGATGCAAATATGATCTCTCTGTTTCTCTGTGGTGTGGTCCGGTGAGATCCTTGTAGCTTTTTGTATACGTTTGTGTGGAAATATTGTGCCGCCTATGACCAATTTGTTGAATGCACACAGATTTGCAAATCTTTCCCCGTTTTCGTTCCTCTCTCCCAGTCCATGCAGTCCCATGATATCTTCATATCCGGTATTGTCTATTCCGACTTTGGCGTTTCGTCAATACAATATTAATACAAATATCTTTGTTGGATGATTTTCAAAATAAGTTTTGATTAAAGTATAGCTACACCTAGTGTAAATTTATTCACCTAATATCGAAAACACTTTGGAAATAACTTACAAGTTATCGCACCAACACTATATTATCTATCAATTTATTAACTTCATGATTAATAATGTAGATTGCTAATCATCCTATATAGCCTTTTTTTAGAATAATTACCTTAAAATTCTTTTCTATTTTTCATTGTTTTTATTGATAAATACTGGAATCCATTTTCTAATCAACTATCCATTTTAACATTTACCAGCTTAGTTTTGAAACAGCTAGCTGTGATTGAAAAATTACAGTCGTTCTGAAGTGATCCTTTAGAAAGTACAATTAAAGCCTTGATCAACACACAAGCGAACAATGCTGTTTTCAGTTACATCTTTATCACACTTAATTCTCATACCGGATGGTTTATCACATAGTTCTGATAATCTTCGTCTTTTTATTACATTATCTTACTGATATTTCCTCACCCCTTTCATACCTCTTATTTATTAGTTACATACTTAAGCAGTTTGTTCACACACTTCTTATCAATTAATTCCTAATGGTTATTATTTTAGTGTGTTTACTTTTTCTAGTTTTAACGTACTTCCTATGTCGAAATCCTTGTTCATGTTATCATGCTGTCGACTATTCTCATTTTTACTGCTTTACCTGTCATCTTACTACCAATTTGTACTTTTTGTCAATTATAATGTCATCATATTACGTTTTCTATCTATAAACCATTCTATTTTAAATGAATATAGAAATCTAATGATATTTTTTTCGTCATATTTCTAATATGTCTTCTCCGTTGGTATACTTTTGATCAGTAATGCGACGAGGTTGTCCAAATGATTGCAGTAATCGTGGTGTGTGTGATGGTGGTGTTTGCGATTGTGTGAATGGATTCAAAGGTCCAGATTGTTCGATAGGTAAGTGCAACCATATATCAATTTGTTTTTTTTTTCAAATGCTGTTTAATAGTGTTCATGTTTCCATGTTTGATAACAATAATATGGATTTTTTAAAATCTTAACCCATTTATCAAAATTACATAATTTCTGATCCTTAATGCTGTAAAAGAATGATTTTGAACTATATAATTTTTTTTATTTCTTATATTTATACATAAATATTAGAATTGTTTCAACTTTCACTCAGTGTTTTCACACATAAGCTTTTTTTCTTTGAATATAATTTTTTATTTACTCACATTTTAAGCAACAAACTAAACCAGATATCTTGTTGGTTTTATCGACTGATAGATGGTTTTCCTCTTTCTATCACAACTAAATACTTATTTAATTTATTTGCTTTATAATGTTAAGCTACTTAATAATGTTTAGAAGTAGCGATGTGTATTTAACGCACTGTTATTTGCAAGTTAATCAGGGCGACTCGTGTAACAACATAGTACCACCATGGATAAACTTTTTCTCAATGATTCTTATCACTGACTGCTATTATTAACTAGAAAACTGGATGACTATCTCTCCATAGTTTTAATGCTCTCTGATTTCTAGTGACTATTTGGGAAGCTAATCCGTGATTAAAGCTATCTTCAAAATAAAAAAATTCTTGAATTCTTGTCTTCCAAAGGCCTAAATATGTCTGTATGTGGCTTCCGACCAGCGGAATGAAGTTTGTAAGTCTTAGTATGGGTTTAAGCTATTTGCTTAACATTTTTATGTGTTGACTACGTACTTAAATTTGGTTTAAACTATTTACCGTTGGCTACAAATAGTTATTATCATTAAAACATGTTTTCATTTGTTCTGGTGATTAATTTTTTCCTAATGACCTTTGTGTCTAGTTTCTATAATTTCGGTTGAAAATAGTCTGTATTTGTCTTTCAATCTGATGTGTATTTATACATTTATCTCATTATTTTTATTGATAAAAATCTAATAACAATCACTATAGCTGAGTTACCAAAAGTCTGTGGTGGGCATGGTGATTACGCATCTGGTGCTTGTCGATGTTATCCTGAATGGAAAGGTCAAGAGTGTCAGACATTATGGTCTGAATGTGAAGATCCTACCTGTTCAGGTAATGGTCGTTGTGTAGTTGGTGAATGTCAGTGTTATGAAGGTTATGCTGGGAATTTGTGCCAGACACGTAAGTCATTTTAATTAATTAATAACTACACTTATGTTATTGTTACTCATCAATTTATTGTTAACTGATTGGATGTAATTATGTTTAATGACTTCTGTTTACTTTCATTCACCATATATGTTAATTACTTAGTTAATTTATTTACAACAACAACTACAACCATCAAATAAGCGGGACCTATTGATGTAATTGTTTTTTTTTCTAATTTTTAAGTTTATAAATTTTCTGCACACTACGACAGTTATTTTCACTTAACTGTCTATCCATTGTACGTTTATATTTTTACATTCATTGAGTTTTTTATATCCATTCATTTATACTTTTTTATTGCACACCTCTACATGCACACACAGAGACACTCATCAATGAGCATGTAAAAGTTGCAGGTAAAACTTATAATTGTGCTGAATGGCATCAATATAAAATAATAATATGAAAATATAATTACATAGTAAGTGAAAAAAGAAAACGTTAGTGATTAGTTTGGAGATGATTTTCACTGTTATTGATGAATAATGAAAGCATGACTAGTAGCTTCGTACGACGTCAAACGTTGTTAGTATCGAATTAAATTCCTCGTCTTCTGTAATTTCAGTTACCTTTCTTTTTGGATTTATTCGTTTCAAAAACATTAGTTGCTAATCAAAGCATCAATATGATTATGAGCGTTCAAAAATTGTTTTGCCTAAAAAAATTTACACATCGAGAGATAGTTTTCTCTTCAACTTTATTGATTTATGAATATTAGAGATTATCTTATGCTTTCCATTATTCGTCAATTAAGTCACATGGGTTATAACTAGCCAACCAAATATATCTACATGGCCTTAGAAGTAAGCGAGAAATACCATAGCAAAGGAATGATGAACCAGTAGGCATAAAATAATTTAGGCAGCTACAAAAAATACATACTGTACAGAGTTATAGTCATCAACTCAAAATAAATAATAAGTAAAGAAAACAGATTGCAAAGATTAAATCATCGCCAAAAGTATATCGTACATAAGATGAGCGACTGATAATTCTGTGTTCAATATTCCATGCTTTAATCAACTCATGGATCTTTATACTGATGAACATCAATGTCAGGGAAGTTTGATAGATTGACAGTACTTGAATAGGTACATATTAATGAATGAACATGATATTTTATACTAATTTTAACTAGTCGATTTATTGGTTAAATTTTTTCAGTTACTATCATCTTTGTAATTATACATCTTGTTGGTGGAATTATTCCATTTTACCTACGTAATTTGATTGTTCTGTCTTGTTTTATGCCACAATAATATAGTATTTATATTGGCTGCGCGAATCATTTATATTTGTTTGGGCATTGTTTTCTTCATCGAAAGACAAAACCCTACCAGAACGTCCATTTTTTCCAATCCCTACTATATTTGACCTGGTTCCTAGCCACCACTTACCTGAGTTTTCACTGTAGAAACAGAGTTCTAGAGGTGGCCGAACCAAAATTTGGCATGAGTCCATGGATTTGTTAACTGTTGACCTGAGTCATTTTAGTACTCTTACACTATCTAGTTGAATTCAACGCGATAATCACCATCACCGGTTGTAGACCTTTGGTGATATGAGCGCCGCCGCGAAGTCGTATTTTTGCTCTATTTCCTCCCAAATTTCCAGTTTCAAAATTATTTCCTACTTTTATTCCCTCATTACATTCCTTTTTTTTCGGATGATATCCCCTATGTTTTGTATGTTTTACTACTTTTATTTCAACGACTTTGCTACTTAATTTGTTTATTTTACCTCTCTGAACTGACATGGTATTAAGACTTTGGTTGACGCACTATTGTGCCAAGTCCTTCTTCGATTACAACAGATCGAAAAGATTCGGATCCTATTCAACATAGGCTAATGAACCTAAGAAATAGTTGAACAAATAAAAACGACTTTTATCTTTATAATCACCTAACTTTATGAACATTTCTGTGTGATTTATCGAAGGTGGTGTCCGCATATATAAAGTTTTTAACTTTCCCGTATGAACCGATAAGTACTGGCTTTGAGTTCCAGTGTGAAATTCGACAATGCGATCTAGGTGTAGCCTACTGAAAATCCCTAATCAGATGAAACACGCATCGTAGATCCCACTGTTAATCATCCTGTCTTGTTTTTTTTTTATGACACTTCCGTTGTTTCGGATTTGTTTAACGAAATATCACTTATTACAATGAAAATAATTTCAGATTTAATACGAACTTATTTTATTAGTTTCCCCATATGTTCAACCGTGAAATTCTAACACTAAGATGATATTCAACACTTTTTCCATAAATTACCATTTTATGTGTGTATTTATTTATTTTTTATATAATAAATTGTAAATCAAATTAGACCTGACCGTTGTTGCTACCTTGACGTGGTGGTCGGGCTTGCCTATCGTGATAAAGCAACTGAGCTATACTGGCTGGAACAACCGTTCCTCAAGGTCCTACCATGCCAGACAGGTCGGTTGAAGAGCGGTAAGACTAAAAGTAACAAAACCAAGATCCGAAGGCGAAGTCGTACTGCTGACTGTACAGAGGTGTGACAGCAGTAAGGTGTTTCCTTCAGACAACCAGCATAACAGCTATGCTGCCTTCCCACAGGGAGGGGTGGGGTTGGAAAAGGTCGACCCTAAAAATGCACACCTCGCCTTATCCCACGGATATCCGTCTCCGGCGTTAAGGACTCAACAAGTACGGAGCTAACACTAAAACTACTCATAAAAAGGTCGTGTGTGACCGACCTCAAGCAGCTGTCCCTCGGGCACTGCGATCACGCTCTCAGGTCACTATGACCACCTCTAATCCAATTTCCTTTTCAGGTACCTCCAGCAGAACCCTTCCACGGTGTGGGCAACCGGGAAGTGATAACCACCCTCATACCTCGAACAGCACTCAAGACCACTGTATTCATAATCAACCTACCTCTTCAATTCCTATTATTCCTCTTACATCGACTTTCAAATCTAAACTCCCCCTTTCGGCTTCCTCCTCAAGTGTCACCATAGCCAACGATTCTAGTGCGCAAAACACTATCCCAGGTCTACTGAAACCTCGCTCCAAACTACACATTGGAGCCTTCAACGTACGCACACTATGCCAAATCGGTCAGCAGGCTTCCTTGGCTAAAACCTTAGAATCTCGTACGATTGATGTATGCTGTGTCTCCGAAATACGTATACAGGATCATAGCATGATCACTCACTTGACCTCACCTCGCGGAAACGGAGAGCCGACGAGATACACCCTCCGTGTATCTGGCGACCCGATGGCTAGTTTTCGTGGACTGGCAGGTGTTGGCATAGCACTAAGCATGAGGGCGGAACAAGCGTTATTAGAATGGATCACCGTTAACAGTCGTCTATGCGCTGTCCGGCTAAACGGCTCCGTAAGAACTCGAAAGGATAGGGACACACGTCGTTGCCTTTTCGTCGTTTATGCCTACGCTCCCACTGACTGCAGTTCGGATGAAGTGAAAGATGAATTTTACAGAAAACTCTCTGAACTTCTTCAGAAAGCTAAACGTTCAGACATAGTACTCGTAGCAGGTGACTTTAATGCCCAGGTAGGTAGCCTAACCGAAACAGACAGACATTTAGGTGGGCATTTTAGTATTCCGGCACAGTGAACAGATAATGGTGATCGTTTACTGCAACTGTGCTCAGACAATCGTTTATTTTTAGCAAACACAAATTTTAAGCATAAGGAGAGACATCGTCTAACATGGCGACCCCCTGCACCGAACCAACGATGGACTCAAATAGACCATATTGCCATCAGTCATCGTTGGAGAGGGTCAATAGAAGATTGTCGCTCATTCTGGAGTACCTGCTTGAACTCCAACCATGCCCTAGTACGAGCACGCATCTGCTTGCGCCTCACTAGACGCAAAAAAGCCACACAAAAAAGACTCATTAGAACCGAATTGAGTAATGAGAAAGCCAAAAGTAGGTTCCAAGAACAACTGAGGTCACACTTAGGTAGTTCTGAAAACGAGGCTGACGCAGATGTTGGTTGGAAGGATATACAAGCAGCTGTGGAAACAGCAGTGACATCTAGTGATTTAAACCACAGGGTTACAAAGAACCAATGGATTTCTTCAAGGTCTATTGCACTGATAGATTCTCGCAAACTCATCCCATCAGGTTCTGAATACGATGAAGAGCGTAAAGAAATCAAATCTAGATTAAGCAAAAGTTTAAAGAATGATCGTGAGCAGTGGTGGGCAACGAAAGCAAAAGAGATGGAAAAGGCGGCGGCTATAGGGAACACAAGACAACTCTACAGACTAATAAAAGAAACTGGAATTAATAAATCAAGTGTAAGTCAGACCATTTCGGAAAAAGACGACACTCTCATCTGCTCCCAGTCCAGACGCTTAGAACGATGGGCGGAACACTTTAAGGAGCAGTTTAGCTGGCCTTCAGCTACTCTACAACTACCCTCTATTCCCAGACAGTATGAATGGAACATTGAAGTAGGTCCTCCAACTCTAGCTGAAGTTTGAAAGGCTATAGCTAATCTGAAACGAGGGAGGGCAGCTGGTCCAGACGGATTGGCCCCAGAGGTCTTTAAGGATGGTGGTCTAGTTTTAGCGATTAGGTTGACTAATATTTTAGCTAAAATCTGGGAGTTAGACGTTATCCCATCTAACTGGTCACAATCACTTATCGTCCCAATATTTAAGAAAGGGTCAAAATCATCCTATGACAACCACAGAGGGATTAGTTTGACTAATATAGTATCTAAAATACTAGCTTCGATAATTTTCGGACGCCTAACTAAGACTCGTGAACTGCAAACACGTGGAAATCAGGCTGGCTTCAGACCTGGTCGTGGCTGCATCGACCACATATTCACCATTCGTCAGGTTCTAGAACACAGGCATACTTATCGGCGTCCGACAATGGTGGTATTCCTCGATTTAAAAGCAGCGTTTGACTCTGTTGACCGAGAGGTTCTGTGGCAGTGTCTGTCATTGAAAGGCGTACCTCAGAAGTACATAAACCTTGTGAAGGCTCTTTACTCGAACACTACTAGTCGAGTCAGAGCCTATGGCGAACTGTCATCTGCTTTTGCAACCTCAAGTGGCGTCCGTCAAGGCTGTCCACTTTCTCCTTTTTTGTTTAACTTCATCATGGACCTACTGATGGAAATAACGCTCTCATCGACTGACTTCTCGGGTATTGATCTCCTACCAGGAGGTCCACTTATTGACTTAGAATACTCAGATGACATAGTCCTGTTTGGTGAAGACGCTGATGAAATGCAGAGTCTTTTGGTAGCACTGAGCAACAATGCTAGAATGTTTGGGATGCGCTTTTCTCCCTCTAAATGCAAGTTGTTGCTTCAGGACTGGTCTGCATCAACACCTGAACTAAGGATAGGGAGTGAGGTAGTCGAACGTGTAGACAACTTCACTTATCTTGGAAGTCTGATCAGCCCTAATGGGTTGGTGCCTGACGAAATCTCAGCACGGATTCGAAAAGCTCGTTTGGCCTTTGCCAACTTACGTCATCTATGGCGAAGGCGAGATATCCGTCTATCAATTAAGGGACGAGTATACTGCGCGGCAGTTCGTTCCGTCCTTCTATACGGCTGCGAAACATGGCCTTTAAGAGTGGAAGATATTCGTAAGTTACTAGTATTTGACCACAGGTGCCTTAGAAATATTGCGGGTATCTGCTGGGATCACCGGGTAAGTAATAGTGAGGTTAAACGCAGGGTATTAGGGAATGATGGTAAATCAGTTGATGAGGTTATGAATCTTGATCGACTGAGATGGTTGGGCCACGTGTTGCGTATGCCTGAACACCGATTACCACGACGCGCAATGCTGACTAGTGCAGGGGATAATTGGAAGAAAGTTAGGGGCGGCCAAACCAAAACGTGGCATCAGTGCTTGAAGTCTCTAACTTCTGGTCTGAGCCATTTTGGGAGATTCAGACTGCCTGGTTGGGGTCCGCGTGACTATCGTAACCAATGGTTGGAGACTCTTGGTGACATGGCTCAGAATCGATCACAATGGCGTCGGTGTATACACTCTCTTTCTTCCTTTAAACTAAGAGATTAAAATCACTTCAAATCTTTCTTTCTACGAACTAATTCTATCTTCCTGTACTATCTCCTTATACACACTCTTTCTTCTATATATTACCACCACTGAATTAACTACTTTTATGAATCCGGTGTTCATCTTGTTGTGCTAATGCGGTATGGCAACTTGGACCGATGCATATACGTGCCTGGTCCTACGTTGCAGCTGACTGACTGACTGACTGACTGAAATCAAATTAGACGAAGTAGGAGTTTTCAGTTCCTACTAGCACTACTACTAGATGTCTTCACGGCTTAAATCCAGCATTACATTAGGAAAATTAAATTTAAAGAAACGAAATAATAAAGTGGGCACACATGTAATGTAAAAACAATTAAGTAGCAAAAATAAGTGGTCGTTTCTTTGTATGCATATCAAAGTGAGAAATAAATAGAGATAGGCGGACACCGGATACCAAAAGAAAGCAAATGTAACAGTGGAAATTATTCGCGTTTGCACATAAATCTAACACATGAAAAAGATTTAAAACAAATACTTTTGTAAAGTTATCTTTTTTTCATCCTTGTAGTTTGAATGTATTGAATTTATTACAGTTTTGTTAGGTTCTTTGACATTGTAATTGGGTGTTGATACTGTGGCATGATGTGGTTAAGCAATCATTGCTCACAAACACGTTGCATTGACTGTAAATCACCAGCTGAATTAAATGAAAACACTTAACAATCGATCAAATAAGAATAATATTTTTGCACTGGCGTGATTGAACTTTATTTACATGGGTTCCACAGAACGCATTAAAAATCTCATGTTAAGTTTTATTTTCACTCTATATTATTTATCGAATTCAGGAACGTGTATCTCTTTTAATTGTTCTGGACATGGAGTTTGTATGAATGGAAATTGTCGATGCTTCAATGGTTGGTCTGGTATCGGTTGTGAGCTACCCGTACCTAATCAATTAATAAATTCTGAACTAGTTCATCCGTCAAATGGAGCATCTACATCTGACAATACGGGTAATGGAAAAAAAATAAATAATAATAACAACAAAATGTCTAGCCGATTAATGATGAAGTCAATGTCTTCTCCTTCTTCATCATCTGTACGAGCGATGGGATTATCATCCGCACCTGTTAGGTTGTTGTTAGATGCAGCATCAGAACAAGGTAAATTTGTTTCTATGAATATTTCAATTTCGATAATGCAATGAGAAGACGAAGTTTATCAGAATTATGTGATGTATTAGCGCAATACATTTCGAACAATCTGATCACACATATACTTGTCAAGAGCACTTATATATAAAAATAAAAGGTCATGACAAAGGAAAAAATATTAAAGTACACAAAACAAATGTGATTACCACTCTGGATAATAAATCAGTATTACCAGGATAGGTTTAGATTAAGGATAAATTGTTTTTGAACACATAAAGGGGGTTTTAGTTTCCGTATAGCCAAAGCTTCAATAAACCTTAGTATACGTCCTTGAAGGCCTTTGTATAACACTACAAATGCTGATTTGATGTCGACCTTATGACCCGTCTCAATCAAATGTTTCTCAATGGAGGATGATGTCTGTCTATCCTGTGATTTTATTTGACCATTGGAATCCATTTGTTTTTGCAACCATTTTGGTATGTGTTCACCCACCCTTAATTGCCAATCACGATTGCTCCTCCCTATATACGTGTTTCCACACATACATGTAAATTGATAGACGCAATGGGATGTGACACAATCGCTTACGTGCTGTTTGGGCTTTTGGTGAAACATAGACCTTGTCTTTTCAATAATGACAAGTTGGGCTGCATAAAATGTCCGGTTGAGGGCTAATTTAAGTCTCTGTTTCAACATGAGACTATTTGTGTCGCCTCTGAATGGTAACGTAATATAAACTCGCTTTTTTATTTATAAATGCTCTTAACAAGTATATGTGTGATCAGATTGTTCGAAATGTATTGCGCTAATATATCACATAATTCTGATAAACTTCGTCTTCTCATTGCATTATCGAAATTTATCAAAGGGACTAACTGTTTTAATATTTCAATTCTTATTTATTGCTGTTAATTATGTTATACTTTATTCTTTGTTAGTCCTTTCTTCTTATTCCTATTTCGTCTCTCCATTTGATCAAACTACCAACAAAAAATAATGGGATGCTCTAGTTGTTTATGTAACTTAAATAAATAATTTTTACCTCACTGAAATCGATTTGCTGTAACGTAAACTTATATGTGTGATTTAATCAAAAGTTAGAAATCCTTAGCTCTAGATGGAAAGGTTATATTTCGTAGTTTTACAAGTAATATGCTTGAATATCATTGTATTTATTTGAGTCATTTAATATTATTATTACAGATTACGTATATATTCAGGCAACCAACACACTGTTTCTCCAGTGTTTAAGCACTCGAATTTTAACCAGTGTCTTAAATTATGTTCTTATTACCCTTAATAGTGACCTCTTAACAAGTATCAGTAAAAACTTTATATACAAACATAGATTATGTTACAGCTTGAAATATAATTATTAAGGAAATAGTCATTTAAAGCAGATTAGTTCATCTAATGTAAGCGAATGTTACATGCAATAATTGTCAGTATATGTTAACTGATAAAGTTAAGAAGATTTGTGGTAACTATAAATTATATATAGCAAAATATTTTTCGTCTTCCTAATAACTCTCAAGTACAATGAAATGGAAGTCGTAAAGTTAACTGATAGTTACTGTCAAATACAATGAATATCTAAGGCTGTTTACAAAATCACCCTGTAGTGTGTATACGCAATACGAACAAAAAAAGTTGGATGATTGAACCTAAATTTCAACTTATAACGTCATGAAACCATTACTCATAAGAAAACTATGCAATTATCTTTAAATTTTCTGGTAATATTTTCCCTGTTTTGTTTTCAGAATGCACACTCGATTGTAGTTCCCACGGTGTATGTGAATATATGGATGGTTATGATCAGCCTGTATGCCGATGTTTTTCTGGTTGGACAGGTTCCGATTGCAACACAAAACGATGCGATACTCGTTGTTTTATAAATGGACATTGTACTAATGGTACATGTATTTGTAATGTCGGTTGGAATGGAAAATACTGTACATTAGGTAATTTTCTAATCGATCTCTTATTTTGCATTGTGAACGAAAAATGATGTGGATAATTTAGGAAATGTGTTGACATACAATGCTCATCTGTTCGCTACACTAATTAGCCGGACAGTTTTTCCCTTTTGAATTTAATTTATACTGTCCAAAAAGGCATTTGGTCGACATTTTCTAATCTTTTGGTAAACACAATAACTGAATGTTTATCTGTAGGCATGTGAATCATACAGGTGTTCGCTATCTATTACATCAAGTGAAAAATAGGAATCAGGTTGCTAATACCAAACTTGGGAAAGCAGACAGATCCTTGACCTTTTGGAAGAGCATTAATTATATCTCCAACTTTTGTTAGATTCTGATAAGGGAATGTATATTGGTAGTATATTTACAAATATCCAACTTGTCATATACAACTTATGTCGGCATAAATTTCCATTTGACCAGGTAGCCACAACCTACATCAGACTCTAACTGAATGTTTTGACCTAAATTTGCATTTGATTTAGTTGATTGAAACACTTTGCTATAGTGACTGTCGTTAAGAAGAATACGTGACAATGTCATCAGATCATTTAAATTTTTTTACCCACACTCTTTTAATTGAATTGAAACTTACAACTAATTATTACCTGAATCAGGTGGATGAAGTAGTGTTCATCAGTGCTCCGCACTCATTTTTATGTAGTTTTGCAGTACGTATACTCCTAGATGTAATACTTCGTTTGTATTTTTGGAAATTAATTTTGAACACTCGGATAACGGTGCTCTCTGATAAAAATTCTAACGGAACATAGTGTTTCCGGAATAGCCTGGACGATGATAGATGATTGTTTCAGGTGGATTTATGTTCGATAATAAGATTTTACAAATTTTTTATTTTTGTTCTAGGCTAATATTTTTTTATTCTATGAAATTTACTCTTGTTTTAAACATTTACTGAAAATTCCTTTAACGGATAAAAATAAAGTATTTTGAGTAAAATTAGACAATACTCAACAACAAAAACTTATTTTTCATATAATTACTTTTTAATATCCTCGTTAGTCTTTGTTTTTATTCGTTTACTGTTTTATCTCTCCATCACGGATAAAAATGGCAATACCTACCGAATGAACTTCGATTGTTATTTACTAGTTAATTGGTTGATTTTTGTTCACCCTAAATTTTTTTTGCCTATTTTTCTTGTTTGTGTATCTTGCTTTTTTAAAAAACTTAATATCTCTACCTTTCTTCATTTCCCCTGCTCCTTTTTTTCTACTGACAAATGTGCATAGCTTGTTCGCCGATATGAGATAATCAGTCGAGTCGTCTGACGCTTAACCTCTAATAACTGTGAACACGAACATGTTAAATACAAATCCGAAATAAAATTGTTAAGCCAATGATACTACCTTGAAGATATTCCATTTTGTCTAGTAGGGTATCATGTTTGCAGCATAATATGTATTCCTAATTTGTGCTAAATGTATTATCGATTAAACAATTTTTGCTAGCTGTTTGATTCAGTTTCTCAATTGGCCTTACAAATTATCTTCAAAATTTCAGAATTTTGTAATTATATTAGAGTATAAAAATGAATTTTTGTTGTTCCCTCTTATTTCTCATCCTACGTCCATTTACTTAGTAAACCTGTTGCGAAGATCATGCAAGCAGTTCTTTTATTCTTTACTTATTTGTAGATGGTTGCCCAGATCATTGTAATGGACACGGTCAATGCATCATGAATTCATTGACTAATTTTTATTATTGTCAATGTTCTCCCGGTTGGTCAGGTAGTGCGTGTCAACGACAAATCGAAACAATATGTGATGATGGAATAGATAATGATCATGGTAAATTTAGCCTATTAAATATCCCTTAAGTTTTTAAATATTATCAGAGATACAAAAACGTCTAAGTTTGGACAAATAGTCTCATATTAATTGGACGCCGAATTAATGGAATACATTAAAAAGAAAATTATATTCCTAAAAGTCTCAGTGATTGATTGCATTTAATAATAACTCCGATGTTTCTCGCGGCAATCGGATCCGAGATAGTCTGTCTTTTTTTAGTATCACAGGTAATCTATCAAAATCTAGGTCGTTATTAAACTATAATACAAAGCTAATGACTTTATTTGCTTATTTGTAATCATATTTATTGATTTATTATTATTATTATTCACTATCTAAATACACAAACATTGATAAAAGGGAGCACCAAACATATATACTTCACACTTCATCATTCGATTTGTGTAAGGGCTGGGATACTGCCTGGGCCCCCAAACAGAAGCAGATGGTTTTCTTAGAAAGCCACTCCCTGGGCCTTGACGTAGAAGTCTAATCCACAAGGTAGTGGAGATGCAGTCTCATAGTAGCCGGTGACCAACAATAAGTTCATACGCCATTTATTCTGGAGCCCATGTACACCAATGGTTTGGAATCAAGATTTTCCAACTCCCCTAGGATGATTTTTCAAACTTTCGCTTTTTTTCCTCTCGATTTCGTAAACAACACACCATCCGCGAGAAGACAGTGAGTAGGACTTCCCCGACAGTGGTCATATACTCGTGTCCATGTGAAGGCATTTCGAGAGGGAGAGCGGGCTCTCTTCGCCTCCGGCCGTATCAGGAAACCTGGGGGTATATTATTGGTTATAAACCACTCGACATACAGTTGTTACACCGGACGTAACAAAATTACTAGATGTCAATTCTTCTTACTTGTTGGATGGGTAAGATCTTTTGTGAACTATGGAGAGACATGACAAATACACGTATATAGAGCTGAATATAAATAATTTTAATTTTTTCATTGTGAAACAAAATAAAAATTTTAAAATATTCCTCTGTATCTTATGGGTTTGTAACATTTTCATGCAGCTACCAATTTGTATACTCAGCTATTATTCATACTATTTATATATGGACTAGCTATAATACTCGGCCTCTCAAATCCATGTAACTAGTACTGATGGATTCAAACATGCGTACTAATGGTGAGAAGCCAATTGCTTTATTTTCTGAGTAGTGACTTCGCAATTATATCTCATACTGTCCCATAATAATTCATTGACATTATGTTAATTAATTTCTTAATAATCTACATTATTATTACGGTTCATATTTGTCCTATAAACATCACCATCATCATGACAGCAATAAGGCAATAATAGCATGAGTAATATCTCGAACCATTCAGTACTTTGTACAAAGGGTTGCATAATCAGTACTTTATACACATATATTACCAGTCATACCTAGAAACAAAACTAATGAACGTAAACTGAGTCCTTCTTATAAAAATTGATATTTTTTGCTTATCTAAAAATAAAACACTTTCTTCTAAAATATCCTGTTACTATATACATGGAAAATGTGTCTTATGACTGATCGAATATGGAACTGTTTTATTATCATACACTGATTGAAAACATATCGTCCTGTCAACATATGATGTTGACAGTTAGCATTAAAAATAAAAAAAGTGCTAAATAAGAAAAAAATCTATCATATGTGTATATATGTAAATATGTATGGTCTACCTCATTTTTCTGATATATATATATATATATATATATATATATATATATATATATATATCCCTGTTGACTCCATATCATTTTGAAAATGAGTGCCAAGACAAAATAAAATGTATTTGGTGTTTGTTCTATCCTTCAAAAATCTGCGGTGTTCATCTGAACTTATTTCATAATAAATAAATGATCCTGAGATTAGTTAATTTTAGCAGTTCTTCTTAATAACTACTCAGTTATACATTAACGATGGGTTAAGAGTTTTTGAAACAAAACATCTATTAATTTTATATTGTGATGTAGAAATGAAGTTGCAGTCTTAAAATACCACTCATAAATATGTTGTTGCATTTCAATGCACTGCATCTTGGTAGTAGTCATTAATGTAAATGTTGAACAGAACTTTTAAGTTGACCATTTAGTCAGTCAATATTTGAACTGTTAAATCAGATTAGAGTTTACGACATTCTCAAGTTTCATTATTATTATTCTTCGAATAGCACAAGATTAGTAAATTAACCGTTACTATTTTCGCTAGGTTTTAGTGGATGTAAATGACACTTGTTTCTAAAGATAAACAAGCAAATATCCGGTGCTTGTTGTTTCTCCCAACAAATGTTTTAAGTTTTATTAACTTAAAATGTAAACGAACTACTTCATGGGTGTTGTAACATACCCAATTCTTAAACTGAAATCTATAATTTAATAATCATAGGTGGATTTATTTTTTTGTATAGGGAAGCAAATTATTATCCTTTAATAGTCCAAAGGAATGGATCAAACTCTGTATAAATCATTAATTCATTTACCTCAAAAAACCTTTTTCTTACTTTTTTCACACTGTCATTGAATCGAGGGGAAAAGTGAAGAAACAATCAATGAGATATTTCCAGTCACTCTCCTATATATATATATACAATTCTACTTTTCTGACAGTGTCTGTACATAATTCATTTTCAGTGACAACTCCTTGTGTAGATTATAAAAAATTTATCTGTATATATGAACATAAGCACTCACATTTGACATTTGTTTTAATGCTTAACGATGCTATAACGTTTACGAGGAAATATTTTGCTTAGTTAGCTATGCATTAATCTACCAACTTCGTGTTATTGACAAAATTATACAACTTAATCATAAATGTACCAACTAATACAAGTTATAGATATAATTTGACTATGACACGAATAATAAACCAATCTACTTAAGCTGTTCCTTGATCTCAAACAATCGTCTATCTAATAGTAAATTAAATGTTAGCTATTTTTTATTTCATTCATGTAGAAAATAATAATGTCGTCTTTAATGACAAAAATCGTGCTCGAATATTTAATTCCCATTGGACTGCAGTGATATGTTCATATTTATACAAACTAACCAACGAACTGTAACCGGGATACTGATTTTTTTCCAAATACTGATAAAACGTTTGTCACTCAGGTAGTACAACCATACGATAAATAGTACACTATCTTTTTTCATCTCAAGGGTTCACAGTTGTTCAGTTAATTTCTCTAGTTGATCGATATACTTCAACTGCCATGTACAAACAAAGCGCTTAATTTCTCTTCCCTTTAAAGAAGCCTGAACTTCCTTCAGATAATAAGTACAGAATATATGTTCATCACTTTTTTTATAGCTAACAGCCTATGTTTAACAATATTTTCACGTGTATACTGACACTTATTTGATTATTTGTCGATTTATTTATGCATGTGCTCACGTTGTCAGTCATCTGTTAGTAGTTTTATAAAAACCTATCATTTAGTGAAAATACTGGTAGTCATGTAAATCCAGTGTCCCATTCACCATTGAATCTCACAAATTAAGCCACTATGTATGAAAAATTCATAAGCTTATAGTGCAAATTTTATCCACCTTTCGTAACCTCATTAAATTTATGTGTTAAATAGTTATTCTTAGATTAGAATTATCGGTCATTGTATAGGAATTAAAAGGGATTCCATTATTTCATTCAAGTATTCGTTATTTTTTTCATTTCCTACTAGAATCTCTGTGTAAACAGCTGTTCTGTAAAAGAATAATGTGTGTAGGAAAAACCACAAACATATTTACGTACGATATCTTTATACCTCGAACATTAATGTAATTCTGTGTTGTTAAAGATAGTTCATTCAGTCAATATAAACTGAGCTTCTAATATTTCATAATGTATATCAGATCTCTGTTCCACTTAAACTGTAATTCCAGTTCTGGTTTAAAATCTACTTATCCTGTATACAATTTGTTTAATGGTTGTTAAACCCCAGTCTATTAAATTTTGTCTTCTTCAAACGTCTTTCTGATAATTATACATCTAAAACTATTCAAGTGTAAAAATTGAGTCAAGAGGATTCTGTGCAATTAACATCTCTAGATTAAGCAATATTGAATGTGAACATTACTGACTAAGTTTAGCATCTAGATAAGTATTATAAATCAGGTTGCATTAGACGACCATATTGTCCCTATTTTGACCTACCACGTTGTTTAGGTAAAATTGATCCGTGATTTACACTGTTTAATGTTTACATTTATCGACTTTTATCATAACTTTTAGCTCAAAAACCATAATATCTACACAGAAAATAAGCAATTAGTTTAGTTACCCAGAATCACACTATCTTTTTTTCCTTTGGTTAATTAATCGATTAGTTCTGTTCATTTGTGACTCACTAATGAACTTTATTAATTATTCCCATTAAATAATTCTGTAAATATTCAAAGCCTTCTATATGTAGTTCAATACAAGTTTATTTGGTCTTCTTCATGGACTGGTTTTTCTCTTGTTGTTTATAGTACCGTTATTTATCCATATTTTCTTACAAAATGTACAAAAATTGATAATATCTGTTAATTTATACAACTGAGATTTTAGAAAATATGTATCTTTTATGATACTAATTATTATTTGCAAATTATTAGAATTATATGCCCATTATTATGAGATGCCTATTCATATATAAATTGACAATAACACTCATTTATACGAAAGAAAAAAGACACTATTATTTATTTAAAGACACTATTCGTTCATTAATTGTTATGTCTCTTATTATAATAAAAAAGCACATGAAGACGCCTCTCTGTCATCTGTTTTTTGTAAATCGTAATGTTCACTACATAAAGTAAATCAAATTACATTCGTAAAATTACTGTAATAGTAGTTATTATTACTAGTGTTGTTATTTTCCAAGGCTCCTACATAATGTTTGTTTCTGATTTCCTAACCTCTTTCATCAATCAAATCCCTGTTATTGTGACCTTCGCATCTAAGTCCGTGCCAATAAGTTATCCTTGTGTTGTATATGACAACCTATGCACTTATGATACCAAGCATTTATTCATTGAATCTATGCTGGTTGGCCTCCTGGTTCGGTTAATTGCAGTCATGTATGCGAACCCAACCTGCTACTTAAGTATGAAGACAAGAAATAGGTATGAAATTGTACATGCCTACTGAATCAAAATGTACACCATCCCATATATATATTAAAATAGATTACTAACCAGTTGAGTATATAGGTAAACTTTACTTCATAATTATTCGAACTAAAACACATTAAACTACTGACATGGTACAAAAAGTGTTCTTTATTATTCATGCTATTGAGTTGTGAACTGCTGATAACCATAAAACAAATTAAACACCGCCTCTATCAAGTCCAGACGTGCTTCAGTTTGGGCACCCAAGCAGTATCATAGCACTCACACATATCGAATGAGATCTGTGTGGCGCATATGTATTTGGTGCCTCCTTGTACTAATATCTATGTATTAAAATAAATAAGTCCAGACCGATCGATTTCTGTTCCGAGTTTCTTTTTAATTATATTTCGCTGAGAAATCTAGTTTAGTATGTTGTATAACCATTCTTTGTAGTTGTCCATTTTGCCTTTTGTTTTGGCCATAGTGAATAATTTCTTTAAGCTCCATAGTTGTTCCGTTTCAGTCTTCTAACAAAAACAATTTGCTATATTTTTGTTCCTTTTCGTTATTATACACTTGATAAACTATTGTTAATAACCAACGAAAATTTATATTAATGTTATCCTTCTTTTTACGAAAAACCTGTATATTATTTTTTACTGCAGAGCTTCGCAAATGAAATCACTGGAAAGGGATCCCTCCCTTCAAGCACACACACGCACATTGTTCTAATATTCAAAAAGTGTTTTTTATACATATATGTAAACTATCTACACTTAATTATACTAAATACTGTTTTCCTCTTTTTCTCTATTTCCTTTCCCTCGGTTAGATGATCTTGCTGATTGTTTAGATCCCGATTGCTGTACATCGACATACTGTGACCGACTCATTAAACTTGGTCCAAATGCTGGTGGTCTAGCTGCTGATAACGCTCAACAAAGTTGTGCACATAGTGAATCATTTGATTATTATTTATTAATTACGCCGATTGCACCATTGGACAGTGCATTTTATGGCCAATTAGAATTCCTTCTAAGACGTGAACGCATTGTTGTAGAGAACTTCGATCCCAGGTTAGAACAATTTCTGTTATTTGTTGTTTTCTTTTTAATAGAAAAATTTGTTTCTCAACTAGTACCTTTAGATTTTCGTCACCTTCTGCTGCTGTTGTTATTTTACTAGAATTCGGTCTTATTTTCGTTTTAAATTTCTTTGGTTATCTATTTTCGTATTCTTATCTATTTATTTGTTTATTTATTTATTTATTTATTTAATTATTTATTTATCTATTCTGTTACTGATGTTAATATTTATCTCTTCTCTGGGCGTTGAATTTAGTAAGTTTTGATGGCCACAAAATTTTTGAAGACTTTTTTCCAAGCAAATAAGTTATTTTTATTAATGGACCTTCAATTGGATTATTTCCCCCAAACTTTATGTATTATGTTGCACGAAATCTTTAACTGCTGATTGTGTTTACTGCACAGACCCTAACCTAGTAGTCTCGATTTACTAACATGGATTAGGCCGACAGTCAGTAACTTCATAGACTGATGCCATGTTTTTAATTTCATCGCCCCTAGCTTTCCTCCAACTTATTTTTACACCAGACAAAATCACTTTCTATCTAGGCGGTAGTTAGGCCTACATAACGCATATTCCAACCACCCTGATTCATGTTTCACAGCTTTTCAGAATCGATATCTTTGTTCAGTGAGTTAAGCTCGATGATTATCATCGAACTATTCATGATGAATGTCTCCTTCGCTGTCCTAGTGATTTTCTATCTATCTTAATTATTGTATACAAACTATTACCGAAAATTGCAATATTTGTAACTGTACTTAAAGAACTACAGTATACAACAGCAGAAAGACCCAGGTACGTTACATGCAGTTTATATATCACTTTAAAAGTCTTCGGAAACAAACAGTTAAACTGGCCAGTAAAAATCTTTTCTAGTTAAATCATTAGAAGAAACTAGGCTAGTTCATGCTCAAACATCGAAGACTGAACAAGTGGAAACTCATCAAGTAGGAAAATGTCAAAAAATCAACCAAGTATGAAGATAATGATTAGAGGAAAATAAATTCAGTCTAATGTTTCATTACTGTAGTCCTTTAATTGTTACTATCTTTCCCTCACACTTCTTGTTCATTTTTGTTATGTACGGTTATATTTTTGTGCAAAGTAGTTATTATATAATAAAATCCACCCGTCAGGTTTTTCTTCAGGCTTGAAAATTCACTATTTAATCAACAACCGATTCGTCTAAGCTATCCGCTAAAACATTTTGTTTTTGTTGACTAGTCTTGGGTTTTCTGTCTACTGGATTTTGTATATTATAGGCAAGCATTTATTCCATATTTTTATTTTATGTACCACAGTTTGTCTGACGTAAAATTGTCTATTAACTAAGTGACTTTTTTAAATGGCCAAGTGCTTAATATATACGCTACTAGAGCAGGAGATAAGACATCATAATCCTAGTAGACACTTACAATGTTCTCTTTAAAAAATACCCTATACACTCAACTGGTATTTTTCGTATCGCGAACCCCTGAATACAATTAATGATGGTGAAATGTAAGCAGCGTAATTTTTTTAAAACTAAATCCTACGGTGTTTTTTTTTTACTTATATCATGACTACGGTGCGTTTTTCGAAAAGGCCTCTCATCTACAGAAAGTGATAAAACCATTTTGTTAACATTTTATAGTTCATATTGTAAGTACTAGAAAGTTGGAATACTCCTAAATATTTGATTTTCCTGAATCCCAAGGTCATCCGCGAGCATATCATAGACCTTGATTTTTTTTAAATAATCCATCACTGTCATCTTTATTTTATTCGAATCGGGGGGTGTCAATATCATCAAAATTTGATGATATATTTTACCACCAGTTATTTAATATATAACTAGAAAATCTAGCGCCTCGCTCATCAGTTTCATTAAAATAAACATAAACGCATTTAGTCATTTAAGATTCTTATAAAAATCATGGGATTACTAACTTACTGGAATGATTGTTTCATACAATTCACAACTTACTTTTGTAATTTCAGCATTCTATTAGTGTCTATAAATCCATGTATATTTGAACTACGTTCATTTATTATTTAACAGCGTTACTGTTATTTTATTCTAATTACTTTAAATCATATTGTGCATTTACATTGTTTAGACGTATTTCCGTTGTTCGTGGTGTGGTTCGTCAATGGGATGGAACTGTATTTTGGGGTTGTCGTGTATCCGATCGAGCTAATATGCAAAATGGATATACACTAACTGATAAGAATGGAAGGTCAGTTAATTTTCCGAATGCAAATCAATAATTAAGTATAAGTTCATGTAATCGGTTTTAAAATACGGTTTTACCTCTGAGCTCTAGTAGTCATAACAATGTTCAAACTTGTTATCCAGTAGGTGAAAGTGGAGTGCTTGATGCACTATTGAGTAATTTGTATCGAATAATTCATTTGCTTACATTGGCTTTTGTACGTAGATAAAGAATCGATATGGAAAAGTGGTAGGCAAAGAGTATATTCTATACTTCTCCGTTAATAATGAGCATATAACTTTAATGGGAACCATCACAGAAATGTTCATTTGTTTCCACCGACAGAACTTTTGTGTATATATGTATCTTATTTATTTTATTTATTTGAACACATAGATATTGGTACAAGAGCGCAACAGATACATATGTGTCACATCAATCTCATTTCATCTGTGTGAGGGCTATGGTACTGCCCGGGTGCTCAAACCGAAGTAGGTAGTTTCTTAGGGGGTCACACCCGGAGCCTTCGACCTAAATGTCTGATCCACAAGGCAGTGGAGCATCGTAAGGTGAGACAGTTCAATGGTAGCCGGTGACCAACGATTGGTTCATACGCCGTTTGTTCCTTCAGGATACTGGAGCCCATGTGCACCATTGGTTTGAAATCAGGGTTTTCCAACTCCCCTGGGTGGACTCTCCGTGTCTCTTTTTGTCCTCTAAATTTCGTAAACAACACCCCCGCCACGAGAAGGCAGTGAGTAGGGCTTTCCTGGCAGAAGCTATATACGCGTGGTCATGTGAGAGCATTTGGAGAGGGAGAGTGGACTCTCTCCACTCTCGGCCGTACCAGGGGATTCGGGGGTATATATGTATCAATTAAACAGTGTCAAAGCTGGAATATTAATGTATACTTAGTTTTCAATCAATTTCATCCATTAAGTGTTTAAATTGTCATAACGTTTAAAGAAGTTGGTTACAAGTTTCGGCTTACCTACAGTTTCACTGCGAGGTTGTATCCCTCGTCTTTTTATGTGAAAACAAAGGTTTAGTGGTGTTTTAACCCACTACATGCAGTGGCAAGTGTTTTCAGTGAACAAATGTCTATTTAACCACGACAAAACACCAAACATTGTTGTTACTTTGTCATTCAAGTCTTTGGTCAACTAGACAAGTCTCCCTCCGAACGGTTCTTGGAAATGATTATGGATTGTGGTCGTGACTAGTCAAAGTCAACCACAGGATTAAAATTACAATCGCTTTCAACCTTCCCGTGTAACTTTGATGCCTTAACATTGTTAATTCCTTTACCTTTTATTTGCTTTTTGTTTGTTGTGTATGTGTCTTAACATTTCCGTTAATATTCTCTTGCTGTTCTTTCAAAAAGTGTAGCATCCTAGATCGGAACTAGTTTGAATGAGGTTTTAACCCTATTTTTTTATTTTGCCGTGTCCCATCTTCAAGGTACCATATTACGCAGCTCATAATTCTTTTCGTCTTCCGTTTTCAAAATATTTATTGCAGATTTGACTTACCAGTTGATGGGGGAACCATTGTTCAGTTAGAATTCCTACGGTATCCGACTGATCAATTTTCAGCCATACATAATTTATATGTCCCTGTTAATCAAATTGTCAATATGGGTGATTTTTATATGTATGATGCTAAACAATTATCGAATAATAACCTACCCACAACAATAACAACGAAAACTACTACTAGTAATATTATGTCAAGTGATTTGGGGGGTACACTTGGTCCGTCACCAATACACGGGGATCTTTGGGTTATGAACAGTTTTATGCCCAAGTTCTCAGATAAAAATATAGTCGTAGAAAATTTATGTACTAGTGGAAATATACATGACATAGTTACACTTGGTGGTCCTTATATACAAAGCAATTCATTAATGGATATTTCAACTGTTTGCCTAGATGATCAAAATGTAATATGCGTCAGAAATGGGGCATTGATGTATAATATTCCAATAAAGGTTTGTTAATTTTTTCATGTATATTTTGTAATCATTTGATCGATAATTTCGGTTTGGCAGGTGAAAAGAACCGAATATTTTTAATAATCTTTATAAAAGGATTCGTGTAAGTTTTACACCGGATATGCCATCATCCGCCAGTTAGTAAATCTACTCAGTGATAACATTCATTTATTCTATTTAGGTATACAATAATTGAATTTCGCCTCAATTTGGGTATTACGCTTTTAATAAATAAACATACTACTTTTACAGTTTTGTTGTTTATATAGTTGCAAAGGCATTTTTAAAGGTCACCAATTTGAAATTTTTAAAAGTCACTTCTGGTAATTGTTTAAACAGAAAAAGCAAATAATTAGATAGAAGGGTAAGTATATTAAACGAATATTCTGATCTGAAATTAGAATTTAGGGCTATTGCATTTTTCGGACGCTTGGAGTATTATAAACTAGAAAAACACTAATAATACAAATTCATTAAATGCGAATGATCAGTGTTTACTCCAGTCAACCAAGTTCTCATTTTAATTGTATATCTGTAACCATATAGGATACACAACTGCGGCTTATATACCGTTCCGATCGCACTTCCGGTTACAAACCTGGCATATCTATCCATTTGTTAGCATCAAATCGCGCTCCACCTTTGAATTTGAAAGAAATTCACCTAGTAATTGATATTGCTGGTCAACGTCACGTGAAGCTTTTGGAACCTGAACCTGGCTTACTAAACACTTTTTACTGGAATAAAACGGATGGTTACAATCGCTCTGTTTATGGTTTGGCTGAAGCTAAAGGTAAGTGTCTGTTTATATTTTTATCTGAAGCTATTTTTTCAGTGATATGTATCGTAAAGATTCTATTGCTTCTATTGTTCTGATATAATGTTTAAAACCGTCTCAAGCATGTATCTTAACGTATCAACTACTTTATTTAAAAAAGGAAGTTTTTTTAAAAACTACCACACCTGTATTATCGCTGAATGTGTTCTATTATCTCTCTTCTCACATTTCTATGATCTGATTACATTTACCTTTCCAGTTTATATGATTCAATTCGTTAAAGAAATTTCTCTCCATCACTTAATATCAAATATTAGTGGACCGTAATCGGAATGACTGCTTTGTATTGCTTCGTAAAAAATTATTTGTAGACTTTATTGATGAAGTACTTTATGATAAATAAAACGTTAATTACAACTCGAAAAAAATGAATTTCCCACCGTAACTGATGTCCACATAACCAACATCAGTTTACCTAAAAATTCCCCTCATTGAAGTGTAGGACCACTGTCTAACTTATTGGTTCTGATCAAAATTGATAAGTGCACAACAGAATGAAATAAACCTACACAAAATCATACAATTTTAAACGATCTACCAGCTTTATTGACATATTTAACAAACAAGAAACTAAACAGGCAACAATATGACAACTAAGAGAACTGATAAAAATTCACTAGTAACGCATATTTTCATCTATAAACTGACATAAATTAGGATTCTTTTTGTTCATTGGTTAGTATTGTTGTTAGGATTCTTTAAACAGTGAATAAATACCGAAAAATAGTAACCTACTCCCCTCCACAAATTAACTGAGGCTATAAGGTGTTTAAAAATCAACCTTTTTTTATCAACTTTCGTTCTAAGAGAAAGCTTTTGGTGAAAATGCTAATAATTAGACCTTATGTGGCTTTTTATATTATCGAATAAGTTATTGTTCTGAGTAATCGTAAGTATCTTCTATGATCAAAATGTTCTAAACTCCAATATCACAATGCTATCACTACTACTTACCATCAACTTCGTAACTATTTCATTTATTGTCTACAAGTTTAAATTCAACCTTTTTCGAAATACTCATACATAGGAAAACAATCGTTATAATGGAATATAACATATCCCATTTAATTAATGATTAAAAATGAAATCAGTGAGATTGTAACATAATTTTGAAAATTGATGTTTGAAAAGTAGCAATAAAGAACTTGTTTAAATTTTGTAAGATTCCTTTCAGTGAGTCAATCTTTCTTATGTTGTAATAATAGTCATCTCGATTAATCATCCTTTTTTGGCGCCTTGTAACAAATGTGAATAAGTTCAACTGTCAATTGATAAATTCAATATCATCCATTTGGATTAAATATGTTTTAGTCTACATTTTTTGAATACAGAATTTAAATTTCTCAATTTTAAAACATAAGATTGTTTAGTTCACTTAAAATGAATTTTCTTTAAGGTTAACCCAGTGATTTTTCCACATCAATTATAGCAATGAATATTTCACACACACAAAAACATCCTTTTGTTATGATGACATCACGACACTGGACTAAATTTACTTAAGTCAATGAAATTGTTCAGTAGACTGTATATTGTTCACCTTAATGTTGATTGTTTCCAATTGCTTTTCTAATTTTAATGAATAAGTTCTTTTACAACACAAAGTTTTATTGGAACTCTAACATTGAACAACAAATAATTCAGTTTACATAAAAATCAGTTTCTGTTTAGTGTGAATATAACGAAAAGATGAAACTGCCAATGTTTCTGATCAGATGATAATACCCATCAGAATTGATCCATCAAAAAGTGTTAACTGGGCATTAAACTGAATAATATGCAGATTGGTGACGGAGCAGTAATCAATTTTATGCTATCCAATCTTCAATACTAATCGAATTTCATTGAGACAACCAACTAATGAAAATATATCCTTTAATACATTACAAATTAATTCACAGAATTTTATCAACAAAGTTTAGATGAATACGATATTACTTATTATTTAGTAATGAACCGGTGTGAAATATCTCAGTCCACTAAAAAGTCACTCTCAGCCTGGATAGCTCAGGGTTAATGCAGCCGATTGCGATAGCAGGTGACATGAGTTCAAATCTCAGGACGAGTGTCCGTTTCCTCAGTATTACAGACATCCTTTACTATTAAATGCCTAATAGCAAGAATTCTACGTGCGAAGCCTTTTGTCAGTAGTCTTCGGCCACCTAGTATTTAAACTGAATAATATTTGCGATACCAACGTCTTTTTGATCTATCATTTCAAGCAAACAATTTTTAATATAAATTTTACTTTTGAAAATTATTAAGCCCGGTCATTTTTTATTTCTGTTTGTATCAGTAACTGTATGTTGATCTAATCTTGCGAAATTTATGTTACGACTAAATCCCTTTTAATCTTTTTTATCTAGTATCTGTTGGTTATGTATACACGAACTGTCCACGTATTTTCTGGGAATATCGAGCTGTTCAACTACCCGGAAATGAACTAATCAGTTCAGATTTAGCTAATTGGAATTTAAATATTTTACATACATATGCGGTTAGCCATGGGATTATTTATCGGTAAGTTCCTCGATACGAACATTTATATGATACAGTGGTGATATGGTTTGTAAAATATCTGAATAACTTCTGATAATTTCTAATTAATTAAATATTGGGTGGATTGTTTATGATAATAAAGCCTGTATTGATCTAATTCCGTCAATTATTTATTCTATGAAGAAGCGGCTTACATTAGGTTCTCGAATATTAGAAATTCAACTTTCTACATTCTGGGATATAAAAAATTTTTATCATGCTAAATACGAAGCTGAATTTGACAAATCGGTATTTATGTACGAAACCAATCGAACTCCAGATTGTAATTGCTCGAATGTCAAAGATCAAAGCTGATAAGCAACCGATTGAATTATCGCTAAGAAAATAAAGCTTCTTACTCCGTCGTGTTAAGAATTACTTTACTGGTGAAAAGCATATTGATTTCGTTATGAATTTCTATGAAATTATCTCTAGTTTCTCTAAAGAATATACATATAGAAAAGTACACCAAGCATCGTGAGGTTTCCACTTGTATTTGGCTTCACAAAATAGCGCTTTAGTAAAGTAGGCGCTGAACATACATGATTAATTAATTAAAATAAATAAAAAGTCGAAACATTTCCTGGGATATTTGCAAGGTTGAAAAAATGGATGCTCCATCAGGACATTAAAGATGTGGCTACTGGATACATGGTTTATATATATATATATATATATATATATATATATTATTATTATTATTATTATTATTATTATTATTATTATTATTATTATTATTATTTGTTTTAATTTTGTTAAGCGGTGATGGTTCACATTTCTACTTGAAACAAACAGACTGGCATATTAGTGCAGTCATCGGACTAACTGAACAACGTCGACCGCCAAACGACTGTAGTCAGTGTTCAATTAATGATAAACCAACTCGACAATTATCTCTGCGTAATCCATACTGTTTACTAACTGATTCAGTTGGCAATCTTCTCATTGGAGATGGGGGATTTTTACGTTGGTTAAATTCAACTAAATCAGCCGAGGAGTACAAGTAGGTTAATTTTTAATATTCACTTTTTATTTTTTTCTTTTATATATTTGTTTTGGATACATTAAAATTGTGTGACGAAATTGATTAATAAGATGAATGTTATTCTTTGTGTTGTGTTCAATCTGGTGCTAATCTATAAGTAATTACATTAAACTTAAATCGTCTACTCTAGAAACTTTGTTTCCGTCATAAGTACTTTCTGAAAGTTACATATCGCTTAAAATACTGTTTTCTCTTTGTTTGATAAACTGTTATTTCATGTCATCCATCTTTATTATTCCTGAAACTATACTTAAACTTTGTAGGATTATAATCATCACTATGTATACATCGCTTCTTCACTGACCAGGATTATGAAATTTTTCAATTAAAAGAACTGTCTGATATTGTTCTCGTGTAATTATAACTATCGAATTAGGTCTGCCGACTGCGAAAGTGACATTTTCACTGAGTTTACTAAATTCATTTGTTCATTACATCCCAAAGATCAGAAATCAACTATAATCTATACTGCCCAACTTTATTTTGAATAAATGTTCTTTTCTTAATTCAAACGTCACAAAATTCTTTCTTTACACTTATCTTCCAGGTCTTCATCAGTGTTATCGTCTTCCTTACAATCCTCACTATCTTTTAGAACGCCACTGATAAGATCAGATTCACTAAACAGTCCATTTCAAGAACAATTGAAACGTAATGATCGTAGAAGATGGGAAACAATAATTGATTACAAGCTTGACTTTCTTCAGTCTAATTTTGATGAAGATCAGTTAACAAACTATTTTATTACTGTTCATCCAAATTATGTATATCGTACAAATGATTACTCTATGGTAACATTATTAGGGAACAGTGGAAATGTTGGTGGAGCGGACCTTTCAAATGGATTATTCCTGTCACACACGAGTAGTAAAACCATATGGTGGCTAAAAACTACACCAAATTTATCAGCACGCTTACTTATTGGAGAAGATTGCCAATCGCCAAGCTCTAAATCTAACATTAATTCTGAATCATCGTCGTCAACAGCATTCAACTACCAAGAGTTCTGTATTAAACAGAATTTAAAATCCCCTAAAGGAATTGTCGCTACACAAACGGTGTGTGCTCGCTTTTTTTGTTGTACACAAACTATTTTAAAGCTCCATTTTGCTGTACTCAATAGTTTTGTTGGGTGATCTGCAGAGATATCAATTTAGTGTTGAGCGAAAAAAAAAGAAATCTAATAGGAACTCTTTGATTCATTACTTTATGTAAGATTTGTTTTCATTTCTGCTACTACATATAGACCTTTACCACGTCGTTTAAATGAGAAACGATATCTGTAAACTATTTAAATGTAATTTGAATACGCGAAACATACAGCTCCTAAATATTCCGTCCAATAATACTCATGTATAAAGCACATATAAACTATCGTGTTTTTTTTCTAGCAGTCATTTACATCCAACTGGTCACATCAAATTTCTTTGTTGATAGATAGCGGTCGTTGTTCGAAAAAAGCAAATTTGTGTTTGTTGATCTCACTGGTTTAAACAAGATATCTAGCTCCATTACCTATTCATTCATATCTGTTTAACTGTGATAATAAGGAACCTCTTTTACGATTACTCGTCTTATCTGCAATCGATTTCATGAAATCTGTTTCTAACTGCTTCTTGAATCCAGAACACAATTGATTCACTTCATTTCGTAGGGTCAATCGATATAAATCAAATGTGCATGAAATTGTTTCGTGCGTCGGTTGACTTTTTTATTCAAACATATATTAAACATTTTTGATTTTTTTTTATTATTTAAAGAAAACTAATTTTATTATCAATTCTATACATTCTTGTTCAGTACAATTTTATCTGCAAACACCTTGGTTACTAAGCTGATCAACAATGTTGTTATCTCTCACAGAATGTGTTATCCAATCGTATTAGCGACTCAATTAATCCATCGTTTCATAGACAGTATTTTAGATAAACCAAATTTACAGAACAATTTATTAATACTAGCATTGTCTAGTATGAAGTATAATTTTTGTCCAAATGTTTCCATAAATTGTATACTACTGGCAAGTAGGTAAAACGTAATTAAAACAATAAATATGAAAACTGTACTTCATTCTATTGAAGATTTAACAAATTACCAGCTTTATTTCAAGTCCTAAAACAATTGATTATATGCATATACGTTCTATTAAAAAATTGTGATAGGGATACTCGGTTTTGTATCAATTATTCGTGAACTACATAAATATGTTTCAAATTTATTTGTAGACTGTTTATTAACAGCATTTGCCAAAAAGTCATATAATATTATACAATTTGTCTCATTTATCTGTAATATTGTTTTTTATAATGGTTTGTCTGTTTTAAGTTTGTTCATACTTTCCGTTCCCAATCCAAATATATAGGAATTGTATTTTATTGATTCTCAATCTATTTGGTCATTGCCGTTACGGCAAACTGGTTCTAATACAATCCCATTTTCCCGACTTGTAATTGGAAGTGATCCAAATTATTCATCGAATGCAAAGTCACTTAACACTACCTCAGGGACCAGTATTCCAAAAACAACTCCATCTTCATCGACACCACCTTGTGATCGATCTGTCCCAGGAAATCAGATGTTGTTAAATAATCCTGAACACTTGGCATTTAGTACCTTAGAGCAAACATTATACTTCTCTGATAACGACCATGTAAGTTTTTATAATTATGAAAAAAAACCATTTTGCTTGAAATACTGACTTCGTTAAACAACTCATTAAAAAATTTCCCCCCTAAAACCATCTGTTAGATGCTAAATGACTATATAATACCTGTTAAATAACTATTTAGTCGAGACTATGAGTTGTCCAACAAATGTAGTATGAAGTAATTTGACCGTGATCAATCATCAACATTTAATTAATTTTAAAGTACACACCGTCTCTCTCTGTATTCCAGAATAAATTAATTCTTGCGAAATTCATAAATCTATACAGTTTCTACAGATTTGTTAAAGGTTACACTAATCAGATGGCTGATAACGTTTTAGGTATAATCATAAACCTCCCCCCCATAGGTTACATTCTTTAGTGATATGTACACTCGGAATGATCTTAACCGTTCATGAATAATGATCAAACTTCTCTCATTGATTTAAAGTGAAAGTGAACTAATACATGCCTTTTGCTATCTGTAATTAGAAAAACCTTTATCGTAATAATTATGTAAATTGCTTCTTAGCGTCGCGAACTATCAAACGTTTATCTCTAAATGAGACCATTATTAACTTCGGACAGAATTATTACTAAAAATTAATGTCATGTTGATTGTCTTCAAATGATTAACGAACTTCGTTTTTATCAAGAAATCTGTTCGATTAATTATGATAGATTATGGATTCACCATGTCTTCAACATCATCTTTAATAATTTATATCAAATTTATCTAGATTTTCACTGTAATTTAAGTGTTTTAGAAGACTTTAGTTGCAGTTTATCATAAGGTTGGGACCGTTTTAAAATCCATTGCCTAAAAATCAGTCATATTTGAATAAAATACGATCAATCTGAGATTCGATTTTTTGCTGCACTCTGCACACCGAGTTAGGTACCCTTAAGGTCTAACTATAAGTGTTCACCGACATGAAAAAGTGTAAGCCTTCAACCGAATCTTTGCAAAACACTTAACAAGAAATACTGGAAAACGTTTTGGTTCGGGTTAAGCTCAACCGAATGAGTACACACATATACCATTGAATCAAATCATATTTGTCAAAAATGAAGTATTGCTATTTGGTTATACTATATGGAAGACAATTATGCATCTTTTTATTTTTATGTGTAACTAGAGGTAAACAGAGTATATTCAAGGTTATTGTTTTTTGAAATGTCATTAGTAAAAAATGTATTTACTTTGTTGAATTCCTCATAGCTAAGAATAAATCAAACACTATTAGCAAGTAGGCAAAGCGTAATTAGAACATTGAATAAGAAAATTGTAATATATTATAACCGAAAATATCAAGTGTACATTATAATATAACTAAAAACGACAACTCTTTTTAGCGTTTACTACTAATAGTCTTATTTCGCTTGTACTGTCATCTAAAAACACACAAATCTCGTTTGTTATTTTAGCCAATAATTTGAAATGTCTTATCAAGTCACCAGGTCCATATATACTGAAGTAACAGGTGTATGAGTTGCAAATGAGCTAATATTCACAGAAAATGGTTACGAATTTATTGCTTAGATCCTATGGCAACCATAAGAATATATCAACAAATCGATAACATAACATGTAAAAAAAATTTATAATGATTGTGAATGTGTAATTGTTTTTTTAGGTTTATCGTTACCATTTAGTCAATCAAATGGTATCGTTAGCAGCTGGACGCCTTAAAGGCTGTCCTATTAAAACAGATGATTGGAGTTTTGCTCCACTGGCAACACAAGTTGAATTAGGCGATATTCGTGGTCTCAGTGTATCACCTCAAGGTGATTTGTTTATCGCGGGACCTCAGCATATATGGATCCGTCGGTCGAATGATAATCGCATGTATCCTATTGCTGGAATTCATCCTAGTCAACCTAGACAGTTCAAGGAAGATGTGAATAATTCGAAGAAACGTCATCCTAGCACTGATGAAAGTGTTATAGATTTAGGATTAGTCAATGAATTTTCATTTAACAGTATTAGCAGTATAACTGTCAGTTTATTTGGTGAACTGTTTGTAGCCGATAATTCACATAACAGAGTAAGTTTAAAATATCAACAATACTTATACGGCTTTATTCTTATTATTTTAATTTCCATAGAATTTTATTTTCCTTAACGATATCAACTTCGAAATCGCTTGAATGGCTAAACACAATGTCATAAATACGTATTATTAGGCAGTCCCGTACTAGAGCGAAACGGCCATCCCCTGGTCCCAGGTTTTCAGTAGTCGTCTAACTAAGGTCATTTCATGATATAGTCCTTGAAGATTCTGTGGCCTCCACAAAACTGTACACTGATAAAAACGACTTTAGAACTTATACTTGGTTATACGACTAATGAAAGTAAATTAAATGAAAGGCCAATTAAATGCAAGTGATAATTGGAAGATGTATTTGCGCCCATACATTTATTTATTTTAAATAGAGCACAAACGGATTTTAATCGATTTTCGTCACTGGTATTGTGGTGCGCGCTACTTATATTGATATAATAAGTAGTATATAACGCGAGTTTCAAACGTAATGGCTGGCTGCAGAAGATGGGGAAAAATCAAGAGAGGAAGAGCGGCAACACAATGGAATTTGTATGAAAAAAACATGAACAATGAAATGTCAGTCAATGGATTGATATTTGAAACAGGAACAGTGCAGTTTAATATGAAGGATTAATATTTTGCAAATTAACGATTTAATATATAGTTTTTCTATTTTACCAATTAACTCTGTAAGTTGAGCTAAATACAATTCGGTTGTCCTCATCAGTGTTCTGCCTCATTACATTTTGGTGTCGCTGCCTCCACCAACGATGAAGATCCCATGGCCGAAGGAATTTGAGGACGGAGATGTGCTGAGCTTCCTGAAGGAGTTTGAGGCCGTGGCGGAACTGTTGGGCGTGAAGGAGCCGAAGGCGAAGTTGGTGGTCCTGGGGATGCTTCTGAGAGGCAGGGCGAAGGCTGTATATGACAGCTTGGACGGTGCTGGCGGGAAGAATATGTGGGAGGCAGTTACGGAGCGGTTGGTGGCGGAGTTCGACAGCCCAGTGGATTGGGAGGAAGCGCTGCAGAAGTTCCGGTCGGCGAGGTTGTCGGTTCATGGTGACCGACTGGTGCTGGCTGTGGAGCTCACCAAGTTGTTACGCCGTGCACTGTCAAATCTAGATGAGGAGTCGGAGGCACAGTTGCTGGCGTCCCAGTTTATGGAGAGTGTCCCTGTCACAGTCTCTCAGTAGCTGAAGTTAGTAAACGCAGCACAACCTATGGATGTCAGTGAACTGGCGAAGGTGACTCGTCAGCTGTTGACACGAACAGTAGCTCCAGTTGGGTACGGAAAGCAGGAGACGAGTGATGTCGAGAAGAAGATTGAACAGCTAGAGCGTGAGATTGCAGCATTACGAGTAAATCATAAAAGAAACGATAAATGTTACGCTTGTGGAGGGACAGGACATTGGAAGGCAAACTGTCCGACAAGACGACGACATAGATATTTTAGACGATATAACGTGTGTTCTTTCTACCCTAGGAATCTGGGGGTTGTTGCATTAGTAGATAGAGGGGCAGTTTATACGAGAGTGAATATAGATGAACGGGATTTAGTGTGTCTAATCGATACAGGAGCAGCGGTATCGTTAATAGGCAAAGAGCAATGTAAGACACTCAAGCCATGTACATTAGCTGTCCACACTATAGGAGGGCACATGTTAGAGGTGTTAGGGGTATCTAACAGTATTGTAAAAGTGGGTGGAGCTGAGATAAATTTTCCGTTGGTGGTAACCACAAGCTTATCGAGACCGATATTAGGAGCAGATTTCCTAAGAGAAGTAAAAGCGATCATTGACTTAAGAAGCGGTAAGGTGGTCACAAAGTATGGTTCATTGCCAATACACGAAAGTAGCGAAGTGGCTGAAATAAGAGTGGGAACGGACGTCTCGACGGAGAAACCAAACATTAACGAGTTAAGCAGAAAGTATGCGAAACTGTTCACTGGAGATGGGGAGCCGTATGGATTTTGTGACAAAGTAAAGCATGAAATCCCGATAAAAAACGACCGAGTAAATATATTTGCAACACGTCGTGTCCCGGTGCATTTAGAGGCCGAGGTAAATCGACAGGTCCAGGAAATGTTGAAAGAAGGTATAATTGAGGAAGCGGACAGCCCATATAGCTCACCGGTACTCTTGGTAAAGAAACCCAACGGAAAGTATAGATTTTGTGTCGATTTTAGAGAACTGAATAATGTAACAGACCTGAAACCTTGTGCGATGCCAACAGTGGTGGAAACATTAGATCGGCTACAGAATGCCACGGTGTTTACAGTGCTGGATTTACGGTCAGGTTATTGGCAATTACCTATAAAAGATAGCGATCGCAGCAAGACAGCATTTACTGTACGTGATAAACAATACCAATTTAAACGAATGCCGTTCGGGTTGGCGGGTGCACCGTTTACGTTCAGAAGATTAATGACGCTACTGCTCAAGAATCTAGATAATGTCGAGGTATATGGCGACGATTTAGTTGTATACAGTCTGACAGAAACAGATCACATCAAGCATGTGGAAGCAGTCTTAAAGCGAATTGATGAATTTGGACTTCGAATTAATAAGGAAAAGTCGCAGATAGCGAAAAACAGCGTCACATTGTTGGGACATAAAGTGGGAAATGGAGAAATAAAACCATTGCCGGAGAAAATTCTTACCATAAAAAATATTGCAGTACCTAATTCGAAAAGGAAGTTGAGACAGTTCCTGGGAAGAGCGGTGTTCTATAGTCGGTTTGTCAAGAATTTCAACGAAATAGCAGCACCCTTATATAAGTTGCTGAGCAACACCAAGTTTACGTGGACTGAGACTGCCGAACAAACCTTCAACCGAATCAAAAACATGTTAGACGATCGTCAGATGACGCTGCGACTGCCTGAACCTGGGAAACTATTTACAGTGGCCACAGATGCAAGTGATCACGGTATAGGTGCTGTATTGAGTCAGGCTGATAGAGTGGTGGAATACGCAAGTCGTGTTCTCACACCCGCTGAGCAGAAGTATTCATCGATCGAAAAGGAGTGCCTGGCAATAGTTTGGGCAGTAGGAAAATGGAGACCGTACCTGTTAGGAAGACGATTCCACATTGAGACTGACCATAAACCCCTGAAGTGGTTGAAAACAGCAAGAGATGGATGATACGTTTGCAAGAATACGACTTCAGTATCGGCCATGTTCCAGGAAAGGAAAACGTAGTGGCGGACTACTTGTCAAGACCAGACATGGAAGCTGACCTTCCTTTGACAGCATACGCGGTGAATAGTTTACAAGGAGACCCATTAGAACTCGTCCGGCAGCAGAAATCTGACCCTAGCCTTCGAGATGTAATCAGAGTGATGAAAGAGGGAGCAGACGTAGAAAAACGAACAATGGACAAGGAGGTACAAATGTTACTTCGGCAAAAGGAACGACTGAGATTGAACGCATATGGAGTCCTGACCTGGCAGGACGATGACAAGAATTGGGTGGCTGTAATCCCGAAAGACTGGCGGCGTAAGATAATACACGAGTGTCACCAGGTAGCACATACAGGCATCGCAAGAACGACGGACTTACTACGACAAAGTGCATACTGGCCGGGCATGAGAGACGATGTGGCTCAATACGTGTTAACTTGCCAGCAGTGTCAACTAATGAAAAGCGATCGATACACACAATCGCCATTACAGTCAATCCCAGTAACCGCAGTCGGTGATCTATGGTCGGTGGATGTGATGGGACCGTTCCCGCAGACGGCGAGCGGTAATCAGTACCTGCTAGTGATGACGGAGCATGCTACACGTTGGGTAGATGCCGTACCCATTGCAGACCAGCGGGCAAGAACAGTGACCGAAGCGGTAATCTGGCATATTGTAGCGTGTCACGGAATACCGAAGATGATATTAACTGACCAGGGTCCCTGTTTTGAAAGTGACGAGTTTAAAGCCCGTCTAAAGCAGTTTGGCATCAAGAGGATACGAACTACACCGTATCATCCTCAGACAAACGGGCTTACAGAGAGAAACAACCGGACATTAAAGGAATGGTTAGCATCTAAAGGAGGAGATTGGGAGAAAGAGTTACCATTGATTTTGCTGGCGCATCGTTCCTCCATACAAGGAACAACCAAGAAATCACCGTTTTCGCTCATGTATGGCAGACAACCACGACTTTCAATGCACAACAAGACCTGGCCACAACAACAGAAATGGACGACAACAAGGTTAAGAAAAGAGAGGAGGGAGGCAATCAGGAACGTGGAAAAGAAGCAAATATCAGACATAAAGAAGGCGGAACAACGGAGGAGAACGTGGAAACCTTTTGCAGTGGGGGACCTAGTAAAGTGTAGAGAACGGAAAAGTAGCATGACAGGGGGATCAGGGTCGGGAAAGCTGATCCCAAAGTGGGAAGGACCGTACGTCATCACGGAGAGACGCGGCGCGGTTTACACAATCCGGAGAGAAGACAAGCAGAAGCGCGTAAATGCTAGTCAATTGCAAAGATGGTTTCAAGATCGTCAAGTGTGTGAGTCACGAAAAACACCAAGGAAGACAGGCGTACGGCGATCAGAAAGACTACGACGGCAGCTTATTAAAAGGGGGGAGGAGTGTGTTGCGCGCTACTTATATTGATATAATAAGTAGTATATAACGCGAGTTTCAAACGTAATGGCTGGCTGCAGAAGATGGGGAAAAATCAAGAGAGGAAGAGCGGCAACACAATGGAATTTGTATGAAAAAAACATGAACAATGAAATGTCAGTCAATGGATTGATATTTGAAACAGGAACAGTGCAGTTTAATATGAAGGATTAATATTTTGCAAATTAACGATTTAATATATAGTTTTTCTATTTTACCAATTAACTCTGTAAGTTGAGCTAAATACAATTCGGTTGTCCTCATCAGTGTTCTGCCTCACTACAGTATTACTGGCTTCCTATCATTTATAGGAAAATAGTCATTGCATTCTGTTCCCAACTTAGCCGCATTTCCTAGATTATTCCCAAACAACGAATGAATGATAACTGTAAAGTCAACTTAGTGAGTGAAAAAACAAACAAGGAGTTATAAATACAATTACCAGTCAGTTAAACGTTCATACACCAAAGTTTAAAGTACAGTTTTGACTTAATTTTATAAATATGAAAAAAGTAATAAAAATCACCGCATGGGACTCGAATATCGAAGACTATGGTTGTACGAGGTTGATAAAACCGCGCATTCGAAAACAGTTTTCGAATTTAGACAAACTAGTTAATCTATTTAAGCTTACTTATTCTTAGGATCCTCTACTTAAATAATAATAATACTTAATAAATCCTATTGGTTTAAAGTATGTTAGTGAAATATTGTTTTGACTTTCAGTTCTTGGAAAATGATCATTTAAAGAATAGTTTTCACATACCGATTTTATTTGATTTATCATTGAAAATGTAATGTCTGCACTCATATATATCAAATATTCATGCAGAATTATTGTGATTGAATAATCTTTCGTGGCATTAGAGAGTTTTACCTCAGGTGGGGACACATTCGTATATGTTTGTCTGATTTAGTATTTATTTGCTCAGCCTATCGATACCTGTATTTCTGAATCCTAAACCACATTTTATTCTACCAAATTGTTTGATAGATCAATAAATTAGGACCAATTTTAATTTTTGATGCTGAAGATAGATTCTCATGTATAGATAGATACACTAGATTAATAAGGAAATGCTATTCTATATTTCATTTCTTAATTTTGATGCCAACTGCATCTCTAGATGTTACACTGAGTAACACGCATTTAAACCCTATGGCAGGCATCGTATTCTTAAAGATTGCAGATTTCTCTTGCTGACAAGTTTTAACAAGGACGGAACGTAAGTCCAGAGTTTCCCGTCCATTACCTGCAGTCATCTACCATTGAAGAGAAGTGTACAAAGTCTGTCCATCTGACGAGTCCCAAATAGGGCGAAAAGCCCGACCTGTATTCCACTGCTAGTCTTTGCTTAAGACTTGGCCGGTAATTATAATTTAATGACTTGGTATCTATCTTAGCTTGGATGCCAGGTGAACGAAAGACGGGCATTATAGCACAGGTGTTCATTCTGTTTTCAAGTTTCACCCATATCTAAACAAACTAAGTTGCCGACTCAATGATGATTAACAAACTTTATCACCATGAGTATGAGTCTTAAATCCTGACTGGAACTCTTCACCGATTAGATTCTACTGTCAATTGGTTTTTGAGTTTATTTCAGATATCATATGTTGGAATTTTCTTAAAATACCATTTTTATCTCGATATCCTCACTTTTATTGGTATCAGTTTGTATTTTCTTGCTGCAATTGATTTTATCTACTTGTTACTTCACGATTCACTTCACACTTTATTTATGCAACAGGTATATCGTGTACATTATCAATTGCCGGAAAAGTCTGAAACAGGCAACACTTATCGTATACTATACTCACAAACAGATGAAATCGATTCATTCGGTTCTTATGGCCAGTTGATTTCCACTGAGAGTGCTTCTACTCAAATGATATCGCATAGACTGGATTATCGTAATAATGAAATAAGCGGTTGGCTTTCACAAATTCGTGGTGATGATCATAGTATTAAATTAAGTATACATCGTGATACACATGGAAATCTTTTACGCCTTCAAACGCCAACAGGTAAAATGTTGTTCTTTTATTTTTATTTGTTGGTTGTATTGCATCACAACAGCATCTGAAACGTACATCTTGAAGCTGGGTAAACAATACGAAATTGACAACATTTACTCATTCCGTGGTTTCTTCACGGTCGTAATTTAGTTAACATGTTTCGTGGCATAGCTGTATAAATTACTTTTAACAAAACGTAAAAGATATGACAGTATAACACAAAGACAAACTACAACACTAGGTCAGTTAGATCATGATAGTCATAACCATTATTTTCCGCACAAAATTTCGTTGTCATATAGTTGTTTCATATTTATTTCTGTTGTAGCTTTATCCGCTGTCCTTGCTAGGTCTTCTACATATTTCTGCTTGTCAGTTCTAATATTCTTCCTCACTTCCTTGTTTGCTTCTGTGTGTCCAGCCAGTGTGTCGACCTCCTCTGTTCTTGTTTGGCTGTCGTTAATTGTTGTCTTCTTGCTCTTCCTTTCTTAAATCTTGTTCAGGGTTTCCATAGAAATCTGTTCCTTATGATGAAGCTTGTTGTGGTTGGATACCTCCTGACATGTCGAAGTCAGTGTTTCTTTGATCCCTTTCCATTTGTCTTCCACAGTAGTTTCCTCCTCTTTGAGTAGATCTTGTAAGACTTGAAACCTGTAGTTGAGAGCTATCTTGAGTTCGTTGGGTTAGTCAGTATCTCGAAGAAAGCCTGTATCAAACCTTGGTACTGCTGTTTCCCCAGTTGTCCAATGCTTCTTTAGCCTCAGTTTTATTTTGGCCACAACCAGCTAGTGGTGATCTGAAGCTATGTCAGCTCCTGTCCTTGTTCTCATACCTTCCACTGAGTTTCTGAAGTTTTCAATGATACAAATATGATCGACCTGGTTCTGTGTGGTGTGATCCGGTGAGACCGTTGTAGCTTTGTGTACGTGTTTGTGTGGGAATATCGTGCCTCCTATAACCATTTATTGAATGCAAATAAAGTTGCAAATCTTTCACCATTTTCATTCCTTTTCCCTAGTGCATGTTGTCCAATAATATCTTCATAGCCAGTGTTGCCCATTCCGACTTTGGCGTTTAGGTCTCTCATCAGGATGGTCAGGTTCTTTCCTGAGCACTTTGGTATGATCGATTGTAGCCTCTCGTGAAACTTATCTTTGCAAAAATCTTTCACAGGTGAAGCATAATTTTAGTCAAATTGTAGAATGAAATAACCAAGAAGTAATAGAGAATTATGTCTCAAGATTACTTCCTTACGCCTGTTACCCCTCGTAGAGTAGCATAGGGTTTCCACCAGCAGTCTCGATCCAACTCTGTCCTGTGAAATACTTTCCAGTTTCTATTCATCCTTATCATGTCTGCTTCCAATTCTCGACGCAGTGTGCTCTTCTGCTTTCATCATTGCTATTTCCCTTCACTATTCCAAGTTACAGCTTGTCTAGTGATGCAGTTTGATAATTTCCTTAATGTGTTCCCTATCCTCTTCCAGCGTGTTTTCCTAATCTCCTCTTCAGATGGAAGCTGGTTTGTCCTCTACGACCAACGGACATTAAGTATCTTGCGTAGAAAATTGTTTAGAAATACTTTAATTATTTAATGATGCTTGCAATAGTCCCCGAAGTTTCCGCTCCGTACAGTAGAACTGTCTTGACGTTCGCATTGAAGATTATGACTTAGATGTTAGTTGACAGTTGTTTTGAGTTCCATATGTTCTTCAACTGTAGGAATGCTGCCCTTGCTTTGCCAATACTTGTATTTACGTCTACATCTCATCCTCTTCCAGAGTTTCTCCATCAAGTGTGATTGGGTTGGCGTTCTTCGTGTTCTTTTTGAGCATCTTACTTTTTCCCTTGTGTATGTTGAGGCATACTAATGCAGGGACTGCTGCTACACTGGTTCTCATACCTGCTATGATATTCCTTTGGTGTATTGATGAGACATCCCTCTTTTCAGTCTGTTGGTACTTGTTCTTTTTTCTTAAATCTTTCTGAAGAGGATGTGGAGCATCTTTCAATTTACTTTCATGTCTGACTTTAGTGCTTCAGCTAGGATAATGTCTGATCTTGATGCTTTGTCTTTATAGATTTGTTTGATGGTCATCGTGATTTCTTCGATCATTGGTGAGTGACATCTATGGGAATGTCTGTAGGTGCTGCTTCAATATGGAGAGGGTTCATTAACGTTGGTTTACTCAAGAACTCTTCAAAGTTTTGCTTTATTTGTTCTTGGCTGATCTCTGCGGTCTATCATATTTTCCTGCTAGTTTTTTTATTGTCATATAATTGTCCCATATTTCCTTCTCTTCCAGCTTTTTCTACTGTCATTACTAGCTCTTTCTCACTCGTCTCTTTGCTCCTGTGTATTCGGTTAATCCTTTGGTTTTCTCTGCCCTTATGCGGCTGTTGTTGATTACTGTCCTCTTGTCACATTCCCTTTATGAATCGTGTTTAAGGTGTTGATGGAGATCTATTCTTCATGTTGGTGCTTCTTGCGGCCCAGAACCTTCTGAAATATCGGAGTTACGGCTTATTCAATCCTTTCCCGGTTGTTTTCATATTGGTTTCCTCTTCTTTAAGTTGATCTTGTAAGGTCTGAAACCTGTTGTTGCAAGATATCTTGAATTGGTTGAATTTGTCAGTATCTCGAAAAAAATCTGTATCAGACCTTTCTAGTGTTGTTTGTCGAGGTGTCCAATTCTTCTTTAGCTATAGTTTCAGCTTGGCCACTACCGGTTGGGGGAAAATGGTGCCACTTATAACGATTTTGTTGAGAAGATATAGATTCGCAAGTCACTCACCATTTTGGTTCTTTTCTCCAAGTCCACGTCGTCCCATGACATTTTTATACTCGGTGTAATGTGATAGTGTTAGGATTTAATTCATATTACTCGTTAAATACAGTTTTTTTCTAATTTCAGGTCATCTGTACAATGTAACACTGGAACCTGGTTCTGGACAACGCATTAGTACTCTTGTTGATCCAGTTAACGGAGGTCTTTGGAAATTTCTTTATTCATTCGACGGTCTCTTAACTTACTTAAAAAATCCACAGGATTCAAGTTATACACAATTTCACTATGCTCCTGAATCAGGTCGTTTGTTACAAATTACATATCCGAATGCTAAATCCATTGATGTAACTCGTATTGTCAGGAGTCAAATCCCTGTGAATATGAGATTTCATACTTTGGATGAAGTTTCGAATCAAGATAATACACCTAAAAGTGATTCAACAAATACTCCTGATCAGTTGTCCACAGGTATGCTTATAAATTATACTAAAGTGTTTAATTATATGTGGCTACATGCTTCTTAATGCTAAAGTGTTATTGAGATAACTTTGTTTTCAAGTTATTAACGGTATCTCAGATAGTTAGCAGTTTATTATGGGACGCATAATCACTGATCAAGGGACAACTAAGTTACTTTGGACTCAATAAATTACGATGAATGTCTCAGGTATTGAAGTTGTGTCAGCCTAGACCACGGAATAATGAACCATGATAATTGAAGCTAATGTTTATCTTCTTTGTAATGAATAACGTAAGTACTCAAAGCAAACCCAGATTCTTAAGCGTTTTGTTTGAACCGATCGACAGCCTAATATAAGTATTCTTCGAAATGTTTACGGTCATGATATACCATAATTCTTCTGCAGATATTTCATAAATTATATATTTTAACAGAATTTGTATTAAAAAGCATTGCCACTATATTATGTCTCAGTTGTCTAGTTGGCTCATAGGTTCAGAAAGCATGTTCTACTATATTAAGAACCTGCCAACTTTATATATCTACATCTCAAAGAATACTAGTGATCGTACTTCCACCAATAAACAGCTGTCCAGTGCTTCCTGGCTTTGATTTATAGATTCTCCTAAACATCCAGTAACAAAATATTGTCAAGTTCCAGTCACAGTCACAGTCACATTGATCACTCTATAATATTTTGTACTATGACAGATCTAAAAATTTGTAGATAGGTTTTCAGATTGATCTGATGAAAACCTGACTCATGTATTCACAGCAAAACGTATGTCTATATAGTGTTCCCAATTGTATGAAATGTCTACTCTTGTACTTGTGTATATCGTTGATTTCAGGTATTGATAATGACTTTTCTTTGAAATGGTAACTCATTAATACAAGCATTCAATTTTAACCCATTTGTTCACTTGTATGTCATGGGACCGCTATTTTCTCATTATACCTTAAACATACGAATTTGCATGCAACGTAGACCAATCTTCACTCAGCTCTAAAGTAGCTGTAAATACACCTGGAAAAACCAGAATTATGTGTGCAAAAGAGACTGGTACAACCTCTTCTACCTTGGTCTTAATGTATTAAAAAATTTTTCTCTTGTTCCTTTACAGCCATCTGCTTCACCTTTCACCTTCCCCTTAAATCTTCTACCCCCAACTAGTTTGTTTTTATTTTCATGATCATTCCGATTACATTTAATCCTAATTTCAACATTTTATCTTATCATGCTGAGCCATCCTTTCCCAATGATAATTTCCCTATCTATGTTTTGATAAATATTTAAGCCATTAACAATCAAACGATTATCAAGCTTTCCTTGTTTTATAAAATTTTTAATACTTTTGTTTATTTAACCTCATTGTCACCATGTATAACAAGTTTATTATCAGTACTATTATCATCCTGTAAAAATAAGTATATATATTTGCGATTGTACAGCTTTGAAAATTAATTCGCCGATAAGAAAACTCTTCGCTGAACTAATCTTTCTTATTTAATGTTTCAATGGGCGTATTCCGTTTATTAAATAATTTAGTGTTTAATCAAAATAATCACAGTTATTTCGTAACGTGTAATTTTTTAAATACGACGTAATTCGAAAGCAAACCAAGAACTTTAGATAATATTTTGTTATTTCAGTAATCATGATACAAACTACGGATTCGAATAAACATGAAATGGAAATCGACTATGGCGATTCAAATAATCTTTGGAGAGTTCGTCTAGCTCAAGTTTATCAAATTCGAAAGGATTTATGCTCACCAGTACAATTGGTTCGACAAATCACGATACCTGGGAATAACATAAGAAATGCTATTGAACATACGTAAGTTTGTTTACTTCATAGCATATTGCTTTTTTGTTTGATTATTTGTTTCCAGTTATTTGAGGTGATGATCATTTATTCTAACGTCTAATATTCCATGCATCTTTGTACTATCATGAAAGATTATTTACGTGCAAAAATATTCTCTCTTGCACTGAATCGCAAGCATAGGTATGACCCAGGTAAACAATACTTCATGTAATGTAGCTTAACAACATACTAACTAAACAATGAAATACTAGAAAATTGATCAATTTGACCACTCACTCGCATTTTTTTCCGTAAGCATATAGAAATACGCTGACTGATGACCAACTAGCTATCATTCATTTTTTATAGTCGTGATCAAATTGTACCTACCAAGTCTCATCGTGCCTACTAATCCAAATGATTCTCGAATACTTCTAACCATATAACATCAAAACAATGCATGTTATATTGAGCAACTTAGATCAACTAGTAGCCACACGAGAATTCGATTGGTACAATTCGGTCAGCACTAACTTACTGAACAAACATGATACTTGTCATTACTTGATGAATAATCAGCGTAAAGATATCAGTCCTATCGGAGGTCAATCTCCCCAAACAGCTCAATGTTAGGGTCTTTAACTGAAGCTGAGTGACACCAGTTCGAATCCTACAAGGATCATCAGTCCCCTCCAAATTGTATATGATATATGGCACGACACCTAGGTCCAGGATTTCGTTCCGACTACCTCCAACCGCATAAAATATGTAGATGTAGATAACTGCGTATGTATATTGATTCATCGTAAAGAAAAAATAAATTTACTAATATGGTTTGGCAATCGTAAATAATGACAGACTACTTTGTAGATGTATACTTATCTTCCCTTGTCTCCATCTTCTCAAATTACCATATATTGTAATTAATTAGCTAAGTTAACGATCTACAAAAATGACATGTGACGATACAATATATACATATAAGCTTACAGGCTTTTTCAAAAACTTTTTGATGCACTTTCATTACGTTTCTGGATATGATGCATATTATGGGTTGGAAGGTACAAAAATAGGAATCTGACAAGTTAGGTTTAGATATTTTTCAAAATAATCATTTCATTTCTTCCTATAAAAATTTCCATTGATAATTGTGGCTTGAAATGGATTTATCGTCAAATAAATAACCAGATCAATGAGCGTTAGTTTATTATTATAATAATCACAACACCAACTCAAAGCACTAATTCACTTACACAAAAAAATTTAAAATACGAATACAACACGGAATTGTGATACCTTGAGTTAGTTGCACCACGCCTCAGTAAATATTCCTTGACAAAAAGATATGATTTCAGATTTCTGATATTTATTTCTTCCCTTTAACCTCATATTTTAAAATATTGTTGAGGCGACTAGAGTAGTTATTGTTACGTCATAGGCCAGTAATGTTGATATTTTTAATTTTATAAATAAGGCCGAATTGTTGTTTGTATTACTAACATAATTGTCAAACATTCATGTATATTATTCTCTAATCTTCAGTATTAATTGAAGTCTGTTAATGAACTAATCTTGTGTATGTTCATTGAAATTAAGTAACTCATTATAAGGATTTATTTTTTCATTAATTGATTGATGATAATCTAATGCAATCCGATAAGTTTCTGCTAAAAAGTCTACATTTTCTTAAGTTTCTTATTATTAATAGCCAGTAAATTCACTAACTAGTCTCATCTATCGATCATCATTAACATTTTATCGAAGCCACTTTTATACTAGTAACCAGTACAAGTCATAGTAGGTGGTTAAACAGTTTGCATCAAATGTTCATCAACACTGATCACTAATTGGTAGTTTCACAATATATTAACAATTATCAGAAGGGGTTTTGTGGAGATTTTGAGTAATTTCAATATTTGAAATCATGAGTCAATTGAAGCTAGACCACCATGGAAAACCTGGAAGCAGCGGACGGCCGTTTCGTCATGGATGCGCACTGGTGAGGAGTCCCATATATATGGTTTTAACCTTTCATCCATTGACATAACAGAAAAGTGTCTCATTAAGCCATCCATTTCTTACTTTCTTACGATCTAAAAATAAGTTAACAAGTTCAATATAGCGCACGGTAGCAGGCTCCTGAAATTTTACTCACATCTGAACATAGCAAAATATGTTAAAACATTTGTTCATCAATTATACCATCATAAGTTTCCCTTTCATTCCAGCTGTCATATAGACATTTTTAAAACTCATCTCGTTTCATCAAACATATTATACTTTTCCCTATGTAGAAATGTATGGACATATCATTTGAATGATCAAAGTAATCCAAGAATACTTGATACTCATACTTCAATAGGTGGTGGAGGATATTCAGATTTTGGCGTAAATTTTGATAAGAAGTCACAACCATATCACTTTTTTAAGAATCGTTTTCGACGTAGTTTTTCGGCACAAAATTATCGATCTGGATCAGATTTACATCGTTCGAAACATCAAATGTCCCATCCTTTTTCTAAGAGGTTTACTACTCGGTCTATTTTTAATTATAATGACAAGAATTATAATAATCTTGGTGAAGAAGTAGACTGGCATTATCAGAAGACCTTGACAGTAAGTGATAAATGTTTATCGAATCGGTAACTCACTTCTAGTACTATTTATTTGTTAGGATCACTACTTAAAAATAACTGATAATTTTCGAACCATTTCTTTTGTGTACAATAATAATAATAATAATAGTGTCATTCTGAGGAGCTTGAAAGTTGACAATATCGAAATTATGGTGTAGTAAACAAACTTCAGCAAAGCATGTTGAAATGGTCTCATCCTATACAAACAGCGAATCAATATTATAAGATTTACTTGATACCTTGCATGGGTTGATGTTCGAGATTTCATGACTCAATGGTCCAGATGAATTCACCTTTAATTTGTAAAACTGGAGGAGCTTACAAAACTGTTGGTTACATAAAAACAAAATCGTTTCAGTTTTTTATAAATCTATGCTGTCGATTATGTTTACTATGTTATTAAAACATTCACTAGTCAATTCGCCCAAATATGATGTTAGCCTTTGTTTCAGTTGCCTCACAGAAATCAAACCTAATAATGAAAAAAGGACAGTGGATTCATTGTGTAACATCATGATTTCGAATGAGAATATCTGTTAGGTGCTGACGGCGGCGTGTCGGAAAGACGTTTTTCTTTGATCGTTCAGTTTATTTCAAAAATCAGTATAAAAAACAAATGAGGGGTATAATTAAAGTCTACAAATTAATATAGTTTCTTGGCGGTTAGTGTTTTATTTATATTTGTCTATGTATTTGTTTTTAGGCGAATGGCCAAAATCTGCTCAATGTTAATTTTAACTGGGCACTACAATTAGAAACTTATCAACACGCTTCAACTGGACACATTCTTTTGCAAATCGTATATAATGCGAATTTTCAACCGATGATTTTTAATGCTTCTGCAACTTACTTACAATCGACGGGAGCACATGAAATGTTTTATCCAACAAAAGCAGATTATATACGACCAGCTACATTGATACTTGCATATACAAAGTAATTTATGGTTTGTCGATCTACTGTCTTAGTAATATAACCTATATGAGATACCTTTTAGTGTATCCATGGCCGATAGTTGGTGAGGAAACCGATTTCCAGCTGAATTCTAGTCAACAGTCGTCATCTTACCAGTTTTGATTACTCATGATGATTGATAAAACTCATGAGTCGTTAGACAATTGGCTGTAATGAAAAAGGACTGTTCCATGTTTTTCTTATTTACATGATACTTGAATGTAGCACGTTCGCTGTTTGAATTAGAATTAAACTCAAATTAGTAATTACATCTCGTAGCTCAGATACTTAGACATGCAACCAGCTATTAGAAAGGCGATTATTCAATTAGTTTCCTTCTAATTTTGTCACCATCCTTGTGTAGATTAAGACAGCGGTATTCTATGTTCCATGTTAAATCGATGTACTAATAAAATAAACTCTATACCTATATATACAATTAGTGAAAATGTATATGAACAAATTAGTTAAGAACTTTAGCCACATAAAAAAACTTCAAAACATGTTTCCCAAATAGAATGGTACAGAATAGCAGAGAGAATTCTTAGAAAATAAAATATTTATTGGTTCTCTTATAATTGTTTCGTGTTTTTAGTTATAACTAGAAAGAACCCTGAATACTATGTGCATCTATAAATACTAATGATATGATCTTTATATTCATATTTTGCAAAGATATCGTTGACTAGTTTGGTTACTTAGCTGTTGACTATGAATATTTCTAACAGTAACAACAGTATAACTGAATTAATTATGAATTTTTAAGTAAAATGACCATTCGCTTATTTTTCTTGGTTTCTTAGGACTGGACATTTAAGTGCAGTTGAGTGGGGAAATGCAAGTTATCATTTTTCCTATGATGTTCTGAATCGATTGAAAGCAGCCGATTTAGGAAGACCTGCAGATACTTTATCATTTCAATATGGAATCCAAAATATTCCATTTCAGGTAATCATTAATTTTAAGCTCGGATTATACTGTAGCCGAGTTGAACAGTTTTTTTTGTCGTTTTCGAGAAACATTTAGATTATTAAATTTTTCTCTGAAACTAGCTACGAATAAATTAGTAACAATTAATACTTGTATGGATTCCTAATATGACAGTAGTTCAACAATTCCTATGATAGGAAAGAGGAAAACAGAACAACATAGAACTTCACAGAAAGCTCATAGCTTCAATTGGTTACAACATGAGTGTACACAAATTAAATAGGTATACAGTACCCAAATGTTGAATAATTAGAGGAATATGAGTAACAATCACATTTACGCGATTGTGACCGATCTTGCGTTATATTATTTAAAGTCTGCAACTAGCGAATTTTAACATCTTGATAATTCTTATCAAACAACATTTACCGAGTTGTTTTACCCTGATTAGATGTTAATGTCTTTATTGACTAGTTTGATCACCCTTCGCCTTTTCCTAACCTATCTCTACGTATACCGAAATTGTGCATCAAGACAGGCCATATAGAAACACATGTCTCAGCTACATTGCTTGTCCGTAATTCATCCGTCTGTGTGTGTGGACAAATAAATCGGCAAATAATTATGATGAAAATGCTAATTAAGTTTAGATACATTATATGTCTTTCAGTTTTTTTAGCGTTAGTGCCAACATTATTAGTGAAAAGAAGAATGTATTACTTTTTGATAAACTAAGATAATGATAATCCTACAAAAATATGTATTATACAATGACAGTCTTTTCTCATAGACCGATATTAGCTGAAAAACTAATTAAGATTGATGGACTGAAGAAAAGTGTTTAATTTGTGGTGTTAACCATAATATATACTTGTTGTATTGGTTGGTATTTGCCACCTCGCCACTATAAATAAATAGGACTTTCTGATCATTCTTTTGCTTCAGCAACACTATAATCTACATTTCAATGCTCGAAATATTTGACAAAGTCTTATTTGTAGAAAGAGAATTGTAAATCTTATCAGTTTTCAAAGTACTAACCGGAAGATGATCATTGAAATCAATGTTTAAATTACTAAATAACTATTGAATTATGATGAAGTATTGTTTGTCGTATGAAGTGTTTGTTTTCATGTTGATTTATTACTATAAGAATTTAAAAATCATGTCTCCTATAATAATTATGACTGTAATTTTACTTCAAGTAATGATATCTTGGTCTACTCAGCGTCGAAATTCAAGATACTCTCATCGAAATAATAAACGTGTACTACACATTTTAAATATATTGCGCTGAAAATTTCAGAGTTATGCTTTAAGTGTAATGTTCATCATGATTCTTTCTTCCTTCTAAAGTGTCAACTAGTCTAGTTCTTAACAAAGTTATGATTACTTGTATTTGTTAACCTTCTGATTACAAAATAAAGCGTTTTGCTATCGATCTATAACTGAAGCTGGAAAATAACCTGGAATTTAAAACTTTTACTGATTGAATGCTGCTCACTCAATTGACTGAGCCTTAAAAAGCCTACACAATGAATAAATCTGATTATTGTGCACATTAATGATTAGTTGACATATATTGTCTGTTCACTATTTATTTAAAACTAATTATGAATTACTTTAATTGTTCTATTTATTTATTTATTTTATTCAGTAAAAAATGTATATTCTTATCTGTTTGCAACTTACAGCCAACAATGGTTTCTGTGAGTGGATCAGGTCTCTACACATTACTTTATTCTGATAGCTTTATTGGGTCCAGTGAACATCAAGAAGCTAGTTCATTATCATCATCAAAATCAGACTATATGGGTCTCTCTGGAGTTATCACTCCAACCGGTCTTAGACGTCAGTTTACTCGAATCAACGGAATAAAAGTTAATCGTTTGATGTTTACACCATGGCTAGACTCACCCGGTTCCTGGGTCTATGAATGGGGAAGTGATGTTGGCAGCTCTATGAAATTATCATCAGATCATTCACACTTGCTTCGTTTCATATGGCCAAGTAGTTATAGGCGTATATCAATATTTCCTAAACAAAATTTGGTAATTTACGATAAAACATCAGTTCGATGGGATTCTAACGGTTTGAAACAACCAGTTAATATATTAACTGCTCCACTTGTACAGTTGACGGATACTGCATCTGGTTTTCGGTTACAGTATCAGCGTATCTTTCAAGGAAGTTTATTACAATCTTGGCATATAAATCAACGACTACCAGGTGTAAAAACTGTCCATCCTAATCTTGGGGGAATCCTGAATGCTAAATTCACTTATGGTTACGACTTAAATATGAATGTAAGTTTTCCTGAACAAGTAATTTTTTTGCATTATACATATTGTTATGTGTTATTATGTTTACTTCACATAAACCTCTTCAAGAATCATTATAATTACCAAATACTTTGAAAATTCCTCAGAAGACTGTACCGTTATCTTCTGTCGCACACACACCTAATCACTTGATAACTCTAATAATGTAGAATAGCTACTCTCCTCTTTGTTCAGTGACAAATAGTCAGGCAACATATTAGTCCACCTGATTCTCATAATATAATGTTTTGTAAAATTTAGCAGTTGAATATTAAAGCTATCATACTTCAGCGATGACCTCAAAACAGATGAACATTAGTACTAAACTAAGATTCTCAAACACCCCTTGCAACTCCTCATCCAAACGTATTCTATGCTGGTTTTATCGTTTCATTCAGGATTTCACTAAACGAGTACACAAATAGGAATTATATAGCCTAACTAAACTTCTCAGTGTCATTTACCGGTCGATCCAAACTTATGTGTATTTGCGACTGATTCTTGATATTCACATTGACCAATCGCAGGTAGGTGAGTAATTCAATGTTATTATGTTGTTATATGTAGGTTAATGTATACGTCTTTGAACAATAATGTTTTTATGAGGGTTAGTGAGTTCACTGCATCAGTTTATGAACCTGTAACCCATTGTTTGAAAATCTATTTCTTTAACCATTAAGCTACTGTTGCACCAAGTCACTTCTCGAAGGAGCCGCGACTTTTCTCTCTGTGTTTGTTTTATTTTCAGTACTTAAAGTACTGCTTTATTACGGAGATTTTTTCAACTAACCTGCTGTTCTATGTAAATCTTTGCAATTTTGAAATGAATGATATAACTACGGTAATGTTTGTGTGGAATCAAGTACAACGTTAGGGACTTGTAATATATCTTTGTATTAAACTGGCAGTACAAAATATCAGTATGAAGAGTTTTTATCAGAAGACTTAATTACGACAGTACTTGCACATTTAATGTCCTCTTAGTTTGTGTATTTATATGAAGTCACGACTAATTAGTACTATCACTCATTTTCTCTCATATTTTGTTTAGTGATATTCTATTTCTCATATGTGAATGAAATGCAAAAAATTATCATAATTACGCAGGTTATACACAGAATTTATGTTTAGTACCAGAAATACAACAGCAACTAAATAGTGTGGCTTAAATTCAAATCATAGTGAATACAGATTAAGTTGCAATTATCCAGGGTTATACATTTTGTTATGTATCAAATATGTCCTTTTATGGCAACGAACTTGTATAAACTGATCGTATGGTATGAAGTCCTGTCAACTTTATCTGATTCCAAACGTAAAGGATTTCAATTTACTTGCTCAATCTAATGTACATTGACCTCTTTCATATATTTTGTCACGATAACAGCTATAGTACGGCAATAAAATTTTCAAAATATCCTTTTCCCAGTTTCTTTGAGATGAGAAAATTAGTATCAAACTACATCATGATTTTTCTTATTCACCAAAACCATCCAGCTCAGAGAACAAAACTCCATCATAAACAGTTGTTTATTTCTCAAAAAGCTTTTTCAAAATATTCAGTCTAACTTGCCTGACATAATAATCTATGAACCATAATAGGAAACTAAATTTTAAAAATCCTGTTTATACAACTGACTTTTTGTAAAATTTGATTAATCTTCTTTGATTTATCATCTTTATTACTTTCTAATTTAGCTTGTAAGTATTCATACATCATTGTTTATAAGAAATAATGAAGATTTCGGTAATACAATTAATTCTGATGATAAAACAGTATTGAATGAAGAATCATCGATCCGATTAGATTCATTAACTGGTCGTGTATTGACTATGAATGAATTCACTATCAATCATCAATCCTCCTCATTGCATATAACTTATAATTTAAAAAATATACAACTTTATCGTCAATGGGATGATCGTCAACGTATTATACAATGCGTATTGCATTCAGTAAGTAGTTCATTTATTTTTTTTCCTATTTATATTTTCTAATACATCATAAATGTTACTGCAAATAATTACGTTTTTTCAAGGTGAAAAACGAGTCCAATTAAAGTCTATATTTATGTAGTTATACTTTGATCCGATTAGCTTAACGAACTGATTTTAATAAGTAATGACTAAAACTTAAGATAGTGAATAAGCCCTTGTTTTGTCATACTGTTTTAGTGTTCGTACACTGAAAAATGAATTTAGCTTTGCTTTCATTATGATTTCAAGCTTTACAATTTTTTTCCTTTCGTCAATTACCTGCATTAATTCGGATACTTACAGCTAACTTTTGAGCCCTATCGATAAGTTTGATAAGTGTTCATACCATTATTTCTTCTTATCCAGATTCTCCAAGGCATGTAATATTTTTACATTTTTGTTCATTTGTTAAGTAATTTTAGCTCATAAAAACTCTCCTAATTTTGTGTCAAAAACAGGCAAACTAGTTCATAAAGATGAGCTTCTGGATATCTTGGTAGAGGTGAGTATACTGCGCAGCAACCAGCTCTGTATTACTATATGTTCAAAGCAATGCTCACGTCTCGTGGGATGACTGAGTAATACATGTTAAGGTTATGTATACTGTAATCAATAAACATTATAAATGAGAGTGTGAATACTGATCGCCTGATTTGAACGTGTTACGTACTCTCATTCACCACCTACTTTGGTGGGAGATGTTATCTGATGTAAAAGTAAGTTGATGGACAGCGAGGTGCGACTAAATCAAGACGTAGCATCAGTCCATAAGGTCATTGGCTGTTCGTCTGAGTCATGTTCGTAGACTCAGACTTTCTGATTGGAGTCTACATGATAGCTCCAACCAGTGACTGAAGACTTTGGCTGACGTGGTTCCGAATCGGTCACAATGGTGCGGATATATTTACTCCCCACATTCCCTTTAATCATGGTTTCTAGTATTACTTTACACATACCTTTCCATCCCTTCTTTTCGAACCATATTCTCACCTACATACGTACCAGACTCCACTTAAATCATGACGATTAATTTTGACAGAACTTTCTGTCCTATGGAATATAAAACGTGTCGGGACTGCTAACAACCTTAACCTCCAGTAGTAATAATTAAAACCTTTCACTTGTTCTCAATATCGTAGTATTTATCTGTTTATCCGAACATGTCTTAGTGTTCTATATATTCGACTAAGAAAAGTATACAGATTATTTCATCATGAAATTACACCTAGCCTATACTTAAATTAATTTCTTTGCAAAAAAGTTACTTAAATTTAATATATCTAAATCAACACTATCTCTTATTATAAATAAATTGTTGAGTTTGAGTTCCTATTCAATAGAATCAGTTGAACTTACTAATATAAAAGATAACTGAAAATATATCTCTTCGAATTCTGTTGAAACACTTCTACAGAAGGAACGACCTCCTAATCAAGGACATCTCAATCTAACCAATAATTGGTAGTATAAGTGCGAGGATTTGTGGAGGTAGTAGTAATTTCACAGTTAGAATCACAAATCAATCTAAGCTAGACCACCAGTAAAATACTGAAAAAACTAGACGGCCGTTTCGTCCCAGCATAGGACCCCTCAGAAGTGCGCATTCACGATCCCGCTCGCGAGAATCGAACTCAGGACCCCTCACGAACGGCCAGCTTCTAGACCACTGAGCCGGCATCCAATGGTGATAATGTTTAATTTCAACCAATCCATGATCTTGCGCAACCAATGCTTCCAGGTTCCCAATGGTGCTCTAGCTTAGATTGACTAGTGATTTCAACTGTAAAAATTGGTGATATGTTTCGTTGTACTTTATGCTGTTTACTTAATATGAGTACAAAATATTAAATGGAGAAATTTCGACTGTTCATTATACATTTTACCGGAGATTGATTGTTAAATTCATTACAACCGTGTTGCTTGTATTTATTTGCTTGTGTTTATTGCATAAAACGTTAACATTTTTGATATTTTTCTTTTGTTAAATAGCTTAACAACAGACGTGAATTGTTATATAACTTGTCATTATCATATCAACCAAACGCTTTACAAGCCTTACAACAACGTGAAGAACGTGAAGGTCAAGTACCACGATGGATCACATATGTACATGGTCCAGGTGGACGTTTAGAGGCTGTGGACCGTGAAGAAGCTGGTACAAGTTTAAGATCACATAGCCAGTTGATTTACAATGCTGAAGGTCGAATAGCGCATCTTCGTATAGCTACATCAGATCCTCAGCTACCATCGAATGAGCGATCAGAGTCTGGATCAACAAGTCGTTCAGAAGAACTACAGTTCATTTATGACTCAAGAGGTTTATTGACAAGACGAGGCAACTGGTACTATAGTTTCGATGAAGATGGATTCCTGATAAAACGCCATTTTCACAATTTTTATATTACAGATCAATTTGCTTACAATAGTAAAGGATTGCTGATATGGGCCGAGCGTGCAGTTGACAAAAGTGTTGATTCATCGTCCACTGACAATTTTCATTCAACATCATCGTCATCATCACCATTGGATCAATGGGCTTTAGAAGATGACGCTGGTTTAAAGCGTTCTTACTCAGTTCAATTCATTTATGATTCTGAAGATCGGTTGATAATTGTGCGTGATACTTTAATTGTACGGGATTCAGTTCAATATTTCTACGCTGATCCCAAACACCCTACACGTGTAACACATATTTTTAATCATGGACGTTTGAAAACTATCCGATTGTTATACGACCCTATACATGGTCATGTATTTGCTTTAGAACAATATGATAATGGTGGTTTAAATACAAATAACGGTAAAAGAAGCCATCTGAATGCTAATAGTATTCCATCTCCAATGAACTCCTTCGATGATAATCAGTTTCATCATGATTCTACTAATTCGGCACAAAAACGTGTATTTTTCATAATTACTAACCATGAAGGTAGTCCAACTGCGGCATTTTCCGAGAATGGAAAGGTACGTACGAATTATTTTCCTCATATCTGTATGTTTCAATATCCTAAAGTTAGTACAGAACAGAGAACATCATTGTTTTCCTCATATAGGGGCTTAGATAGTGATGTATTTATAGAGCTGTATTGAACTTCCTATATCGGTTAAACGGCACAGTTGTAAATGCGACTTAATAACAATGTATACATTCATGCGGCAAAACGTTAATGACATTTAATTGGTGCATGCATTTGTAATAATACTACTCAATTGTTAGTGGACAGAACTATATTCGAACTCATGACTCAACTTTCAAACGGTTAAACGCTGAAATATTTGAGACACAAATAAAAAGGGGATTGTTCCTTTATAGTAATCAATTTGATACATTAACCGCCAAAAACTATTTTTACTGAAAGAATTCACGTTTAAATTGAAAATGAATGTAAAAGAAATATATCACATTCAATTCTTCTCAAAAATATATGTTAGTGTAATCTATTACATATGATCAACAGTATTAGTATCTTAAAATTGGCACGTTTTCTGTGTTTAATCACGTTACTATAATGACGATTTATCATTTAATCAGTATCTTGTTTTTTAATAAATGATTCAATAGGTACATTGATTTATAAACTAATCCATGTTAACTCTGATACACAGTGTTATTTTTCGTTTTAACCTCAGAACTCTACTGTTATCATTACTTACAATAACATGCCAATAATGTTATTGTTTAGACAACGTTTATTAAGTATGAGACGATTATACTATGACTTGTACCATTTAAACTTGTGTTAATTTAATTCGGTTATTTATTTGCTCTGAAGAAGTGGCCTACATTAGGTCACAAAACCTCAGAAATACAATTTTTCTACTCATTGGGATATAACGAAAACATGTTTATTATTATACTAATAATGATCATCATTACGGAAATAATTACGTCGACAGATGCCAATGATACTCGAGTTATTATAGGTCCCTTTGGTGTCTCTAACTTATGTTTAGTAATAAATATACACTAGTAGGCTATTAATTTTGAACGTACATTTGTGTTACTGGTTATAACATTTTTTTCACTGTAACGTATCCAGTAATTCGTCTTACCATGCGGACTAGTAAAAAATAACATGAATTATTTTGGTAACTTTAAAGCTTTTATTGCTTTGTGTATTAAAAGTGTTTATCAATGATAAGAATTGTAGCGTACAATACGTCGGATGATAGTCTAAAGATAAGTCATCATTAAAGCTAAAAAAAAATCTATGTATTCATGTTATGCTTTTTTAAATATCAATATTTTTATGCTATCTCCTCAGTTGGCATGGGCTGCTGAATACTCCGCTACAGGAAGTCGACGTCTAACATTATCTAGCCGCAACAATTTCTTCACACGTGCCCTTATTGAAGAAGTTGATTTACCATTGGGTCAGGCCTCGTGCATTACCGATTTTCATACTGGATTTCTTTTCTGTCCACCAACTAGTCGTGCATATGATCCTCTCGGTGCAACATTTACTAGTCCGGATTGGCGAGGCCTTATTTCCACTCGACTTTCGAATGTTAAACGTGATCCATCAGTATTAGATACTCACAAATGGGGTCTGACTGAACAAGAAGCGTTAGGAACTGGCCCGAATGGTCTATTTGCAGAACTTCGTAAAGCTATGACATCACCTATTTGGTGGCTTAAACAAGTTGGTTTCAATCTGGACAATTTTCTGACAAAGTTTGATACGTTTGAAGGAAAGGTGGATAGCAGTAAAAACTCACTCAAAAATTCATTGCCTTTATTTCCAATTGATATGACATCTATTCATTCATTTGATTGTATTCATAACCAAGGTTATAAACAGTTAAACAGCAAATTTGAGCATCTCAGTATGCTGAAGTCTAATCAGTTAACTCCTGGTGGACCACATGGTAGTGGACTATCAAGCTTTCTTCTTGACTCAACAGATGTTAATGATGAAATGTCTTTGCCTCTGTTACCCCCAAACACAATGTTCGGACCTGAAGTAAGTTTACAACAATTTATTTTTATAATTGTTATGTTCATCTCTTTAAAACGGATTTCCTATCAACTCTATTGCTAACAACGACTCAATATCACTTTACTTTCTCAATCTTTTCTATCTCGTATAATCTAATTGCATTTCTTTTTATAGTACTCAGTGTTTTTAAGTAGAGACTCAGATTTCCTGAAATTATTGCACCTATAATTCAAGTTAAGGAAAGTAGAATTTTGGATAAAGTAGCTATAAGTCATACAAACTGGCACTTTCCAATTTCACTTTTACCAAATTACATATATTTCATTTCTTTTCCTAAATGAGTATGTGTAAATTGAGGCAATATCGAGGCAATACGCACAGTATGCACATATGCCAATAAGAGACTGATCAATTGCAGTCCTAAACATCAATGGGAAGATTCAAGTAAAACAATATCAAGTGAGTATGTGTATCGTTTTAGGAACATTCACACAGTTCAGCACATGTTTTTACAGAGTAATTTCAGTTAAAGCTGTTATAATTTGATGTCCGGCTTTCGATCACATGACTTATCCACCAATCAGAATACGACTTATACAAATCTCGCACTATGACAAACCCAATGACGTTCAACCGGTATGAGCAGTCTAGCGTCCTTATTTGGTCCTATGTTCTTCTAGCTCGTCCGCTTGAGTCCAGAACACAATACCAGCTTCTGTAATATGAATCGAATCATTTACTTCAGACATACTGGGTTTATATATCAACCAGACAGACCACAACGTACCATAAAATATAAAATAACATGTGTACACAAATAAGCCACAAAGTGACTGTGGACGTGGGAGATAGTAATTAATAAACTGAGCATAATTTAGGGACAGTAAACCGTACAACAATAAATTATAGGTCAAAGTGAAGCTTATAATAAGAGGAATATAAATATACATAATCTAACTATTGAATAGTTATACCATAAGAATATATAGATAATATTAGTCAATTAATGTCTCAGAAGTTCCTCGTGATTTAATCTTCGCTCGGATATAACAAAAATCACCATACTAAATGCTAAGATTCAAAGTATCGTCAATAGCTACTGTCATGAATTCTCTTCCTTCTTTTTTATCACCTCAAGGTCGGTTATGTAGTTGACGATGATACTGGATATGTTAAAGTTATCTCCATCAACCAATCCCAGCCAACCAAGACCCACTTTCAAGATGTATCAATCGACGGTACACTAGAAACAAAACTCGCTTCTATACTTGTATCAGATACAAACGTTGTAGATTGGTGGAGTTACTCGAAATCATCCTTCCCTTTCTCTCCATCATCATCGTCAACAACAACAACACAAACAGCAGTACCACAGCTCAGTACAACACTATTCATTCAACTATTTCTATCAACTAGAAAAGATTTTCATTCTACTGTAAAACAATTAACTACATTAGGTTTCCAACTACCAATGTATGATCGTGTTAATGGTATCAATTTAACAATAATGAATACAGATGAAAAATATAAAGAAATATGGATTACACGATATAATTTACAGTGGAGAATAAGATATTTCAATTCACCATATCCATTATCACCCACGACAGCATGGTCTGTTCTAATCAATTCAACTATTGATGATGCTAAAAGACGTGGAAAAACATCAGCTTGGTTGAATGAAGTTAAATTAATTCAGCAATTCATCCCAACACTCAAACCAACATCAAAAATCGACCATCTTAATATCAATCAAAATGATTTTGTCTATCATAAACTAACATCAAAGTATGTTTTGGGATTTAATTACCCATGGAATAGCCACGAACTCAGCGAATTAGTACAAAACAATACTGTTATGAATTACCGTTGGATTCCAACAATAGATTTTCTACAATACTCATCTCCCTCATTATCCTCTGACACTTCTGCATTATGTAGGCTATATGACCATTCGAGCATGTATCAGATACGACCAAAGGAATTAAATAAGCACAAAGAAGAAGATTTGCAAAAATAAACGGAAAATCCAATTTTCATTGTATATTATAATCAATATTTTCCGAGGTTAGTCTATCAACCACATGTTAGCTTTTTTTCGATGTTTTTTTTATCTAAATGGTCAAGTTACAATTGAAGTAATTTATGTATTATTCACAAGCCTGTATTAAAAATACCGCAACTAAGTGAAACTTAATTTTGAAATTCCACCCTCATTTCCCCTAGAAAACAAAAAAAATTCAAATCACAATATGTGGTCTACTTGACAATATGAAATATCAATAATACTGGCATAAAAACTATATATATGAGCTGTATAATTACTGAGCCAAATCGGTAATCCTGCCTAGCCAAACCTTGATGGTCTAATTAGCTAACTGTTATTCTGGTTGTTTATGAGATCCAATTCGAGGCTTCCAATCCTAGTAAGAATCATGTCTTATCGAAGCGATAGAAAAAAGATAGAAGTTCTTCCAATATTAGTTCAGTTAGCGAAGCAATAAATTTAGGTATAATTGCACTTCATTTTGAGATTAATTGACACATCACTAAATTTAATCAGCAAGTATTTATGATCATTGTTCTAACAATCGTATTATTGTTATTATTATTGATTCTATTAGTAGTAGTTGTAGTCTCGGAACACAATAGTATTATTGATAAATACGATATTATGGCAAACAATAAAGCTTTAATTATGATTACTTTCGAGTTGTTCCTCTATCGATTAGCTTCTGTTTGATATAACTATGTACAATAAATACCCTATACATGTAAGCGAAGCATAAAGTCTAGATCTTCACTAAAAAATACCATACATTGTTTAGTACGAATAGAGTTTTAGGTAACCTAATTAATGTAGTCATTCTGTATTATGTGAATGAATAAACAATATGTCGGATTATTTTAAATATCTCTATTTCCAAGGTTTCTAGATTCTGAAAATAAAAGAACCAATTTAATAAATGGAACACTTTTAAAGAAACTTTTGCTCAGAGAGAAAATGAAAAAGTCACATTAAAAGTTTATTTTAAACATTCGTCCTATCAAAAGTGAAGCTAATGAAAAGTACCTCAATCAGTAGAGTAGTTATTTCGAAAAAAGACATCCCCAGACTAATTAAAATCCAATATGGGTATAGTTTTTGTACTCAAAAGTTCTGTCTTTCTACAATGTTGTTATTGATGATAGTGATATATGACGTTTTTTGCCCTTCCCTATCAGGCTGTAAGCTTAAAACTTCAATTTTGGCCTTAATTCTACCACAATCTTCCATTGAAGTTAATAATTGGTGATGTAAGTTTCAATAGTTCTTTTTTAAGTCGATTTTATAATAACCACTTTATCTGGTTAAAAATGAATGTTTAATGTAACTTGTTCATTTGATATTTTAAAAAATAGTAGGTATTCAGAAGGACGGTTTAAATAAGAATAAGGAGAGTTTACTAGAACTCCGAATTTCCTCTGTGCACTTGGTAGCTAATTACTTTTTGTGGAAGAAAGCGGAGAAAACGTACCTTGATATTTTTTTTACACCTTGCCTAAGAGATGTAACTGATAACAGATAATTCTTTCTCTAGTTTTTTTTCATTCCTGAATCATTTCTAAGAAGTGTTTTGAACAAAATTGATACTTTCAACTCGATATTGTCTACTGAATCGGGGAACCTATAGCTCCGAAAGGTTGTAAGTGGTTGACTTTGAGGAACAATTTCTTAAACCAATAAAGTGTTTTGCGACTGTGATGGAGGGCGTGACATTGAAATATGAGTTGACTCTAATTTGGTCAATCCACATCTCAATCAATAAAATATTATTTGGTCGTTGATTCATTCTGTAGAGTTTATGAATTCTTTGTTTAATCACTTTCAGTCGGATGTCGTACAAAAGTCGCAAAAAATCTTTCTCTAATACAAAAATATGAAACAATCTGTATGTCGAATCCAATTACAATTTGTAAATAATACCTTATTGTTTTTTGCAAACACATTAACTTTTGCTCTTCTGTTTTTATTTTTTCAGTTAAAGAGAAAGTATTGAGATGGAAATTGAAGACTAGTTCATTGCTACAATAATATTACGTAATCAAAAAAAATATCTGGTAAAAATTACTTTGTTTATATTACTATCTGTTATTTTTTGAGCATTTATTCCACAGACTGTGTTCAATCTATTTAACGTCTTTCATGAATGTTTCTCCTTCAAAAACAAACAATTCATCTACTTGAATGCTTATTCCTCATACATATATATAAGGGAAGAAATCATTTTTGAATCGAGTTACCGAATAACAATTTACGAGAAAACAAAACGGAACTATCCACTTGGTCATAACTGTCTCTTCAGCTTCTTTTCCACCTGTGAATTTTTTTGTTAATCGGTGCAGACATCTGTTTTTTTTTCTTAATATATTCCTTCTGCTACTGATGAATGGCTAACGTAAAACACAGAGGGTACACATATGTATATATATATTTTTTTTTTTGCAAAATCTTTTTGAAAGGTTATTAAATACGCAACAATAATAGTACGGTAATATGATTTTGTCTTTGACTCTATTTTTTCTTGTCATTGTCTACATAATTTTATTATTATTCAGTCTAAGAAAAAATTTCCAGTTATTTTATTAAGATCTCTTGTTGTAACTAGCGTTTTTTGGCGTCACTGTTTTATTTGATTTTTCTTTTCTCTTAGTAGTAACGTAATGTGTTACGAACATGCAATGCAAATTTATATTTTTTTATCAAAACTGTTATTATTATTATTATTATTATTATTATTATTATTATTATTATTAAATGGTTTGATTATCGTTTTAGTTATTTACATTATGACTGCAATTGTCATTACAACTAATACTGATAACAGTATCAGTAATAACTGAGATAGTATTACTATGATGATCTGTTTGTGTTCGCTTGTTTTTTTTAATAGCTACTGAACTTCTGCCAAACTTGAAATATCACAGAAGCAAAACAGAATATTGTATTGTTAATAATCATGATATTATGTAGATTGTCGTGCTTGGTTACCCTGTTATTTTAAGTTATTTTGTTGAGATTATTTTACATTTGACTGACTTTTATGTTGACAAAAATAATCTAAGTTTCGGCTTACTCACTCATACACATGTACACTTTCACGATACAATATAACTGCATATATGAGATCTGAATAATTTAATGAAAACTGTATTTGGCGTTATCATGTTTTGTTTATCTGTTCACTAATCCGGTTACATTTTGTTCTTATTGTAGTCCGCCAAGTACACGTACAAATGCATAAGTAAATATATTGTTATTCTACACCCCCCATTACATTATTTCCATCTTTTAAATATTTTATGAAGGATATATTTATTTTTCAATTTAAGTTTTCAACTGCATGATTTCGATAATCGTTATTTGTAACCTCCTTTATAAGAAAAATAACAGTCTTTTTCCTGTTTTTGCGTATTTGTTTGTGCTTGAGTGTTACGAAATACCAGGAAAATATTACTGGTAATATTGTTTTCACTCTTCTCATCTCATTATCAATGCTGTTACCATAATTATTATATTGTCGCATTAAAGTAAAATGGTAATGTAAAAAGTACATTATATATATATATATATATATATATATATATATATATATATATATATCCTGTAAGTACATGTCTTTTCGATTTTTGTGTATGTGTACGGTCTGATTATCGTGCTATATTGACTAGTATACACGAAATGTATTTAGAACCAGATGCGTTTTTTGACTTTGTAGTCCTCTACCTCCTATTTATCTTTCTCGAATTTACTTTTCTTATAGCACAAATACCAACAACTACATCATATTACATTTATCAATGTACACTTTTTTTATAATCAATATATTCTGCATGCACTAACATTATGCAGCTTTTTTATATTGAATATAAATGGACTAACAATAATCATTTCATCGTCGTATTGTTGTTCTTCATGCTTTTGTTTCTGTCTATTGCATGATTGTGTAAGCAGGCGAAAATAAAGAATGAAATTCAACTTGTATGTCGTTTTTTTTCTTGTGATTAATCTTGGTCTGTATTCACTTTGCATTATATATATGTATATTAATATTGCAATTAATTATTATTGTTATTTATATATAGCAAATGTTTTCTCATTCAAATAGATAACGTAATTCTTTTTCCCAATTCTATTCTATGTAGTCACTATTTTATTTCTGATGAAAACTAATCAATTGTTAGTAATAATTACATACAAATACTCATTACCTCGCCTATTAAGACTTAGTGAGGACTTTTTCACACGATTCGATATTTTTACTGTTAAAACACTACCAATTCTGTGATAAGGTCCCAGTCCACTCGAAACTCTCAAAAATCGGCGAATTTACTACTTATATTAATTAGACAACATTAGTTGTGGTTGATTAAAAATTAGACAGTCGGTTATAGTCAGTTTAGGACTTAGTACAAATATGTAGCAGTCCAATTTATGCTATCTCTCATCTGTATATCTAGAAATCATCAAAGTAGTCTTTCCTCAGATAATATACACTGTAACCTAAACCTATACTAATATCCTTATAGTTTACAAAGACTGGGTGCCCCCAAATGCCCTGGTATGGTCGAGAGTGGGGGGGGTCCGCTCCTCCTCTCGAAATGCTCTCACATGGCCACGCGTATACAGCCCCTGCCAGGGAAGTCCTACTCACTGCCTTCTCGTGGCGGGGGTGTTGTTTACGAAAATGAGAGGACGAAAAGCGAATGTCCGGCGCTATAACCGGACCCCAAACCAATGGTGCACATGGGCTCCAGTATCCTGAAGGAACAAGTGGCGTATGAACCAATCGTTGGTCACCGGCTACCATGGGACTGCATCTCCTCACGATGCTCCACTGCCTTGTGGATCAGATCTTCAGGTCAAAGGCTCGGGGTGTGGCCCCTAAGAAAACCACCTGCTTCGGTTTGGGCACCCGGGCAGTATCACAGCCCTCACACATATCAAATGAGATTTGTGTGGCGCATATGTATTTGGTG